GGGGGTTGTTTGTTGTTTGTTTTTTGTTTGTTTGTTTGTTTGTTTTGGTGGATGTATGCATTATAAATAACTTTGTTGCTCCCCATTTTTTCGGCCAATGCGATGGTGCGATTGTTCTATGTCGCCAATAGAATTCGAGATAAGACTATTAATATTAACCTAAATTACTGCAATACACCTTTATTCTCAACATTGTTTTGGTTATATCTTCAAGGATTCATCTAGTGTAGTCAATGTTTATTGTAGATTAATGTATCAGGCATGGACAATATGGAATTGCTTCTTTACACAGTCCCCGCCTCGCATAACTAGTTAATTTGATTGCCGTATCAAGTGAGGCTTTCGCAGCAGGAATTAATATTCACATTTTATTAACCGATGAAAAGCTTCCAGTAACAAAGTCTTCTGCATTTTTTTAAATGTTGCAGCATGTTATTATTTGAAAGCAAGTCTGCTTAGGTTTCAGTTGAATGAATTTGTAACATATTAATCATGAAAGTACTTAAATTATGATAACTCATGACAGTCGAAATAAAAGTAACATTTTTGCTTTTGTCATTGTTATTGTTTTTGTTTTTTGGGATGGGGGAGGGTAGCTCTCCTGTTCCAAAGAAGCCAGTGTGATGAGTCAGATATTTATGAGATGTTATCTAAACAGAATCCTTGTCCAGCAGTTTGCTGGATCGACGTAAGAGAACTGGACAGAGCATAACATAAATAAGAACGCGTTACTAATAAGTCGTTCTTCTTTAATTTCCCTCTTTTGTTCCTGTGCGAATTGCTTCCTACAAGAGTGACCATTACTGGGTTGATAGCTTCTCTTTACTCGAACTCAAAACTTAAACTGTAAAGTGAAAACCAAGTAGGTTTCGGGAAAAGATAGCACTCTGCACGCCAGACAAGGTGAGGCGTTTTGTGGAACCTGTAGAAAAGATGCACTCTGTCTCATTCGTGACTATGTGCATGACTTGGCAAACTCTATGGCTTTGTAAATCATAACCATTACATCGATACTTCATGTAGCACACTTTAAAATTCTTACTGTATGCAATTGAGTGTGTCTATTAATGTCATCCTTAAATATAGACATGGGGTGCGCAATGTTTCACTCTCTTCCATATTGGCACTGCAAGGCTCAGACTTCTGCATAAACCATGAGATTCATTGAACGAGCCTGAAAAAGGTCATGTTTCTGGTGTTCAGAATATGGCAAAGCGATCACAATGTGTATGTTCTTTTTTCTTGTTGTTGTTGTTTGTTATTATGCGGAAACGGAAGCATCGTTCACAGCCAGGGTCTATTCATCTGGCATGAATTGTTTATGTCTGGGTTCTAGTTAGGCTGAGTTTTTCTTTGATGTCCTTTCAAGGATATTTTCTAATAACTGCAGTGCCCTATCCGGAGGATATGAGCTCCACGTTCGAAAATACCCTTATTGCATTTAACTTGATCTCTGTGAAACGTCAATGAAAACAAAAGGCAAATATTCGAATAAAATTACCGATGATTTAGAAGGCCGTGGTGTCTTAATAATTATTGTCTTCTCAATCCGCCATTTTTTGTCTGTGCCTTAAAGTATTGGGGGGGGGGGGGTCAGTTTCAGCACTAAATGACCATCATTTTGTCAATGTGCTCAAAGCAAACTCTGTTTGCTTTATTAGCCATGGGAAGAAAAAATATTTTGTCATCGAAATCGAAGGATGATATGAAGCCTTCAGTGACATCATCACCACTGTTTGCAAATCGAATAATTCCTGTTTGCTCATTAGCCCGAGCTTAGGGGCCAAGCTAATATAGCATAATGAGATATAGCTAGATTCGTTCTGTAAAGAGAAAAGTGGTAGGCCGAAGGCTGTAAGTATAAGATATTTGTTGATGACGTGGTCCATACACCTTAGAGCCGTGACGTGCTGAGAAAATGGTGAGTCAGTCTCATTATTATGGTCTCGGAGATTGGGTTATATTTTTTAAAAACCTTTGCCAATGACAAAGAAGACACGCAACGCACCACTCTTTGGCTCAATACATAGAAGGCCTACAATTTTTCTTATGCCCCCCCCCCCCCCCTCCCCCTCTCCCTCCCTCTCTCTTTCTCTCTCTCTCTCTCTCTCTCTCTTTCTCTGTCTCTGCCCCCCCCCCTCGCGGTGGGACACAAACATTTTTTTTTATAGTTCCAAATTGTTTGTCCCTCTTTCGCTTGCCTTCAAGAAAATACAATATTTTATCACATCAAATAGAAAAGCTTCGCCACAAAATCTTTCTTTGGCGCCTTTAAATTTGGAATCTCATTTCGAGCATCTGTGTACACTGAGAGAATGTAGTAACCTGCATGCTTTATAAACAAAAATACTTTGGGTTACAAGTTTGATAGTGAGAGACACTGTTGTTCCCTTCATTGGATAGATGTAGTTTTGGTCGGAAACTTTGCCAATGGCGAAGCACACTGACATAATATCTTTTAAAGTCAAAAGCTTTGAAGCGTGCCAGATCAACTGAATTGTTTACTTCTTCTAAAAAAAACCAACCCAGATATCATTTTTGTTAAATGGTGGTAATCAATCATTGCTCGTTCAACAACTGCCTCTATATTGTAAGATGTCTATAGACCTACTCCAGAATTTCGGAGGAAAACCATCATTTCTTAACACGCCTTCTTTGCCTTTTAATCGTTGTTTTTCTCTCTTGTGGATCGGAAGTCGTAATGAGGATAAGTCTGATACTGATAGATATCACTCCTTGTTTACCTCACACGTGAAAGTATGTACTCTCTAATTGACGCTTTCCTTGATGATAGACAGATCTTCTCTGTCACGCTAGTAGACTTGTATAATAAAACCCGAAATCATGAACTCTGACGTATTTCCGTTTCTCAAAGAGTGTGCCATTTTAGCCAAATGAAGGGCTAGGTGAGAAGGTGTCAATCCAGAACCCCACATACGTACCCTGTGGGCTGCTCCTACACAGTAACGATAATGGATTTGGTAGGGCAGGGAGGGGAGGGGGTAAATATAATTGTCTCGCTACTGCTCTCCGTGCGCGGTGCAAGCTGTCCCTGTGGAAATGTACCACTAATGAAAGCCTTCACCCATGTGTTCTTGTGTTATGTTTGCTGTAATGTGTCGTGTCTGTCTCTCGCTTCCTTCTGTCTTAAAACTTTTCTCTGGCCTAGATACTGGGCAGTGTTCCGCCTGCGATTTACCTCGATAAATTGATTTTGAAACTGGAACTGAAAAACTGTCTGGGGAATTATACGATTAATTGGCGCCAGCCAAGCTAATATACAGGGTGATTAAAAAAGATTATACGCCAAAATCATCATGAGGTATTTCAAAAAACGAAAATGAATAGAAAACTCTAGCTTTAGACACATGTGTTGTACATACTTTCAAGTTTTTAGTTTATGTTTAACGAGTGCACAATGTGGCCACCACTCACAGCTCGGTCAACATTAAGCCGATATAAGAATTCCTCCCAAACGCGCCTCGGGATGCCTCGGTCCACCATGTTGATTGTAGCTGTTATTCGATCTTTCATGTCATATTTGCTAGAAGTGGTGGAACATGTGTTGTCTTTATCATACCCGCACAAAAAGTAGCTCTTCACCTAATGCAAGCAAATTCGAATGACTTCATTTTTCAACAAGATGGAGCACCGCCCCATTGGCATCTCGTGGTTCCAGTTAAACTGGAGGAAAACGTTCCTCAGAGGTGGATTGGTAGGAGAGGTGCTAATTAAAACCTCGCTTTCTGCGCAGGGCCTGTCAGATCCCCGGACCTCATTATGTGTGACTTTTTCTTTTAGGGGTTATGTTAAAGACAAAATGTAAGTACCACCACTTCCAGCAAATTATATTGACATGAAAGATGGAAGAACAGCTAAATTCAACCTAGTGGACTGGGATGTCCTGAGGCGCGTTTGGGGGAGGGGGGGGGGATTCTTTTATCGGCGTTATATTGTCCGTGTTGCTGGCGGTGGCCACATTGAGCACTTGTTAAACATGAAATAAAACTTGAAAGTATGTGCAACACATGTGCCCAAATTAGGGGTTTCTATTGTTTTGTGTTTTGTTGTTGTTGTTTTTTAAATATCGTATGATGATTTTGGCGTATTCTTTTGGAATCACCCTGTACAATACATAGGGCTTAGGGTTCAGAAATAAATAATTTTATTAAGAATCGAGATTAACGTGATTTCAAGTATAATACCTTGCTTGAGTCATTGGGTTGCAGCCTGTCAAATCAGGAGACTAGTTCATCTTACTTCTAGGCTACCTATTCTGTCTGCATTGCTTTTTATCTGCTTTAAATGAGAAATATCGAGTCGATGTTCTTTTATTACCAAACAAAGAATACATTAAGCTCAGTCTTCCCGTACACATGCTATACGTCATTAAACGCGAGTTGAAACAAGAAAAGAAGCTGAAAGAAAATTAATTTTCTCTCTTTCTTTCCATCCACCAGCATCCATCAACTACACAGTGGTCGTCCGCAACTGCGTGGTGGACGACGGCGGCACCAACTCAGAGACGGAGATCGGCCGTCAGAGCCACTGTGGCTGGATGAGAGTGCTCAAGTACAACGGGCGCCGCATGCGGGGTTGTATCCTCAGTTGTGACACGGATGCCTGCAATGCTGGCCCACAGCCCGTGCACCGAGCGCCGCTCTCGGTGTGGACAATGACTTTACTCACTCTGCTGCTGGCCACAGCTACGACTGTGAGCTTTCCAACGCCATTTCTCTTTATATGACTCTGACAAGACTGATGGAAATGAGGAATGGAAAAAAACTACCATTCAGGAAAACGGGATGGTGTTTTATTTGCCAGTTTGGTTATTATAACCCGAGGGGGGGGGTAGGAAGGGGGCGTCTACGGATTTTGTGATTTTGAAAAAATGCTCCTAGTGTTGTTCTCCTTTCTTTTTGTTTGGGGTACGGAGTTCTAAAGCTGGACTTTTCATGGACCTTGGAAGACATTCCACCAAACAATGCACCTACTTGAATACAGTATAACATAGAAAGAAGAAGGAGGGTACAAATTCGTTCTAAAAGAATAACAGAAGGCCTCAAATTCAAAAGGACATTGAGTTGGCGTTCTGTTGTATTAAAGACATACTTACAAAAAGCTCAGACAAGCCCAACTCGTTCATTTCAGGGGATGCGATGAGCTTCTGTAAAAAAAGGGGGGAAAGGAAGAGGGAGGGGCGAGACTTAAATTATAACTGACTTCGATTCACTGAGCTGAATGATCGTGCTGCGAAATAATGATGCGGTGGACGTCCCGATGGGATTGGCATATTGATTTCAGAAAGGGCATGGACGTGCAAAATTGAAAAAAGGAGCTTTGGTGCACTGGTGACTTCAAAGAAGAGATTGGCGTACTGGTGTCAAATACGAAGAGGGTTTATTGACCCCTAAAGAAGACTTGTGTGAGATCTGTTGACCAGAGAGAGAGGGAGAGACACGTGATATTGACATCTGGCTACACACAAAAAGAATGATTGACGCTACGTGTATTATATAAATGTGGCAATCTCAAATAGTCTGTGTACTAACTAAGTACTAAGTCTAACAGGTAAAGAAAGTTAAGTCTGCAAAGAGCAGATAGTGTTTTTGATTTGATGAGATGTTACCATACAATAAGCGTGGAGCAGAAAATAAATTAGTGACAAGGAGAGACAACAGATTCTCTTTGCCTGGAAAAAAATGTGAATTTCTTTGTCGTGGAGGGAGTTTACTCTGGTTTTGTTGGTGTCGTGAATGAGCTGATTTTGGTCAGTGTATTGATCAGTATGCAAAAGCATTGGCACAGATTTAACAAGTAAAAGATGGGATTTTAAACGATTGATACAATGATTCAGAGGTCAAAAAGGTGTTTGCCTCAGTTTCATACAAGTTGTTCTAGTTACCTAAGATGGAATGAACGTGAACATTACGAAGCTGAATTGAAGTGAAATTTTCACTGAGGAAAATTGGCGTATTTATGAAGCTTAAAATCAACTGTGAATGTTTTAAGAAAAGGTGGACATCTCCATTTCAAGGATGTGATGATGAGATGATTCAGTTGGTGTTGTAATGGCTGGTGATGAGGGCCGCCCTGTTTCAAACTCTTAATTCTTGGACTAAGGCCTCTTGAAGAGTACAGAGGATTCCCCCGGCCACTTTGTTCGACTGTAATGGATGCAAACGTCAAGTCCAAACAAGAAGCTATATTTCTGAAATAATGTGACGACAAGGGTATTTCACTCTTATCCTATCGTCGCACTTTCCTGGTATAGAACAAAATACACCACAAAACAAAACAGCCGGCAAGTCAAAGGTAAAGACAAATGTGGACAGTGACGAAAGCTTGAACAACTTATGAACCTTTGGAAAATACTGCTTCGGACTGTAAAAACATTATTTGTACAAACGTATGGTATTGTACTAGATGTAGTAATGTTGGTGTCATTAAAACAATAAATAACGTTTTGACCTGGCATCGTTCTGTGGACGTCGGGCAAGTCTTAAAGATATACCTACATTTTGAAAGAGGTTAATGAGTTCTAGGTGGATTTAAATTGCAGCTTTTAAATTGTCAGCTTTTATTTGAAACACAGGTCCTGGTGTTTTTCAGTTATCCAAATATGTTTAGTATACTCTGACATTGCCATTATGTCACAGCTAGTGACAAGTTAAAAGACGTCTAACTGAGCTGAAAGGTATTTGGGAAGATGTTTCAATGTCGTTTATTGTGGTTTTGTTTTGGTTTAAGAGTGTTTATATTTTTTGTACACTGACTAGAAACTCATTCTATTTCATCCGTTGTTTCTACTATAAGTGGAAAAAAAACTGTTACATCTCTACTGTTAGTGCTTTTTCAAAGAGGTGCACGGGTAAAGTTATCAATTTTCACTTATAGGGTTACATTTTTTTTTCTCGCACAATTTTTAACTTTGCTTCTGCTCAAGTTTATAACATGTACTCTGAAGTGAAAGACGTGGAATCTAGATCGATTCCAAATGCATGTAAAATTGATTCATAATATGACTTGCAGGCTATCAAACACGTATCTACTTTGGGCTTATTTCGAAAGCTTCGTGTGATATGCTCTTTTGGAAGAAACCATGAAAACAACTGAAATTGACTCCATTTGTTTTATCTGAGCTACAGAAACAACTGACACAACACAAGAAGATTTATATATAACAATTCTTTTGAAGACATTATTATCTCACATAGCTCTTGTATCACTTGCGACTATCATAAGCAGCATTTTTTTTTAAACATACGTCATCAAGACTTAATAGCAAACAAAGCCAAAATTACTTAGTATTTTACACTCCTTTAAAGATAGAATGTTCAATCTATATGGGTTTGTAATATGGATAAATGCACCATTTTGACGTCTTGTGTGGCCCAGTAGTTATTTTTCTTTTCCTCACCACTAACAAAGGCACACTTTCTTCATTCACAGTTGTTATCGTAATCTTTTCTTTTTAATCTACTAGGTTTTACCTTGCTCAACCTGAAATTAAGGATTTCTCTATTCTGAAAGACTAATTATTTGTGTTCTTTGAGTTTAAACGAATAGTTTTCGACCTATTCTGTCTTCACAAGCTTTGTAAATTTCATTTTCTCATACTCTCATAAGTCTTCTGGGATTCGTGTATTCAATGTCTTCATCATTCTTGAAAAACGACCGTGTTACGGCAAGGTAAGCGGTCTGATCTCAACATCCATTTCATGTGTTTAGGAGTTGCAAAGCGAAACTCGACGTCTTGGAGAAATTACAGACGTGAGAAAAGTATTTGAACCTTCAACTTTTTAAGTGAATGCCTTACAACTGGCAACTCTGGAGAAAAATTGCATCATTTTTGTCCAAGATCAGGCCTTTTATACGTGCAGTTTTTATATTAAGACTGTTATAGACCTTGTGACATAGTTCCCAGTCCTTTACACCTACATCATCCTCCACATCATAATGCCGCTGGCGTTCCGACACTAGATAGCATAAATTCTGTATCAGCCCCCAATATTGATTTCCCGTTTGACTTTCACTTTGTGTTATATTGTTTGAAATACAAAAACGCGTTCATTCTTTTCGCTGTCCATGTATGTATTCATAGTAGAAACCCACGTTTAAAAAGTATGCCATTATTCAGATTCATATACGTGTAAGTAAAATTTCAATTCTTTTCTTAATCTCATCTTTTAACTATGTCTATTTCCTCCATGTTTTGAAATGCATTTAATCGTCAGTGATCTTGTTTTAGGCGAAGATATTCAACATCTTGGTGTTGAACTGTCTTTAATGACCTGCAGCTCCTTTATCCACAAAAATTTGGTTTTGTACCTACTTTTTCAAACAATTTGACATTGTTTAAGATGCCAACTACCGGTATACCGCTAATTTGTTTAGGTGTCTCATCTGAGACACGAGGCTAATATCTTATCTAGAAAGAGTGTAGAAGAGTTGCAACAGACTGCCAGAATTGGCAACAGACTTGTTTTGCACGTTCAAGTTTCTTAGTAAGCAGAGTTAATTAATTATAAGAAATTGGACATCTCCACGCCATAATACCGCTCCAATATATTTGTGGCCTTTCACACTTTCAGGATAGCCGGGTTTGGTCGTCATGAGGTCCTATTGTTGGTGATACAGTAATCGTTGGTGGAAAGCTTCCACTTGGAAAGTAAATTTACCCATTTCCTCCTGTTTATTGTTTTCCAAGAGAGTAGAGAGTTGATGATCAAGCTTTTTTTTTTTTTTTGGGGGGGGGGGGCCTTCGTGTGGGTTCTTCTTATAATGGTAGAAGACTTCAAGTCTATGTCTTGAGCATTGTCTCTGGGAGATATAACACGCTTGAAGACTTCACTTCACGGGATGCGAGCCTGGTGTCATCGGACCCATCACCATTTGAAAGACAACCAACACATGAGGACCTCCCCAAACTCATTCATTCTGGAAATGTTTTTTTTTATGAGGGTGAAAGTATCTTGGACATTTACTACATATATTATGCCATCATCATCTACTGCTAGAATTGCTGTTTAATCCCACACAACAAAGGGATAAAGGGCCTACCCAAGGAAAACATTGAGAAGAATTTTTGAGGCTGAAAGGAAGAAATAAAGATGGATCTAGAACGCCCCATGGGGAATTGGTGAAGGCCAAGATTATGCACATCATCAAACGAAAAGCATTAACAAGGAAGTAAGAGAGACATATACCATGCTTTCTTGAATTCTTAAAATTTCCAAAGAAACAAACGCACCATGTACTTAACAGCAAAGTGCTGAGGACAGGACAGCTAAATGACTCAAAGCCAGATATGTGTTTTCCTTCCCGCAATAAAAAAACAAAAAAATAAGATAGAAACGTAAAAAAAAGGAGAGCCTGAATAAAACAGTTAAAGCAGAAGCAACGTTCGATCGAAACTTTAGCAGTAACACAGAAACAGTAAATTAAATTCGAAATTAGGATCAATATTGGTGTCTGGAAACGACAGCTGAAAAAAGAAAACTATGACAAAACTGAAATTGAACTACTGTAGAAAGTTGTGTAACTCGAGAGAAATTGCAATACAACCTAAAACAAACCAGGGATTTAAAATCTGAATGTTTTTTTGAATAACCTAATATGAATAGTACATCTACACTTGCTGTTGTTTTTTAATCTTTTTTTTTTTTTTTTTAAATAAAGGCCATCACGAGCAAGATTTTCAGAACCCAAGAACAAGAAAAAAATGAATTAAAAACCTAAAGGAAGATGACATTAAAAGAAAAAATCGTTGCAACATATCACTGCTTACGTTAGCCACATACAGGCATAGATATCATTGTGAGCATTAAGCTTCCTGGTGTGCTTGGCACTTGCTCCAATATGGCAATTTGGCATCATCAGCCATTTCCAGTCAGAGGCAGGTGTGAAAAAAGGAACTTTTAATTAAAAATTTGGTCTTTTATTATCGCCTCAGGATAATCAACAGATGACAATAGTCCTTTGCTTGCAAAGCTCTCAGCATAGAAATAAATTTGATTGGGTTCAATTTTTAAAATGTCTACTTTTAATTCCCCCCCCCCCCCCCCCCCTCCCCATGGTCAGGGTAATACATGTGACGAATCTATTGTAATTATATCAATGATTGTAATGATTTTTTCTATTTGTTTAGCTTTGTCAATCTTTTTTTTATATTTTTGCTGTTGTGCTCTCCAAGGACAATGCTCTTCGATGTTCTGCAGAGAATACTGTCTTGTGAATCGTAAAATTGACATGGTATTATCATCATATCTGAGCTCCATATCTTGTAAAATATGACCGCTTCATGTTTCATAATACAAGAGATATGAAATTTTTAAAAGATCAGGCTCAAGCTTTAACATTGAATATCTTTTTAATGTTCCGTACCAAAGTATCTTTATTCAACTGTAGGTTAAAAAATGTTCTGTACCAAAGCATCTGTATTGAACAGTTGCGTGTTCAGGTTTGTTCCTTGGTGGTTTATCTCAAGGAAAAAAACTTTGTAAATTTTTTTTATAGCAGTGGACAGCACAAGAGTGAATAGGGACAAAATAAGCTGGAAATTTTGAAAGGAATAAATATACTCAATTTCTGCAACAATACAAAATCACTCTGTGCTGAGGTTAGCCATAGTACACACAGAGGTTGCTTATCCACATATAGCATACTCCGCTGGTATTAAACTAATTTCTAAAGCTACATTACTGTACAGTAACTGTTTCTTTGATAAATTTGAATATAATGATATCCATCAACTATATTTTATTTTCTTAACTATTAAAATAATTTCTTAGAAAATCATATCTCCATTAATGTCTCATAGCTTCAAATCTAAATTGTGCAAATATTGTGATCAGTGAAGTGAGCAAAGGGAAACCATAAACTTTACTTCTTTATAAAGCTAAATTTACATTCCTGTTTTCCACTAAAATTTCAAAGTTGAAATAACGTGACTATGCCACAGTATTTTTTACTTCCGTCACATTTACCAGCTCTAAGCCAAGAAGTAAAAATACAGAATCAAAATTTGCACCAGGTCTATGTTAGTTTCATCTGTATCTTAAAGATCATTTTGTTGAATGATAATTTCTTCCACTGTTATTATTGTGATGTTCTAAGCATGTTGTTTAATATCTTATATTATTGATTGATCTTGGAACAAATTTAATAGCTTTGTACTGAACATCATGTCCCTTGACTTCAAAGTAAAGTATTCTGATTAAATTAGTAATGTAAACTCAAGGAGTCCGTGTTTCCTCAGAACATTGTGATGTGTCAGCTGTGGCTGCAAGAGAGTCAGTCTTCCATTCACTTGCAAGATTCTACTTTTAATACTCAACATCGCAAGCACTGCAGAACTTGTCCGACCACAAGAAATGTTAGATGCTTTCAAACTGCAATAAGCCATACTTCTTTCTGACAGTATAAATGTGGGTGGTTGGAGGGCACCACTGGTAGGTCCTACTTCTTTGATATCCCTATTTTATTTTTGTCTGTCTTGCTTTTTTCTAGCACAAAATGACTGTTATAGTGTCAATGTGTTTCTCTTTGCTCAAATCTATAGACAATTTAAACTTAAGAAAAAGAAGAACAAAATAATATGTGTGGCACCATGGTGAAATAAGGCGCACATCTTAATAATGAAGTCGAGCTTGCTGGGCAATTTTCATTGATTTTCCAAATGGATTTTACTGAAAAACATTAATCAAAGGTAGAAAAAATGTAAATTTACAGTTTCTAAGGACACTCAAGCTTTGGAAGTTACCAAACTTTGGCAGCCATTTGTTTGCTAGTTTTACCTCTGACACCAGGCAATAGACGAGTATTTTTTCCTCAAAAGCAAGACAAATAAATAAGCTTTAAGATGATAGCTTTAACTCCATTTGCTCAAACATTGAGAAGTGCCTGATTCCACCATGTGACACATATGAAAACTTTCAGGTAGGCCTGTCTCCTTCTTCACTCCCCTTGTCTCTGTTCCCTTTTCACAACGCATAATTCCCAGTACACAAATATATAACACATAAAATAACTGTGGTCATCACATAAAGGTTATCACAGTTTTATTCTTCATTTGGAATCTCAAAACGATTTTCAATTAAAAACAAAGATATGCCGGTGAGTCAGTTTGCATGTATGTGAGTTTCTTTGAGTCTGTCCTTCCCTCTGTCTCTCTGTTTGTCTGTGTACAGGTGAGCGTTCATGCAAGGGTGCACATTTTTGTGCTGTGTTGTGCATTGGCATGGCGCACATTTGATAATAATATTCGTGTGCAAGGATCAGGGGACGAATAAGGGAAATTGGTGTAAAGCCAAACTTTGACGCAAACATTGTATATAATTTGACATCACAAAGTATAACACTCCACATTCACAACACAAAGTCTGTGGCCTTGTCAGGCAGACAACATTTCAGAAATCAGCAAACATTGTTGTACGAGAAATATAGACAGCCAGGAAGTAACATTATCAAAGTTACCACTGTAAAAGTAAAAACGTTCTGGTAAAAACATCATGACATGCACATTTTAAAAAGCGCTGATATCTCTATGGTTAACAGGACGTGAGTCAATGACCTCTGGACATACCATGAATACTCAAGGTATTTGTTCATATCTATTCAATACTGATCATGCGAATTGATATAGGAATAAATGTATATTAGAAGAGATAGTATTAAAAACAATGTCCTGAAAACATTACCACAATTAATGATCATTTGTTAATTAATGATTTTACAGGTTTTCGTACTTTAAAAAAAAAGAAACTTTTCCTTTAACACTTTGCCATCACAAGGCTCATATAGTAAAAACCCTTGTCATCAAAGCCAAAAGCATTTTGGGGAAAATCCAAAGAAACTGGGAGGTAAACATCGCCGATCGGCGAGATGTGACGGCAAAGTGTTAACCAAACAACAAATCCATCAGCCTTTGATACTCCCATACAGTCACATGTCAACCTAAGAATGCAATAATGTCACGGTTTAAATCAATACTATAAACTAATATCACAGGCACTTTGGACGGACACAGAAAAATACAGAAAACAAAATTTTCAGGCCAGTGGCATCAGAAGAAATGGAATGGTACAAAATGACTGTAAATCAAGTAAATAAGTAGAGAACCCATTATAAATAACGTTTCTAGTGGTATGCTTAAAAACTAACAATCCAGATTGTTCACACCATATGAACAAGACTTTCACTTAATAAGCATGTGAGAAAAGGTATAAATACCTCATGTCATGTGAATATGCAACAATGTTTCCTTTTTCGACTTCATTAAGCGTGCAGAATGAAGTATAGAGAATGGAGCAAACAGAAATATTTTTCAGTTTTCCTTTGTTTTGTAAAAAAAAAAGTACTTTGCTTGTTCTACACAAAAAAAACAACCAATAATGTGACTTTAGAAAAAACAGAAGCGAATTGAAATAGGTTCGCCCTCTTTTAATCTGCTAGTTTTCACGTTTTGAGGCTGATTGCCATGATATACAAATATAAGGCAGTTTCATACATCATTAAATACATTTTTAAAATTTCCCCCTTCATTTTCATGTAGGCCTAGAAAAAAACAACAAATCATCCAAATGTGCTTTACAGAGGTTGTGGATTTGTTGCACTTAGAACATATTTGCAAAACAATTAGTCGTTGTTTTATTAATGAATATCAAATAATAAAATAAAAATCATGCTGATAAAATTAATAACACAGATTTCACTGAGTAATGATGATGTTGGGCATTCCATAACAGATTGTGTTGAAAGAAGACCTGGTAACCACAGGCATGTCTTCCTCCTCCTTCGATTCTTCCACATCTTTGTCAGGATCAGACTCTGAGGGCTTCACCTCAATGGCAGCTTCAGATTTAGCGTCAGTCTTCCCGTCTGTTGGTTTGGAAAAGAAAAAGAATGATTAGAAGAAGAGGATTCAAAAAGAAGTAAAAATGTTTTTTAAACAAAATGAGCTGGTCGGTACCGCTACAAAATACACAAGAAATTAAACAGCAAATGAAAACTTATGTAAGAGAGCTTTTCATCCAGATGTAAACAAACTTTTTTTGAGAATTCAGCTCACGTTAGTGGTGCGCTTTCATAATCAACACTGAGCCTGTACCACAAAGGAGACATTTTGCCATAAACAGTTTACAACAGAAAAAAAAAAAAGAAAAGAAGAAGCGGCAACACACACACCATACCATACAACTCACCATATGCTTTTATCATGACAACAGGAACTGAAGAGTTCATCTGTTTCACAAACTCCCTCAGACTAACAAAATAGACTCGTCCATTATTTTGTTGTCATTTAATTATCACTTACAAAAATCCATATATTGTTCACACCAAATGAACAAGACTTTCACTTAATGAAAATGAACTAGTCGAGCAATTACCTTTCACAGAGCCCTTTTCGTGAGCAATGCTCTTTTTCCTTCCTGTTGGAGGTTCTGAGGTGGCCTCTTTCCCTGCCTCTGCTGCTTTCTGTAGTGCCTTCTCCTCCTCATACACCACCATAGGGTTCTGGAGCAAGTACAGAGCCTGCCCAGTCGTTTTCCCTTTCTCCAATAAGTCTGAGGAAAGATGTTGAGTTCTCATTAGTTGCTATAAAAGCATTGAAAAGAATGTTGAAAAAGACGTTCGTAACAAAACAAGAAAAAAAGTAAACTATCTCTTCCTTTTTCAAAAATCCCAGCTTATCTCATGATATTATTATATTCTACAACAATAGATGCTATTGCAATTCTTGAAATACCCCTCTGCTCCTTAAGATTCAAGTAAAACATTAAGTAACTTTGAATTTTCTGGTTATATTATGTCTGCTTAAATCTGATTTACTCATCGTTGTTTATATAGCCTGGAACTGTTAACCTTGCTTTAAATTGAGCATAGAAAAATTCACTGGAAAAACACATTCAGTTCAGAGCGATAAGTTATCATCTATAATTTGGAAGAATAAAATTTAAAATGTTAATCAACCTAATCACTTCCTGAAACAAACCCACAATTCAGACAGACTAGTCTGTTCTCCCTGTTTGATCTTGTTTTTAACATCAAAACAAAAATAATTCTTACACTTCATAGTAGCATGCATCTTGTTTGCATTCTCAGCCAGGGTGCAGTGCCACTGGTTTCCTATGACACACCTAATGCCTCCCAAACTGGCCAGAATGGCTGCTTCCACCGGGTTCTCCAAGCTGAGAGCAACAGGACTGAAGAAAAGCAAACAAAACATATATATACTTTTTAACTCTTTATCTCCGTGGGGGGTAAACCCACTATGCAGGGCCATTTTTGGTAATAAATCTAAAAAAGACGAAAATGTCGCTAAACTGGTCAGGAAATCAAAACAAGAGAACCTAATTTGATAATTCTTCATCTAATGAATAAAATTCCTATAAAAGAGACCTGTCTACGGAAATTGACGAAAAATAAATTGAAGTCAAAGTCATCAGCACCTCACCCGCACAGCAATTCCAACTGCGTAACGCTGGGAACGGCTTGCTAGAGACAAACAGTTAAAGAGTATTTCTCTTGTTTTACTGACACACTGGCATTCATGAGAATTCTTGCTGAGAAAACTAGCAACCATGAGCTTTCTATGAGTATTATTGCTATCACCTGTGTCAGGTATGTGCAAATCAGATCAAACATTGACAGCAACCACATGTTGGAGTAGGTCCATCTGACACCTGCAGTTGGGGCTCGGCTGAACTTAAATTACAGCCATTCAGGTCAGTGGCACAAAGCAAAACTATGTATGATTCATTGAGGCATAATATAAGGCTTAATATGTTCCTACTTTTCAAAACTGAGTTCTTTCTGCTTTTTTAAATAAAGTCTTAAGTTAAAGCGATAAAAACATGGCATGGATTGGATTCAAAAATATGAAAATAGAGCAAAATAAAGTTTCAAATTAGTCCAGAGTTCATTAGACAAAACGCATGTAACAGTATAGACAACTCTTCAGTAGTACATTATTAGAATATCTTTTAAAAACAAGCATTCAGAACAAAAATTGTTTGAACTAAGGCTTTACTTGGTTTTCTCAGTAGAAAAGTCCAAAAGAAACCATTTCAAGTCGAACTACTTCAAACTCAAGACTAACCCATCAGGTATTTTGGCCTCCGGCTCAGACGGCAAAAGAATCTCCAATATGAAATATATTGACCCAATATATAAATATATTTAAGCAAAATTTACTTAAAATTAACTTTCTTGAACATTAAGTGAAAAGATCCTCTTTAAAAATAAAAATATCTGTGAGTCAAAATTAGGAAGCACTCACGTTTTCAATACGTCAAGTTTGCTCTGACGTTGGAAGCTCTTTGACGTTTCAGCCAAATCAAATGAGAACAAAATGTTGCACTCTGTAAAAAGAAAAGAATCAAGTGCAAAACAAGGAAATGTTCAAAGTAACAAAAGGAGCTACAAAAATATCAGGAAACACTGAACAGCAAAACAGGGCAAAATTGTCTTTTTTTCAAATTCCTAGGATTTTAACCATTTAGATCTTGATGTCCTGATCCATGCCCAAAAAATTATGGAAAAGGGAGATAATCCTCTTTAAAAATTTCATACATTTCATTATATTGTAAAAAAAATTCATTTCTAAACATTCAAAATTACAAAATGATCTGGAAAAATGCAACCACTTTAAGAAAACAACACTGCTTCTATGAGAAAATTTCTGTCCAGATTTTCATTTGTTACCTGTCTATTTCGTCATATTTTAAAAATGACCAACTCCTTCAGTGTACGATATTACGAAAGGCTGTGAAATGAACTTTCAATGTGTTTTTGTTTGATGGAGATCACTTCACGAGCTGGATTTTTATATATTTTCAAAGTTCCCTTGAATTTGTCCAGGTTTCAACTCCATCGCACCCTCCATTTCGTCATAATTATTTTAAAATTTCACACTCATTATTTCTGGGTCAATTTTGACCATTCAAAAACTCAAAAAAAGAAGAAGAACTCTACTTTTGTTTTGAAGCCTCATATTCAATCAGTTCTAATCTGACATTCTTCCTTGACTTCACAGAAATGCATACCACAGCAATGTCGCACATTCAGCAACTGAAATGCCACGCAATGCCATGTACCTATTTTCATGACAAGGACATGTGGTTACTTGAGGGAGGCATTGCGTTGCCAAGAGCAAAATGCTCGCAGCTAAAGGGATTTGAAAACAACAACAACAACAACAACAACAACAACAACAACAACAACAACAACAACTTATTTCCATCTGAGTGAAGTGAGGAAAATTCATGTAAAAAGCCCCTCCTAAGGACACATTATTGGCCCCTGATGGGATTCAACCCCATGAACTTACAGCTCAGAGTCCAACAGCCTAACCACTAGACCATCAATGCAACAAAAATTCTGAAAAATAATTAATATCTCTACCTGGAATATTCAGGGCTGCCATTTTGTGAGGGGGTATGTATGAAAGAAGCCTCTCCAGCCCATAGAAGATGAAGGATGTGCTCTCAGTCAGATAAATCTCCCACTCTCCAACACTGAAGAGATAAAACAAGGTATATATTTACATTAATGTCTTATCTGCTGTTAGTGCAAAGTTGTCGGAAATGAAAAATAAATATGTAAAAACAGCTGCAAAAAGAGGAGAGAGACTGTTTTGATAAAATGCTGCAAAGAGGGGACAGAGACTGTTCTGTTATTGTTAAGCATGTTAGTTTTTTCTGTTAGTGTAATATGAGAGAGAGATACACAAGGAAATAGAGAGAGAAAGGGGAATAGAAGGAGAGAGGGAGAAAGAAAGAGAGAGAGAAAGAAGTTTGTGTGTGTGTGTGTGCGTGTGTGACTGAGTGAGAAAGTGAAAGAGAGAGGGGGGATAGAGAGAGGGAGAGAGGGAGGAAGAGAGAAGGTGAGGTGTTAGGGTATTCCAAGATATCAACCTGGGGGTGTGGTCATTCCCAGGAACTCCCAGCCATCTGGGCGTAAACTGTTGCTCGTACTGCAGTAAGACTTTCTCAAACTCTTCAATTGGCTTGTTGGGCTCTGTCTCTGCACATTCAAGATTTGCATCAGTAATATCTAAACAGTCAGTTAAGGAAGCCAAATCAATTTTCATATTACTCTTATTTTTCACAGCAACTTTGAGACTTTGAGTGATGGTTATACCAAGTCACTGACATACAAAGTAATTACGACAATCCTTTTTTTTATCAATATTATCCAACAAATGATACTCACTAGAGCCTTAAAACAACCCATGGAAAGTTGTAATAGATTGTCTTCTTAAAAAAGCAAAAAATTTAACCTGCCCTTCCAATCTGCCGAAGGAAGAGGGGAAACTGCTCATCACAGGGTTCATGTCAGAGCAGGTATGCTCACGATTTGCATCAGTTCAGCAGTACCTGACCATTTCAAAGGCAACTTTCAGAGTCTATTTTCTTACAAGACCCAATCTTCAGGAGATAGGCACAAAGCACAGTTGGCCAAAAGACAGATTAAGTAATAATAATAGCTTGTCCATCTATCCTGTCGACGACCAAAACATCTGCAGAGGAGAATATTTCTCCAGACAAAATAGGAGAGTTAGAAGAACTAAAGGTTAAGATGACTTGAGGCTTCTGCTCTGGTCGATGAGACCAAAATTGTGCATAGAAGTGTATGACATCCCATCGCTAGCAACTAGCCAAGACGTTGCATCAAACTTTGGTGGGACTACAGACTATATTGATTGATGACTCATTTCGGGTAAGTTTTGAGGAAAGTTGGTTCATTCTATGACTTTTCGGAGAGCAACATAAAGGATACACCTAAAGTCCATGGTATTGGCTGCCACTTGCCAAGCTTGAGGATGTCTGTCAAGAGGTATCTGAGAACAGAAGGATACACTATGTTTAAAAGTGTGATGAAACAGAGCAACTCTATTAACAAGCACCCTGAACAGCATTCGTAATTCAAACTGCTGATCTTCAACAAACAAATTCATGGTACATCTCCAGTGTCTACAGAGAGCAAACATTGTTTCCTCATGATGGAGGTACAAATAACTTCCTATCACAAACTCATTAGACACCATGTTACATTTTATATAGAGTTGCTCAAAAACTAATTCTGAAGAGGAAAGTCTCTTGAGCTTTCCATTTGTGAAAATATCTGATACCAACTTCAAAGAAAATAAAACAATACTGCATTTTAGGAGAGGCACTTAAGTCTATCCGACCATTCTGTTGTATGAAATACTTCAGACGCTTTTGTGAATCATCATTATGTTAATAGCGAAAAACGTTCATCACTGTTCCAAATATTAAACCTGACAAATCATAAATATGACTCTATCTCTCTCTCTCTCTCTCTCTCTCTCTCTCTCTCTCTCTCTCTCTCTCTCGCTCTCTCTCTCTCTCATCAAAAGCAAGACAAATGAATAAACTTTAAGATAACATCAATAACTCCATAAAATTATGCTCATTCAGCATTCACTTCCAAGCCACACATTCACTTTCAATAACATTCCAACTGTAAACATAATGATCAGCTCAATGCTTACAATCTTAGCTTGCTTTTGCTTTGCCTCCCTCACGCCTGGGATTCTGGACACAAAGTTCACAGGTTCCTTGGGAGCTTTCTTCTTTCCCTCTCCCTTGGCTTCTTTAGGATCTGGCTCCGCTGAAGAAATAAAACATCAGATTCAAAGGGCCTGCTTCCCCAACATACTGACTTCATTTGGGTTTTTTGGGTTTTTTGCCCCAATAAAAATCTAAGTATCATCTCGATTATGAACTTTGCTTTCCTGGTAGTGGGAGCAAATAATAGGGAAGGAAAATAAAAATAACTTTGTCTTAACTGTAGCCAGTTAGTATTTCTAAGACCAAAGGCTAAATAAATTTAGAAACTAGACCAACATATCATTTTGAGCAATATCGCTCTCACACATGTTCACTACTAAGGCAAGAGCTATTTACAAATCTACTGATCTTCTCCGCACATTGAAATTAGTTAAAAATTGCTACGGCCATATGTTAAATAATAACAGTAATACATGCACACAAAAAAAAACGAGATGATTTTCATGAAAGTGGTTACAATTTTCGAACTTCTAAATCTCTCAGAAATAAAGACAAACCACTTTTGCATACAACTAAGAAACAAGAAACAGTGCCTGGTGCTTCTGAAAACATTTTAGAACATGCAAACCTTGTTTTTCATCATGCATTCTAGCGTGCAACAACTCCAGTGAAAAGTCTCTGGACACAGAGTTCACTCCCTCTATGATCTCCAGATGTGTGTTGGCCTCCAGGGGGAGATGCATCAGGTCAGAGTCCACGAGCAACACAACACATTCATTTTGTGGCTGGTGCTCTTTGGTCCCCTTGTCTTTCCCTCCCGCCTCCTGGGCAATGTTTGGATTGCTGCCCAACGGAGTACTGCCAGACCTGATGGAGGCAGAATGAGACACAGTACTCCATTAACATTTCTATACTTGCTCTAGTAAAAGTGAACAAATGCATGTCGCTACCTCAGATTTACAAAGTTTTATCTAATATTTCTTACCGTTTTGAGTGAGTAAGACCATGAGGTCAGAAACCAATGCTCTATCTGCTCCATCAAAATGGTAAGAACATTCGGTACTGTTATCAAGATATTCAAAGAATCGCATTAGAAAAATATTGATATGTAAAACTTTAAAATTTTGATGTCAAATTTTTCAAAACTAAGTATTGAGCAGACAGAACTTTGTAATTATAGGGTAGTGATGTGGCAAAGCATTTTGAGTATCATGCACTCAAAAGAACTGGTGAAATATATATCAAATTTAAAAAGACATTTTAACACTTTCCCCAGCTGCTCTGAAAAACATAATTTAAGTGCAAAAATAAAGATCAGACAAAACAAAGACAAGAACAATGGCACAGTTCTGACTTGGTTTTAGAAGAAAAAGTCTCATCCACCAAACACTAGTAGTGGAAAATCTATCTTTGATACAACAAAAGAAAGATTAAAGTTCCAATTCTAGCATAACAACAGACTGCTAGATTCAATTATGACAATGAAAGGGCTTAGAGAATTTTTAGCATTTCTGGTCAGAATTATTTAAAAGGCAGTAAAGCAAATATGAGATTTTTACAGTCTCCACAGACATAATGTATCAGTGGCTTGTACAATGGCTCATTTACATCACAGACTGTCAAATTTTTCTTATTCGAAATGAAAGAAAACCAGACAATGATGAAAAATGCAGGCACCAGGGACATAAACAAGGATTGACATGCCTATTGACGCCATTCAGTCAGGCAGCATAGAAAAGAGGGATGAAAAAGAAGAATTGTGTAATGCAAATCAAATTTCATCAATTATAACCACAAACAAAGAAGAAATTCACGAAGAAATGTATTATTTCAACAGCATTGAGTATTTTTTTTTTCAAAATAAAGATCAAAAGAAATTTGCAAATAACAGTAAAATGTTCTCACAACAATCAACAAAGTAAGTTTTTAAAGCAGAAGAAGATGAAGTCAACCCATTATAACGTGACCCCCTATTGTAAGCATAACTTTGGATTTAAAAGCAATTTTCTTTTCAAGCAGCTTAGTTCTTTTGGTGCTCTCACGTTTGTGATTTTGAAAACACAAACTTTGTTACTTGAAATGACCACATAAAATTTGGAGACTTATGAAAAGCACATTCATCACAGGGAGAAGCCACCAACACATTTTTATTGTTACTCATTCGAACGTCCTGAGTTCTCAAGATGTCCATGAGAAAAAAGAAAGTGGGCATGTCAGTTAAAACAAAACTTGACTAATTCTGCATGAGTTACCTCATCAAGACCACTCAAAAGTTAAAATAAACCAATATTTTCAATCTGTTCAGTCTGTGCATTCAATACAATTCCTATCAATGTTTAATCATAGAGCAAAAATAAAACTATCTTCTAGATAATGCCTTCAGATTCAACTCCTAAATTAGTGTTTGACATGAAGATTATTTTTTAGGTCATATTTTGTCTATTTAGACAGAAAGGAATACTCGTGAATAAACATTTTGCTTAAGCATTAATTGGGGTTTCTGCAGAAAATCTTTATGGCATTTTTAGTGATTCAAAACTACAAAATCAACCTATTCTCAAATACAGCAAAAAATGAAGGATAAATTCACTTTCAAAATACAAATCATCATCACTCTGACCGCTAGCATGACAAAATTGAATCATACACTACAACGAGAATTTATATAATATAAAAAGTTGATATTACAGTTAATCGGATACCCACAAGAAAATATTACAAAGACTTTCTGTTTTGCCTTTCACAAAAACAAAAAAGTCAGGAAGCTGTGATATGAAGCTGGTCACTATATAAAGTTTGACTTCATGAACCAAAACTTTTAAAAAAATAATACCTTAGAATTAGATCTTCCAAGAGTGCATCTCTGAAAAGTAATCCAAAATATGCCCACCAAGTGGGTTCATAGGAAATAGGACGGTTGTGTAGCAAACATAAGCAGTCTCAATTCAGCAGAATATGGGCTTATCGCCTTGGGTAGCCCAATCATATCTCAAAGATGTAAGTCGTAAAAAAAAAGAATTAACTGTAGAAATTTTCGTTTCATCTAGACTCAAAAACAGAGTAAAAATGTTATCTAGCATACCTGAGAGAATGGCAGATCGGTTCTAGGACTGGCCTTAGGTAGTCATTCATCGCCCCTACAATGTTCTCAAATTCCTCTTCCAATTCAGCCTCTTGCAGAGCAGTTTCACTGCTTGCCTAAAAAAAAATATACAAAGAGTTAGAAATTAATATTTTTAAAGCATTTGCAGGGCTGGAATTCTGTTTCAAATTTGCCACGTGGTGCACTGATATAGTATACAGCAATACAGCCTAATAAAGACTACACTTTGAAGAAAAGACTGATATCTCAGTAGAGGTGTCAAATAGAAGTAGGTGCAGACAACACCAGAAGGTTGAGGAACTCACTTACCAACAGAAAGAAAAGTTGGGGAACTCACAAATAAATTGTAGCCAATCACATTCCAGGATTACTCCTCTTACTCTAATACCCTCAAAAAGGGATTGGACGAGATAAAACAAAGTGAAGAATAGAAAGAAAAGTCCTGTGTTCCACGGTAAGTGTCTGTCATAGTCTAACTATGAACAGTGTTCAAGAGAGGGCGGGGAGGGTGAAACTCAGTTTGAAAACAATAACAGAAAAACTTCTTTGATTACCACTTGCTATCAAAATTTAAAAACAAAACAATACTAAAAACAAAAAACAAAAAAAATGCAAACAATAGAAGAAATAACTTTCCCACTTTTTCATTGTTTTCGAGTTTTAGGGAATAAAACCTCTACATGTGTTAAATAAAAATTTCCGATTCCATCAAAGATATATAGATCTATTATCAAACTCTAAACAAAATGCAAACAGCCAGCTGTGGAGTAATAGGTTATGAACTTGACCAATGTATAAAATTAGAATGGGATTCAAACCCTTCTCCTCTTCCCGATAAAATGTTCTCTTCACCCAAAGTCCTGTCATGGAACTAGTTGCTTCATGTAATAAGAAAGGAAACTTTATTAAAAACAAGCAATCATACAAAACAACAAAACATGAAAGGAACCAACTAATGGAAAAATTCAGACCAGTAATCATACCAGTTGAACAAGCTCATTGATAATTTCTCTTGCAATCATTTCAGCCACGGTCAATGATGATTCATCACAAGAACTCTGGGAATTCTGGGCCAGATGTGACGTGTGAGATGAAGCATTGACAAGAAGAAATATGCTAAATATTAAAAGTGTTTGCAGTTATCAATGTTCTTTCTGGGAAGTGGTAAATGCAAAATAAATCAGATTACATCAGACTATGGAGTAGCAACTTTCCTGCAGTCTTTCTGCTGCTGCAGTTGTAGATCTTACAGGTGCTATTTCTATTCTTGTTCGTTACTGGTGCTGGTGGGGTAGCTTACTGATAATCTCGATACTCTTTTCTGATGAAATTAACATTATCTTTCTGCTGTTGTTGTTACGGGGCATTTTAATGCCATAATCCAAAAGAAACTCAAATAGAAGTTGAAAGTGTTCACGGCGAGAACGTTTTAAGCAAGTTAAAGGTCTACTTTTGGTGCAGTTTATCCAAACAGGGGCATACTGCATGATGAGCAAATTAGAGATAGTCATGTGTCCAGAAAAACAAAAAAATGCTAGATGCATTGAAAATCTCCATCGTGATGACAGGAGGTTCAACTAGCGTACAGTGTAAGCTATTTCTCAATCATGAGCAAATTTTTCATTTTATAGCGATTTTCTTTTTATTTCTGTGACATCCTCGTATTTCTCAGCTATTTTTCTGAGAAGAAAATACATTTATCACAAGAACACGACAATTCATAGTACCTCTGTCACCTGTTTTGAACTGTCAGTAGCTTCCTCATTAAAACTGCTCCACCTTCTCTGCTCACCTTTACAATGACCTTCTGGTCATCATCCAGACCCTCCAGCATCCGTTGCCTCTGGGCGGCCTGTGTGCGCTGGTACTCTCTTTTAAGCAGCATGGCCTGCACCTGGGTCTTATGCTCCTGGAGCTCCGTCAAGATTTCCTTCAGCCGAGAGAAATCTGTCTGGCTGCCAAACACCCGTGCTCTGCTCACATCTGCATTACGGGAAAAAATGAGTTTGTTTGTTTGTTTGTCTGAGCAAAGAGAAGCCCATGCACACAATAACAGCCATATAATTGTATTTTTAAAAAGACAGAGAGACAGGAACAATCATTATCAAGTGCCAGATCTGCAACAGACATCAGTGATCATGGTTTGCCATTCATTTCTTTGCTCAGATGCGCTTAAAAAAGCAATATTATCCTCATTATTCCCTATCAACAAAAGAGGGAATTTACAGAAGTAGGACTCAACTGCAGCAATGCTCTACAACCACTATTGAAAGTGAAAAGCAAAAGAAAACTCATGTCTGAATAGCTGGATTTTAGAACTATCGCAACTCGAGTAAAATCTCAATTTTTTTTAGGAAGAGGGGTTATAATTACAAATTAAAACATCATATGACATTTCGCTTTTCCACAAAGACAACAAATGCTCTGTAAACAAAATTTAAGTGACTTCAAAGGCAAACCCTTGACCTCTCAGAAGCGTATGCTAAAGAGGCATAAAGAGTGAAAACTTAAAGTTAAGCTTAAAGAAAGGAGGAGAAGTTCTGTAACAGTAAAAATGAATAGTCTAAAAAGTATTTCCATGATTCGTTTCAGTCATACTAAAAAGCAAAATTATACCTGCCAATGGTTAAATTGTATTATCTTTATGAATTAGGAATGGACGTAATCTTGAGTACAAACAGTACTGAAGAATCATCTTGCACTATACAACGCTCATAAAAGAACTTTCCTACAATACAGATAACAGTAAATCACAGCTGACAACTAAAACTAGAACAAAACAGAAAGAAAAAAAATACAAGTAAAAAGGAAATAAACAGAGTGTCAAATCGCAAGAGGAATTGCTCATTCAAAGACCAATACCTGACTCGTCCTCTGATTCAAGAACTGATGACTTTATTTTATTTGGGGAAATTTTGCCCTCTGAAATCCATACCAAAGAAAGACTTGAACATCAGAACAATAGCCTTTTACACATAAAAAACACACCAAAGTATATGTACCAAACCACAAACAAAGTGTTATCTTAAATTCAGTTGTCCTTCTTGGAAAGGCAACACAAATGTTTCAAATTTCAATTAACTTTCAATTTCTTTCAACCCAGTTTACAATAAATTATTAATAACTGGTACTTCCACCTTTCATTTTGAAGATCTGGTCTCATAATAATGAACAGTGAGTTCATCAAGATCATATCCCACCATAATATTTCGAGTTCAGGAAGGAAAAAAGAAAAGTAAAATAGCAAAGTGGTAACAGTCGACTCTACCGCAGTTCCAACATTTCATAGTTGAATATGTCAACATCACTCTTATATTGCTGAATTTGTAAAATTATGACTTTCACATGACACAATTCATCAGAAAGCCCGATTCCTTTACGATCCATTTGGCTCCCATTCTCTCTCTTATTCTGAAACAACGGCCACATTTTACAAGACAATACAACTGAAAGAAAAGTACACCGCATATCATGGCTTAAGAAGGACAAAGACTTGTTTTTTTGTCAAGTTTATAGCAACAATTACAAAGGCCACAATTTTATCTTCTCAGCCTGGGCAGCTTGGCATTGTACAGAGGAGTATGGTCCAACACCCTCCTTTTAGATACCCAGCCTCAAATTTTTTTCTCCAACAGATCAAAGCCAAGAAGGTGAAGAGCCTGGCAAATTCCCCAAACAACTCAAGTTCAAGAAAAGCAGACTGAGAATCGAACCCATGATCATCCCCATCGTAGCCCAGTAAGAACCCACCAGAGCTAACAAAGCGTCCTTGAGCAGATCACTCTCATAGAACATTAAACCACATGCATGAAGTATTAAATGTCTTCTACTCACTGGCCTTGTCCTGTCCTTTTGCTTTCCCAGCAGCTGCACCAGTGGGGCCTGCTCCTTTGGGTTTGTCCAGGACAGCTCCATACAGATATGTCCTGGGGGTAGAAATCAGTGTTATGTACTTTTTTAGAAGTGGAAAACTACAATTGTCTCAGTGGTTAGGTACAAAATGGTAAATTTTCAAAGTACTGAACAGCAGTGCAGTTGTTTCCCTTTCCAAGAGGTGCACTTTATCGTAACCCATCTGACCTCTCTGACCGTTGCAGGAGGGCGATAAATCACAGTGCATCACAACAACTCTCTTGAATGAACCCAAAAATTGGCTGCTTTGCATGAAAGGTGTACAGTTACAAAAATTAACCAAATTTACATCATATCGCCCCCTTTATCCATCCCATAAACTTAAGAGTGCTAAACACCTAGCAAAAGCTCAGTATCTCTGCTATAACCTGCTATTTGAAACTGGCTTCTCTTTTCTTAAGTGCTTTTGGGATACTTTTGTAATATCACTACTGTGTGGCTGTGCATTACTGATTTTTTAAAAATTAATTGCAATAACACATTTCATGTTACTCTTCATATTCCCTTTTACAAATTAATTTACTCTATTCGCATGCAAGATTGCACAAAAAATCTTTACCTTTTTATTTATTTTACTTTTTTATATATATATATATATATATATATGCGATAACAAACCAATGCTGGACAAAAAAAAATTTCCTTTTTTTAATCAGACTGTCTTTAATTACTTCTCCACAATAAACGTTAGACTGTCGTGAAATACACTTTCCTTTCCTTGTGATACTTTCGTTGTTGTTTCATTGAATTTCTGACTCCAAAGAGACTGATGTCATTTTAATTGTGCATAACATAATAATGTGGGTGAGAATCTGTTGACCTGGTCTAACACCCACAGGTAATGCGACTAAGGCTTGAACTTATCTCGGAAGTCAAGTCAGTTAGCAACTTGACGTTCTGAGGAGGAGCTAGAATTACAAAATGCTATCTGACATCTTTGGCTGTTTTTGAGTTACAATATAAGACTATGAGGTCGAAGACCAAATGATCTATTTGCTCTATCAAAATCCTAAGATTATTCGGAGTAGCTATCAAGATATTCAAAGAATTGCGTTAGAAAAAGCTTGACATGTGAAACTAAATTTTTTTACTTCAACTCTCTCAAAACTAGGTACTGGGCAGATAGAACTTTGCAATTCTTGGGTGGTAAAGTAGTAAATGGTAACTTATCCCAATGTAGAAGCAGCAAATAGTAACACATCATAGGGCACAAGTAAAAACTACTAAATGATCTGGGAAAGAAGTACAAAGCAGTCATTATAATAGAGAAAAATAAAAAATGGAACATTTTTCTGTAGAGAAAAGTAAAAAAAAATGTATATTATTGTCACAGTGGTTAAGAAGAAAATTATATTTTCAAATAGAAAGTATATTCACAGATAAAAAATGTTGAAAAACTAAAGTAAATGAGAAATTACTTACTTGTCCGGCGAATGCTGCAAAACAATGAAATTGTAGTTGCTTGGGAACTCTTTGAGCAGGTCCAAATGATTGGGTGATATTCCAAGTCGCTTCCAAGCCTGAAACATTGAAAAATAGAAAAACTGGGTCAGACTTTATGCCACCTTCACAGTATCCAGTACAGAGCATTCAAATGCAAGACTCAATGTCATCCAATAGAAAATGCTTAATCATATTGAAAGACAAAAATAACTGATTAAGTATTATAAGTATGCCAACGTCAATTTGCATAAAAACACAAAAAAAACAGAAAGGTTTGTCAAATATTATTGACAGTGATAGTGCATATGTGTGCATGAATATTTAGAAATAGGTGATTCAACGTGAGGAAAATAGACCTGCCAATAGGAAACCTCCAATAAGTCAGACACCAACAGACAGAGGAGAGCCACAAATTTCGGAAGACACCGCGAGAAAAGGTCAAAATATGAACAGAGACAAGAACGAAGGAAAAAAACTGAAACAAAATGATTGACAAAAAGCAAGTGCCATCAACTAATCAAATGAAATGGAAAACAGGTCACAATGACTTAGATTGAAACAACGAAAGTCAGCACTGAAATAGTAGCTATAAAAAAACAGCAACCCAATAACTTAGAATTATGGAATATTCTTCCAAACCTCCCATCCCCCCTAGATTTATAGTTGTAAGGATGTTACAGAAATTTGTCCAGACAAATAAAAAAAAACACTTTGAGTATTGAGTCATTTCATTTGTTACAACAAGAAACAACAGAGTATTTTGCCTTCCTTTGATTGATAAATTTGTCAGAGACCTGCCAGTCAGTGTGGAGAGCGGTGATGGTGTCCTTGAACACACCGCTGCCACTGAGGTTGGTGGTAACATCACTGTGCAGCATGTGAGCTCTCTGGTGGAGGAGGGCAGCAAGCTTGGAAGTCATGGGGTCAGGCTGGGACTTCACCAGCACTCCCTTCATCATCAGTGCAGCCTCGCAGCTCTGGAAAACACAAACAGTTCCTTAAACATTGTCACACAATGAATAGACTTGTTTGTGAGGTCATCTACAATGATGAACAAAGTTTTCTGCCAGCAGCTCTAGAACACACAAACAGTTATCTCAAACTGTACTATGTCATGTTGGTGTTCGCGAGGCTATCTAAAAGGACAACTAGAATTTCTTAAAACAGTAGTAAAAAGAAGCCTTCACATTATTACTCTCGCAATCCACAAATGCAGATATTGGCAAAAAATCAGCACTAGGGTCAACTTGTAGATTTTCTACTGAAGCCATATTCTCTAAGTATAACATGCCTTTTATTATTCCATATTTTTAAATTGTAAAAACTTCACCTATAATCATGGTGTATCTATTTCCATAGGGCTCGAATTCGAGAAGTTACTCATTTTGTAAGCACGCTTCACATATTTGCATTTCCATTGACCAACAATCAGCGCCTGACAAAAACACTACTACAAATAAATAATTCAGAAAATAAAATATGCAGCACTGCCAAAAAATGTGTAAGGTTCACAAACCTGGTGCAGTGACAGCATCATGGAGGAAGCAGCTGGGTCATACTGGCCTGTGAGAACAAACATCTCAAGGGATGCTTTAGCAGCCAAATCCTGAAAAACCACAAATTTTACAGTAAAACAATAACTGTCTCCTAAGACAACAGAGATGACAGATAGGATTGTAATTTCTTGTATTTGCTAAGAAAGTAATGTGTTTATTTCAGAAAGGCTGATAACTTATTTGTTGAAGCATTATTGTTGAAAGTATGTGAAAGCATTATTGAAAATAAGCACACGAGCCCATTTCCACAGCCTTTCCTTAATGAAACCCCTCTTGTAAAAAGGTAGAAGACTTGAAAAAAAAAATTCATAGAGGACTAACGCTCTCCTAGCCCTGACAAAGGGGTGAAAGTTTATGAGAAACTTTCCCCCAGTGACACCGTTACCTATGCGCCCAATGGACCTTTGTTAGGTGCTGTCTGCTTTCCTCGACTACACTGCCAAATACAGCTCATACACGCAATATGTTTGAAGTGCTGTGTGTGCATATTTGAGTTTGTGCCACTGAGATTTAACCGTTACTAATCACATCAAACCATTTTTGAGGCAACATTTTCATCAGAAGAAAATTAATACCAGAAATTTGGAGGTTAAACGGCTTCTTCCCCATCATCCAGAGGAATTTAAGTCAGAACAAAGAGAGGGAAGACAAAGGTAACTCTTCTTGAATGGTTCTCAAAATGCAGTGGCTCGCAGTGAGTATAGAAAAATCATCACTGTTTTGTTCTTATTGCTTGTTATTTGTTAGTACAGAAGTAGAAACAACCTAAGCCCCACCCAAATTTTGGTCAACACACCACCATTGAGTAGTTTGAACAGTGACTTTGATCAAAACACTCAAAACTGGTTAAATATGGAGCAAGAATGTATTGTTCTGATTCGTAGTAAGTGGTAAAAGAATGAAAAAAGGGACCCTTAAATGTTGTAACTGTTTGAAAGACAGCAGGGGGAAAAAAAAAGAAGAAAAAAGCAATACATGACATAAATGCAATTTCTTATTGGAAGCATTTCTCAAAAGAAGTTTTTCAGCCTGATACTTCAAACTAAAAAAATATATTAGCAAGTGATGGGTAACTACTTACAATATACTGTTGCTGAAGACAGCAATTGAGAGCCTGGGCAAGGCATTCACTGGCACACATGTAGAAATACTTTGACATCTCCAACTGGTCCTGAGAATACAGTATAAAAAGATTAATCAGAGCCTAAAAAGATTTTGATGAATATGTTTCAGTAGTATGGAATGTTGTGCTCCCAAAATCAGTCAAACTTCACGAGCCCTGTGTCTGATCGCAAAAGGAAAGGTTCCAGATGTTGAGATGTGTACACTCTGAAGATTTTTTTAAAACTTGAATCCTGCACAGCTCCTAGTAGTTTCAAAGCACTTCTGTGAGAGAGTGGGATTTTCCTACTCAATACTGAGTGATGATGCCATATGGTGCAAAAACAATGTCTTCTTTTTCTCCACGTTCTAAACTTTAGACAAAGTAACTGGACGTAAAAGATTAAATATTTTAAGATCAACATTGGTGATGTAATCTAACTCCAACACTACAATCAGAAACCCCAATGTCTTTACCTGCATTTTAGAGAGTGGGCAAGACAAGCGAGTGTGTGCTTGTGTAAGTGGGAATATATGGCGGGAGAGAGGGGGAATGTTTATATGTGTGTATGTAGTGTGTGTTTGTGTGTGTATGTGTGTGTGAGTGTGAGTGTGTGTGAGTGGGTGTGTACATATATAAAAAATAGCATATGTTTGCTTTTATTGTATGAATGCTTGACTTGAGCATGTTCACGTGCAAATGTGTAAATGAGTAGGTGAACTCGGGTGAGTAAGAGAGCATCAGTGTGCATGAATGTAAGTCTATATCTAAGAAGAAATAACTTTACTAAAATGAAACTTAAAGTTTACTCAACTGCAAGTTAATAATCAAAAGCTACAATCAAATCTTCACATGATCCATTTAAAAAACGTGGCTTACCTTCTTTTTAGTCATCTGCTGTGCGTATTTTGCCTGCTGCCTCAAGACCTTTTCGTCAACTTCCTCCACCTTTTCTTCTTCACGTGCCTCCTCTTCCTCTGCAGCATTTTCCTCTTCTTTCTTGTCAGTTTCATCTGCATTAGCAGCATCCTCTTCTGGGTTCTCCTCCTTGTTGGCAGCCTCCAGTGCGGCTGCTTCAGCTGCTGCTGCTTCCGCCTCTGCCTCTTCAGCTGCCAGCTGCATCCTCAGTACCTCCTGGAAAGATGCATGAAAGAATAAAAGAATGATACGAAATTAAATCTCTCTCTCTCTCTCTCTCTCTCTCTCTCTCTCTCTCTCTCTCTCTCTCTCTCTCTCTCTCTCATATCAATCTGACCAAAAAACATTTATGAGCTGTAATTAAATGTAGTCACCAGGAATTGAAGCTTTTCTTAATTAATGAGCATACACATCACAGACAGACTTTCTTTTCCATCGCCCCGCTGTTGCAAGATAATGCACTCCCCAAATTTGTTCCACTGCAACCAGATTTATTCAAATGCAAATTGGTGGAGTATCTATTACATAAAACAACTTATTTCCATGAAAGCAAGAATATACAGAACAGAAATTAATTCATGCCAAGTGTAGTGAGATAACTGAACACACAGTGCTACAAATGAAATATTGAAAGGGTGAGAGAGAGAGAGAGAGAGAGAGAGAGAGAGAGAGAGAGAGAGAGAGAGAGAGAGGGGGGGGGAAGAGACACAGAGAGACACAGAGAGAGACAGAGCTAGAAACAAAGAAAGTGGGAATGTTTATGGAATGGAAATGTTTCAGCACATGATATGTGTATTTATGTTCTTTGATGTTATGTATAAATGTGAATGAAATTATCTTTGTAACACCACCTTCACAATAAACGACTAAAATAAATTTTGACATTAATAACTCTTCCTCAGATAAAGAATTACATACCACATCATGCACCATCCACTGCACAGTCGGGTCAGGTCCATGGAAATCTGCAACAACTCGAAGCAATCTGCCTATGCCCACCAGACTCTGCACACAAGAAAAACATTGTTTTTTTGTTTTGGTTTTTGTAAAGTGTTTTACGGCGCTCGCAACTGCATAAGGTCATATGAGCGCGCGGGACACATCTAATATTTTCATTTGGTAGGAAATTTTGAAATTTGCCCGGGTGGCGGCCGAAGCCTACTCTAATCGATTTTAGACCACCAAGGGATCTTTAACGTGCGCAACTTGCACACGGGCCCTCCGAGATTTTTCGCCCTTGTCTGAGAAGGCTAGGGGTAGATCTTTCCTACCAGAAGATCAGGGGTGTGGCAGAAAGACAGCAGTAAAGAGGAGCCAAGGAGTAGCAGTAGAAAGGCTGCAGAAAGAGTCAGGAGCCCAGAGGAGGGGGCAAAGGAGGTGAGGGGGTGGGGGCAGAAAGTGGAAATGAAAGCAGACAACAGAACATTGCTAGAGAGCAGGAAAGGAGGTGAAAGGAGACAATTTTAGAAAAGAAAATTTTTCGGTCGCTGCCAGGATTCGAACCTGGGACCTTTGAATGAGAGGCCAACACCTTAACCTCTAGGCCACGAGAGCCCCAAACATTGTTTACAAATAGCAACAAATAACACAAAAACATTAATTAAGTTCATCAAATCCAGGTCATCTCTTCCGGTTCTGATTCTCGTCCCAAAACATCCTTGTCTATTGCGAGCTTAGAAGAAAGATGCTAACACCCTAGATAAATCTCACTCTGGTCTTTCTCTTTACATCAGCACTTTCACTCTGCCCTCTGGGGCTGTTTTCTCTTCTTTTTTTTAAAAAGTGAATGTAGTTTTTGATTCAGTACTTTTTATTAGAGATTTTACGGTGCTCGCAACTGCATAAGGTCATATGAGCGCCAGAAGATTAGAGGTGTTACAAGAGAGTAACAAACATAAAAAAGAAGGAGGGGGAAATAAGGACGATAGATGTTTGATAGGAAAGAAGGAGCAAACCACACCAGAGCACCCGCCAACCACCCACATTCAGTACTTTACACATCAAAATTTTTTTTTAAGGATCAAGTACTGTGCAACACACAGTATTGTTTACAGAATTAAGAAAATGTTTCCACAGAGTTACTTACTTACTTACTTACTACCCATTACGCCATCTGGCATTTAGGGCTGCAACAAAGGATCTCCAGCTCTGTCTGTTTTGGGCCATTTTGGTCAGCGTTCCCCACAAATGATTCTAGGACTTCATTTCAGACTCTACTGTGCATCTCCAGGTTACTTTGGGTCTGCCCCTTTTGCGGCATTCTTCGGGTGTCCAGTGGAGGGCAGTCTTCACAATAGAGTCTGGTTCTCTTCTCAGAACATTCAACAGAGTTAACAAGAAACAAAATAAGAAGAAAGGAGCCAGCTGTAACACTTCACACTTACCTTCGCCTTGAGACGTGGAATATTCGCTCCCAAACTGTGTGCACTGAGCAAATGAGAGACAGCTTCATCTCCAGCGATCCTGTGGAGCAAGATCCAAATTGAAAGTTTGCATGGTCTTAGAAAAAAAAGTAGACAATCAACTGCAACAATCTTAAGTAAACAGTTGAGGCTGCAAGAGGGCTTCACTTTATCCACACTTTGGATCCTTGAGACAATTTTTTGTTATCTTAAGCAAAACCATCTCACAGGTTCATGTCACTAACCTCACTCATAATATTCAATCAGCAATTATCTTATCATGTATATTGATTAACATTTAAAAAACCTTGTTCACTTTTAGTACCTTTTTACTCATATTCATTTCCTGACTGCCGAGACAGTTGTGTCTGTATAAGATGAGGCTTTGAATATAATAGTTCAAAGGGATCATGATGTACAAACTAAATCTCTGACACTATATTGCAATTCAAGGTCTAAAATGTTTCTAACCTTCCAATTTCAATCCATTGTTTTTCAGTTCCTTCATAGACAGGTGTCTCTCGAATGAAATCTTCCACAAGGCGGACAATAGATTGTTTTCTCTCCTCTTGCAGTTGAACTTGGCGTAGTTCTTTATCTCTTGCCACCAAGATATCAGTCAGAAGGTCTGCCATCTCAATTTTCACACTGGCCAGTTCTCTTTGTACTGGTGTGCTCAGCGGTTTCATCTGCAATATTAGAGGCAAAGGCATATTTCCCAGCATATGAAAGTGGCAAAATAAACGAGTAAATAAAATCTTCCTTCTCACAAGTCTGCTGTAAGTGTTGCCCCAATAATAATACATGTGGTATTACACCAACAATAACTCCAGAACACATCTGCAAATTATACTAATAGTAACTTTTAATTCTGCATCAAAGAAGCCTGTCAGTGTGCTGTAATACCATAGAACTTACATATAAATAACATACATACATGCAAAAGTTTTATAAATATACATGAGAGAGAGAGAGAGAGAGAGAGAGAGAGAGAGAGAGAGAGAGAGAGAGAGACAGAGAGAGAGAGAGAGAGACATACAGATGCATAATCTGTGAATCTACTACTGCGTTCACAAATCAATGTTTACCTGCCACAATGGGAACAGAGTGTGGACATCAGTGTAAACTCTCTCTGCAAGATTGACAGCTTGCTTTATGACACTCTGACACTGGGAGACAAAGAAGAAAATGTTGATTAATGTTGTGCATGCAGTAAAAATCGTAAAGCTTAAAACATAACTCCTGTACAACCAATATACTTCTGATCACAAGCACAAGAATTTTGTTTTCCAAAGAACAGAAAACTATTTCCCTTCTTTCAGCTTAAGTTCTTGAAAGGAAATTAGTAGTCAGTGAACGTCACTGCTTACCGTATTCAAATACCATAGTATTTGTATCCATGATTTCATTTTGTTTGGTTTAAACTCTCTAAGAATGTCAGTTTTTATGTCATCTTGTTCAATTTTTCAATCAATTAATAGACATTAACATCTGCTTAGGTGCATATGGGTCCAGAGAATTGTATTTGTTTATTTCTGGATGAATATATGAAAGACTCTCTGCAGCAATGTCAGTAACAACATATTTTGCCAATCAAACTAAAGACGTAAAGCTCATCTCTGTCTCCAATAAGGGACTCTACCAAGCCTACTAAACTGCTAAAATCGCTTAACCGAGTGCATACCCGAATAAAATAAACTCTTCGGAGATCCTTATCAGGCGATTCATGAGCCAGAAGTTTAAGCAGCCTTGCATGTTCCATCACCACTGGCACAGCCTCTCGCCAACATCGCAGGGACACCATCTGCTCCGCTATGGATTCATACCGCTGTAAGGAGAGAAAAGATAGGGTATAAAAACAAATAAGACAAAAGAATATTAAGCTGTGTGTGTCATTTCAAACAAAGCCACAGTGGTCAGAGACAGATGAACAGATAAAGAAGGAGAGAGAGACAGGTGGGAGGACAGTCAGACAGACTGAGAGAGAGAAGAGAGTGAGGGAGAGAGAGAGAGAGAGAGAGAGAGAGAGAGAGAGAGAGAGAGAGAGAGAGAGAGAGAGAGAGAAAGAGAGAGAGAGAGAGAGAGGGGGAGGGGGGAGGAGGGGGGGGACAGACAGATAGAGAGACAGACAGACAGACAGGCAGACAGACAGACAGACAGACAAAGACAGAGAAAACAAAAAGAAAAAGAAAAAGAAATACACAAAAGACATAATATGCTAATATGAGTATATTATTTAAATGTCCCTGTACAGTACAGCAGCCGAATGAAGCATAACCATCCAGAAAAATTGAATTTTTAACCCCTAAAACTGAATATTTAACAGTTTTCCTGGTCAGCTGACATGTCCTACAGAACAATGAATACCCCTTGTTGACAAGCTATTTACAGAACCTTCAACTATTTTGAAACAATAAAATCAAAGAAATGAACAAGGGAATGGAAATGTATGCCCAGAAAAAGTCTTACTCTTTTTCTATAATCAAAATAAAAGAATTATCTATTTTGAAGGACGGGATGGGGGTGGGGGGGGGGGGTGGGCGGGGAGCTAGTTTCATTTGCAAGCAGACACACAGAAATCTGAGCGTACATTTTACATGATAAAAACTCCACCTTTTTATATTCATAGGAGAGTCAAATGTTCAAATATGTTTTTCCAAAGAGACAACACAAAACTCAATATACACCAGGAAACAAGGTGGAAAATCACTCAAAACCACTCTAAAATCAGAACATCTTTGTTGATTCTGATGAACAAATGGCATTCTTCCAATCCCATCACCCATTTGTCGGTATTTTGTAATATTTCAATTTTCACCATCGGGTTGACATTTTCATGGAATTGCCCTCAACCAACTTCAATACCAAAGTCATTTCTTAACCAGTCTACACATATTTAGAAAGAAATGGATAATTGTATTGAACCCTGTACCTGAAAAGTCTCTCTCTTTCTCCCTGTATACCTGCTTGTCTACCTGCCTGTCTACCTGCCTGCCTGCCTGCCTGCCTGTCTGCCTGCCTGCCTGTCTGTTTGTCTGTCTGACAGTCTGAATTTATGAAAATCTGAATATCTCAATGCCTGTTTGTCTGTCTCTATAATGTTCAAAATATAAACAGTTCACTTACATCACAACCTTCAAGCACAGCCTTAAGCAGTTGAGGATTGTTCAAGTCCTTGCGGCTGTGCAGAATACTCTCCATATGAATGTGCAAGAGGCTGAAACAAATCAAATAGTTCACTCTTAGACGCTTCAGCACACGAAGAGTTAAAATTCTATACGATATGCCAACAAAGCAGGAAATTACATACCATCACAGCCAGTCAGTGATGAACTTTATTTTGATACTTTTGCATTTAAACATCACGCCAATCAAAGCCCAGGCTGGTACAGAAATAGAAAACAAGGAACATAGCAACACGCATGAAAATATCTCTCCAAAATACTAAAGTGTACATCTGAACTGCTCTGTAAAGGAATTAATAATTGGCATCTTTTATTTGACAAACTTTCTCCAACATATTCATTAACCCTATCCGTACGTTGTGTTGTACTGTCATATCCATACGACGTTGGGAACTCTGCCACCACTTTCCAAAGAGGGAATTTACTCGTTAATTCGATCTGTACGCTTTGTATAGCAGTCTATCAAAATGACTTTTTAGAAATACTGAAAGTTTCAAAGAGATCTTCATATTAGAAGGATTCTAAAATGTGAAGAATACAACCCCGGAGGTACAAAATGACCCCAGGGCATACGGATAGGGTTAATGTTTAATTCCATACACAAGATGTTTCAGGCAAAACTTTCAACATTCTTTAGGCCTACTGCTCTAAGAGAAATAGATTCAGGCTCAATGCAGTATTTGTTTTTCATTCATTCTTTTTTTTTAAAGAAGGTTGGCTGGGGGGGGGGGGGAATTTTTTTCTAAAGAGGTGAATTACCTTCGAGGAGCGCTATCATTTTGTAAACATAATAATGATAACCATTCATTACGACAAAGATAACCAAGGGCAATGCAGCAGCTGTATCAAAAATAATAATGAACATAAAGATATGTTGTCTCCATAGTTACAGTAAACTATAAAGGCTCTAAGAAACAGAGGTGAAAAGATAAAACTTAGTAAGACTTACAGAGCTTCCAGTTTTGAGCAGTAGTATCGGGACATATTCTTCCTATTTGGATTTTCATCTCCAACTTTGCTGAACTCATTGATGGCATGCACAAGAATTTTCTTGGCCTGGAACACATACAAAAATATCATCAACAGTTATCTTCCAATTCTACAGGTATATATTTGTCTGTTGAACTATTTGCACCTCTGTGTTTCAAGGACATAATAATTTCAAACTTTTGCGAACTGGTCATGATCATGATTCTGATTTTCCGACACTTCTCCTAGCGTCACATGACCAATAGTTGGCATACTGAACGTAACTTGTTACTCAATTTTTTTTTTCACATGCAAAAACAGCATTGGAATTATTATCTTCCAAAAGTAAAAACGTTCTCAATCCTTACCTTACGCACTGTGTTGATGTCATAAACTTCTTTGACCGTGGCCTCTGCCAGAAGCACAATACTGTCATACCAAAACCTCTCCTCTCCTTCTTTCACAGCCTGAAATAACAATATAAAAATAAAAACTCCAATACGTGACGATAACTTGCATTAATAGTTGTTAGGTTTTTTATTTTTACTACATGGCTTCAAGGCCAAAAATAATTATAAATCTCAAATAAAAAGCAAAGAAATACATCGCATCATTCTATAATGCAGTTAGGGCTTCTGTACTATTTCTGGAGTTGTTAATTTTTAAGAACTCACTCAACAGTCATATATATGAAAAAAAAGTACTATGATATACCATTGTTTCCAAAAATATTGAAAGATTTATAAGAAAAAGACATACCTGAGCAGTCTCACACAAATTGATGGTTTGACCATACTGGGCTTCAAAGAAAGCAAGAGATGCCAGGAGGTGTCTGATCCTGGCCTTCAAATTTATGTCAGCAAAAGCCTGGGAACAAAAAGTATTCCAATTTTATAATTTGTATAAGAACATTAAACTCAAAATCAAGATTAGGAATTCATTACTCTTTGTATTTCAGTACATACTATACAATATATAAATAAAAGTGGCAAAGTATCCTGAAAAAGAGTGAATATATAATATATATTTATGAGGAAATAGTATGTAAATTTTCCCCATTTGAGTTCTGTTTATAGCAAAGTTCTTCATAATCCAAGTACTGGCCATTTATGGAGCCTTAAATCTTGGTAAACAAAAGAATCAGTTCATAACCATTACGTGAACAAAGTCTAAGAGGTAAAAAAATATTGATCATCAAGTCTTGAGGTTATTTACATTAGTAAATGGCTGAAAAATTTTTTTAATGTGAAGAACATAAGCACACAGGTGCATTTTGCTAATCAGAATTAAGCTATTAAACAACAAAACAAGTGGGATGTGCCACAAGAATATTAATCATTATTTTTAAAATATACAATGAGCAAGTAATAAGTCTTTCTTACTCTCACATAAGCTCACTCAAAAAGAGTACTTGTATCAGCTTACCTCCGCTGCAATGTTGGCCTCATTCAGGTACTCCCTTGCCCTTTGATAGTGTCCCTTTAAAGCAAAAAAAGCATGAAAGAATTAAGGTTTTCCGGAGAATTTCCAGCAAGGTTAGAAAGGCTATTTCCAGTAAGACACATACCTATCGATAGAATTGTTTGCATTTTTAAAATATGCAATTTTTTTTTTTCAATAAGAATAATCATATAGATAGCGGGGTCAAGGGAAATTGTGGAATTAGTTCAGTCTCAGCAAAGTATGTGGTGATATAATTATATCTTCAATTGTCGTAATCAACATAATGATATTATTAAACTTCAACTTTTACTTACATACAGATAATAATATAATTTCAAAGGAATCAGAGGGAACCAAAACAAAGCTTTTATGTTTACCTGTCTGATTAGGACTTCGGCTGTATCTGTCCAGACATCTCTTAGGGACACACTGCCCAGCACTTTCCCAAGGTGAATTTTCACATCACCTTCATTCTAAAACAAAACATTAGAGTTTAGATAAGCACTTTCACAAATAGGAACAATGCAGAGAGATCATATGAGAAGAGAGTGGGGGAAAAGACCAATGTACCAGAGGTGTACTTTAACCGCCAACTCACAATAAAAGAGTGAATAAACATTCACAAACATGATAGAAAACAATGAATTGAAGAATTACAGACAAGGGCACAAACTGTCTCCACATTTCAGGAAAAGCAACAGAGTGATCATAGGTAAAGAGTAAGGCTTCATAGGTAAAGAGTAAGGCTTCATAGGTAAAGAGTAAGGCTTCATAGGTAAAGAGTAAGGCTTCATAGGTAAAGAGTAAGGCTTCATAGGTAAAGAGTAAGGCTTCATAGGTAAAGAGTAAGGCTTCATAGGTAAAGAGTAAGGCTTGGGCTTTTTCAGAGAGTGGCCACTTCAACCAATAATTATACATTTTACTAAATGACATTAAAAGAACTTGAGACCCTTCAGCTAGTCAGGGGAGACGTTTGCTTAAACTACAGCATTGTTCATGATTTGCAAATGCCAGAACAGAGCAAACCAAACTATAAGTAAATTTACCTCTTAACTGAGTTTACTTTTAATTATACTTATAAATAGTGACCAATGACTTTGCGGGTTATTTTGAATTTGCAGCCAATCCCTTGGCCCAGCTATCAGTCAATAAAATAATAATAATAATAATTGCATTTATATAGCGCATATCCATGCTCAAGAGCATGCTCTATGCGCTTTACAACTATTATTACCCCAGCAGACCCTCTGACAACACTCAGAAACATACTCGGCTTCCGCGGAAGCATACAGTGCAAACTGCGGATTTCACGCGCTCAAACACTATCAAACTGACAAGATCGTTCACTGTCTATAGCCGGGTACCCATTTCCACCTGGGTGAAGTGAGGAAAATTTGTGCAAAGTGCCTTTCCCAAGGACACAACTTCAGGCCCCTGACGGGATTCGAACCCACGACCTAACGGTTGCGAGTCTGAGAGCTTTACCTCTAAGCCACCGACGCCAGTGACACGGTCCAGCCGAATGACTACATGCTATGTGTTATCACTTGGTCCGCTGTGCTAATGTACTAATTGTTGACTTCATCGCGTTTTGCACTTTATAAGTATTTGTTTGATTGCTTATTATTTTTTGGATGACTCATTCTATCAGCTTAGAGAAAAGACATAGTTTTATGTCTTTTTATCACCTGTTGAGCTCTAAATGTTCATTTTTCAGTAGCACATATAAATCTCAGCTCATACCCCGCCAAAACCCCTATGTTTAAAATCGATCAACCACGGTGGCAGGGCATTTGGGGCTGGTTACTTCCAGTAAAACAGTGTGCGCTTCAAGGGTTAACTCAGAAGTAGAAGAAAGCATCCAGTGTCATAATACCAGCACTCTTTTTTCAACAGAAGACTAGAGTCAAACACAGTCCTACCTTGGCTACTTCAGAGGGAAGGGGCGCTGACTTGCCAGTGGGTGCCTTTGGCCTGCTCGGAGAGCCAGATGTCATCCGAGCCAGTGTTTCTTTCACTCTCAGCTCCTCTTGGGCAACCTGTGTCTGCTTCTCTTTCCACTGAGCAATCTCATCCCGAGAGCTGTACAGAGCACATGGAAAATAGATCAAGATTTATACCCATAATGTGTATCAAAATATGAATAAACTGATAAACAACGTAACAATATAAATTCATTGCATATGCTGAACTGAATTTATTTTATGTAGGTGTTTTTAAAACCCCATTGACGCAATTTAGATAATTTAGGAGGTAGGCTTCTTAGCCCACCCCGGATGAGAGGGATACAACATCCAAGCAGAAAGGGTGAGATACTCTATAAAAATTGTCTCTCCACACTGGAATCAAACTCAGGTCTCCTGTGTGCAATAGCAAAGTGCCTAACCCCTACACAATAGACACCAGTCTGGACTGAGTTAGAAAATGGAAGAAAGAAAAATCTACAGCAAATAACTTCAACTGAGAAGTAGTTCTGAGCAGAACCGTTCATATAAAGCATAAAGCTCATCCTCAACAATGAGACGACTTTCCCAAGACATGTGCAAAAGAAAAATAGTAACATTCCCTCATGAAAGATATGATCCAAGGCGAAAATATAAAGAAAATAAAGAAGGAGAATACCTCATCAACTTTATCCAAAAGAATTCAAAGCACTTTGCAGCAAGAATGTTTACAGCTGAGCAAAAAAGATTGAGGAATTGATTCTGTAAACAGAAATTAATGAAGGCTTCATCGTCATCACATACCCAGCTGTTGAGGTTGAGTATATATCCCTTCTGATCAAGAAAGACTTCAGCTTACCAATACCAATGTCTACATAGCTAATACAACATAAAAAAATGGATAAGAATAATTATATAACACATTGATATTAAAATTCTCAAATAAATAACTTGACAAACTCGAAAAAGATACTCTGATAATTTAAAATGTATAACTCACTAGGCTTGGTCTTCCTCGGTTATGTGAATTGGCTCCAAAATCTTCATGTGATGTGCACAGGCAGACTTGATATCCAATTCCTGGCAGATTTCCAGAGACCTAGAACAAAGAACAAAAAAGACAGTGTCTCTTTTTTCTCTTATTCAGAATTAATTGTTTACTTTTGTTTTGGTAAGAGTTTTATGGCACTTGCAATACAATAGGTAGTAAAAGTGCTGAAGATTAGAAGTGTTACAAGAGAGCAACAAACACAAAAAAGAAGGAGGGGAGATAAGGATGATAGGACGTTAGATACGAAAGAAGGAGCAAACCACACTAGAGCATGCGCCAACCACCCACGCAGAATTAATATTATGGTATTAAATAAAACAACTGTCTGCACATGCAGAATGGAATGATGCCTTGTCTTCACAATAAGTAGAAAGTTCAGAACACTCACATTAATACTAAAATATGAGAATATGTACGGCAATCTTTACAGCTGATGTTTTAGCAATATTGTGAAATAATTACAGTGCTTCTACGCAGTAGCAATTAAAAACAAAACATGCTGGCAGTGAAGAGCGATGGACCTTTGGACCTGACTCATGCTGGGTCAAAGGGTAGCTTATCAGAGAATGAAACGATGGCTGCGTGCTTCATAAGGGAAAATACTGATGTTCAATGTGGTATGGGTTTGATGCTCCTACTGTCAGGTCATTTAATTTTAGAAAGCGGAACCTCCAAATCCATTGTACATCTCTTAAAGGACAAAGCCCAGTAGGTGCATAAAGTGAAAACCCTCTGAACTACCCATGTTCAAGAATGCAGTACTTGAGATTTGAACCAGGGCCAACCACACCACAGTTCAGCAAGACAGAGATATCAGGGCACCAGGACAATACTGGTTTCTGCCAAAATGGGCCAAAATGGAAACATGGAAGGCCCTTAACTCTTCATCACCAAGGGGGGTCAACACCATGCCAGGGCTCTCCTTTGGTACAAAATTTACAAGTGGCTTATACATCATAAAATAGTCATTAAATCAATTCAAATGAATTTATTTTCATAGTTCTTCGACTACTGAAAAAAATCCATGTAAAAGAGACCTGTTTTTGGCAATTGCCGTATACTAATCTGACATCAACGTGGTCGTAAAGGAATGTGCCCTCACTAGCACAGCGGTTCCGACTGCGAGCCACTGGGAGCGGCTTGCCGGAAAAGAGGAGTTAAAATACCTCATATGAAAAGACTCACCTCAAATGTACTAGCTTGAACAGAGCACTGTTCTTGAGCACAGTGCGAGACAAGAGATCCTGAAAGGCTAGTACAGGCAGAGCCAAGTGATTGTACCCAACATCTCTCAGCTGGCTGATCAGGCTGTTTGTGTAATGTAGGGTTAACATCTGGGGAAACAGTAGGGGAAGAGAGAACACAGGGATCAATTGAGCACTATTCCAATTGGTTCTTCTACGCAATTTTGATAGTTGTATATATGCAGTCGAACTGCTCTTTAGCTTTAGTAAGAGTTTTAGGGTACTTGCAACACGATAAGGTCAAATAAGTACCAAAGAATAGATGAGTTACAAGAGAGTAATAAGCACAAAAAAGGAGAGATAAGGATGATAGATGTCTGATAGAAAAAAAGGAGCACTGCTCTAACAGCCACCTGACCAAGACAGTCACCTGTACAAAACAACAACTTCCCACCTCCCCCTGGCACATTTTCTACATGCATATCACTGTCTAAGACGCCCACATGTAATAGACGACCACTTTTCTTCTCACCAATGGATGGCCATCTTTGACAATTTTGACGGTATGTACGAGTGTAAACACAGGAAAAGAAAGCAGGTTTACTGCAGAGTCACGCTGTTATCAATACTACTTTTCGGATTCTTAACTCAAAGCTTTGAATTTGCTCTTCTTTCTTTCATTGCTCTATCTCCTGTGATACTGTGATTTTTTCTGCCACAGAGTCATTCTAAAAGAGAGTTAAAAACAACAACTTACAGGTTTGGGGACATTTTCTTGTGAAACGGCAACAGATTTCAAGGTATCCATCTTGAAAGCTTCAATGCCTTCATCTGGCCAGTCATAAGTTGCCCAGGTCTCAAGGTCCGATGGAATAGCATCAACTGGACACTTGCGTTTGGGTTTAGGCTGGGGGTAAAAGATACACTGTGACTTTTTGCCACTGTTTTGTAAGAATCAAACAAACTTCAAGATGCGACTGAGCTATTTCAAAAGTGGAGCACTTGGCCCCTTGGTAAGCAGAAAAAGGAAAAAAGGCATATGCGACTTTACCAAGCACCAAGTTAATAATAACAAGAATAATAGTTGTAATAATAATAAAAATGATAACAATAATAATAATTGATGATAAAAATAATAATAAATGTCAATAATTTTGGAAATTGCCGCGTTTATTTGGGTTTTTTTAGGTATTACAAAGTGAGTTTCAATTACAAAGCTACTCATAAATACCAAACAAAACAGACTGCCAAAGAGAACTTGTATTAAATGTAAAAACTCAATTCTACAGACTACAAACATTCCAATTGTAAATTCAATATGCTATCATTAAATCAAGGATGATAAAACATTAGGACAAGTAAATCATCTCATACATCATTACTCTAATAATTTTTTAGCAAGCTCAATATATTATCACGTTGACAGCGAAAATGATAGCCCTACAGCGTTCCAATTAAACCATATAATATGTGTGTTTTAACATGAATGAGGGTTACAAGAGCAACATTTTTATTTTTTGTTAAAAAAAAATTCAGCATAACAACTTTGTGTTCACTATATGTCATTTCATGGAGAGCATGTCCTTCCCAGTAGAGGAGTTAAAAATTAACCTCCTCTTTGAAAATCAAGGCTGACCTTTTGAGAAGGGCTCATATGAGCAACCTACGAGTGTGGCCCCGTGAAAGATTTGAAACCGTCATTGTCTTACCTTTTCTTCCTTCTTTTTGTCCTTATCATCTGCCTTCTTGTCTTTCCCACCTGGAGCACCTTTTCCAGATTTGGGAGGCTCTTCCTTCACCAGGGTTCCGCCATTTTTGACAACTTCCTTGATGCCGTTAGCACAAGTGTGAATGAGAACCTAAAAACAAGTCACAAACAATTTGAACAAACGCCACATTTTTTTTTACAAAGGTGAGGGTGTCTGTCAAAAATATTTCAATATAACATTTCCATACATGGTATTTTAATTCCACACACTTGATAACTAGTTTCCCTCGACAAGACAGTTGTCAGAATGTATTGTGTCTGCAAGTACATATAAAAATGAAAAAATAAGATATCTCCTGATGGAAAGGTCCTCTCAACACAACGCGCGCCCCCCCCCCCCTTCCCTCAGTAGCAATTCAAAAGCAACCCCACCCCCTCCCCATTCCTCCATTACTAAGGTTAACATAGCGAAATAATCACCCAACACAATTAATCGCAACTAATCGCTGTTGGTGTTGATGTGGTGTACTTGTCATACACAACCCACATTGTTACCTATTAAATCCTAATGCTCATTTAAGCTTGAAAAATTGTGAGGTTTATTTCAAATGAGCACTGTATGAGTCTCATGAACAAAAAAAGAATTCATGTCAGTGAGACCCATCGCAGTCTTGACCAGAAATCCTCGAGCTGAACTTCCAACTCTGATTTCCAAAAGACTTGAATCCGTCTCAGGACGGAAGATCGACCTTCACCTTGGAAACTTAAAAGAGAAAAAGCATTTTGCGACATAATCAAGCACTGTGGAGTATCACCTGCCAGAACTGCATGAGGTAGGCGTGAGCCATGAGTAGGATGTCCTTGTGCTGCTCTGACTCCCGACCAAATATCTCTGCCAAGAGGACATGGGCTCTGATCAGGGCGTCCAACTGTCGTACATCTGTCAGGTCCTTGACCGTGAGACTGGGGTTGGCAGGGAGTACACCTAAAAAACAAAATCACAAAATAGATCCTTGATACAAATCAGTAAATCAGTGGTTTGTTAGAAATACAGTGAAGTCAGGAAAAGAGCAACACAAAACAAAGTCCTTTGTAGCAATTCCAATAAGGCAACATGAGGTATACCCTAGGTAAATTAACCATACAAAGAAAAACAGGTCCATAATTATATGACAAGAAGTTGGCAGCAGCATTATATTAGATCCCAAACTATAGCCAAATATGGAACATATTTAGAAAACACAAACCTATATCAGCTTCCTTGACAACCGGCACATAATCCATAGCATTGATCTCACTGTCCTGGTCACTGACTTCACTTTTACCATCAGCAGCATGAGCGGCTGGCGCCAACTTGCCAGCCTGTCGGCCTGCCTTACGATCCACACTGCTCCCTTTGCTACGAGCAGAATCTTTTCGAGTGGCAGCCTTTTTGCCAACTTTATCTGGGGTCTTGCTTCGAACAGATGCTCCATCCTTGTCTCCACCTTTTTTACCTGTTGGAGCAGAGTAAAGAGTCTTAGATGTGCAACCATCAGTGTGATAAATTACACGCGTTTGTACCCCTAAAATTAAAATTCCTTATTTTCTTCAGCTACTCTGTACCAAATATAAACATGGTGCCAACAAAACAGCATGAAATAGAATCAGTTTTGCTGGTTCCAAGACCCAAGCATTTCATTGTACAGAACCATAGGCACAAATAAGAAGGAAAATGTGCTAAAATAAATTTGGAACTAAGAACAAATTAACATAAAGAAATGAACATTTGCTCAATAACATATTTGCTAAAGTCGATATAAAAGCAAGATATTTAGACAGGAATAAGAGGACATAGAACCTTTACAATGAAGAAAGAAAAGGAACAGTGACGTTACTATTCTGACTATCCATATAACTTACTTTTTTACATGCCACAAAGAAAATTAAACACAGAATTGTTTTCCTTTCAAAAGGAGTCATGCTCTGCATGAAAACCAAGTACCCTTCGAAACACGTAAAGTAACTCAAAACTTTGCAAAGGACATTAAAGTCTGTAAGGCAAAATTAGTCCTAAATCGATTAGCAATCAAATATAATTAAACAAAACTCCAGAATCATGTCCTTTTTGAGCTTGTAAAAAAATAATAAACCACAGTGTTAGTCTTTCATTAAATGCCAAAAAACAAGAGTTGTGCAATCAGTCAAACAAGCTCCAGTTACTGTGGTTTCTTCCCAAGAAGACTTTCTTCAGGGGTCAAATATAATGGTAGATTTCCTGTAATTGGGACCTCGTCCATATTGCATCTAAAGCAGTGCGCCATCATTTAAACAATATTTCATTTGTGTGCCTCTTTTCATTTTGCAGGGTCTCTCCCCCCCCCCCCCCCCCCCCCCCTTTCTTTTATTTCATATTCACAGAGGGCGAGTCCTCAAATAAGAGTAAATGCCTTAGATCTAACAGTAAGAAATTATGATTCACAGCTTTCCCACTACTAGAGAGAAAGAGAGAGAGAGAGAGAGAGAGAGAGAGAGAGAGGGAGAGAGAGAGAGAGAGAGAGAGAGAGAGAGACAGAGACAGAGACAGAGAAGAGACAGAGAGAGAGAGAGAGAGAGAGAGAGAGAGAGAGAGAGAGAGAGAGAGAGAGAGACAGAGAGAGACAGAGAAGCAATGTACACGAGTTCCAAAATATATATCTGAGAACAATTTTGAAACTTCTTTCTAAGTGACTTAAACCAATTTTGACTGGATGCAAGAACATTATCCCCTTAGCATATTATCATTAGAGATTATAGGAATGAGTATTGTTTAGTAAAATGTTACCCTTTGACACCGTGCTTTTACTGTCAGACCCAGATGGCAAACGTCTTCTGGATCCTACACATGAATACAGCAATCGTGAGAACACAGACCATGTGAGGGGTGACAGCAGCAAAACATAATAGTATCTTAACACCGCGAAACAGGCTTTCTATAGGAGCATCTCGTTTCCTAGAAAAGACAATTTTGAAATAGCCTTTTGCAAAAGCATTATTCCTACCCATTTTCTATTCAGAAATTAGCCTTGGTACATTAAATTTGACAAGCACATTTAAAAAAGCTAAAGTAGCACAGATTTGAAGATCTCATTGTTAAAAAGCCTGTTTCACAGTGTACCATGGTTGAGTAGTAACACACGTTTAAAAACAAACAAGTGCCATTAGAGTGTACTGCACAAAAAAACATGCTTCAGTACTAGTTATAAAAAGAAGCACGGGAAGAAAGTTAGAGTTAAAATATAACTTTGACAGATAATATACTGACTGTTATAGGGCCTATCGTACATTAATATAAAGTTTTTATGCACGTCAAAGTTTGATCCCATGATCACAAAAATGTTTGACACTCAGCTATGCCATAAACTTCATTTAAGAAATTCAGCAACTTAATCATCTGGTCTGACACAGCACTAAAAATGGTCAAGATCTGATTTATCATCTGCTTGTGGCATAGATGTGGGGAGGTACTTACAACTCATCTTGGAACTACTAACTTTGTACCATTAAACCCACACACAAACACTTTTTAACTTACTATTTTGGGGGAAAACGTAAAAAGAGCTCGTTTTAAAATCCTGAATTCAATTTCAATACAGCATTTCATCTGTATTTGAACCACGATCTTTGGAAATCATATAAGCTTTCTTGGTTCTTTATTTCCTGGTTTATATAACCACAGCCTTGAATGAATCTGTCTTATTTTAATACCCTCCTAAATAACAAGCTTCTGTTACTAATTGAATTCAAATCAACTAAAGAGAATTCACTACAACGAGCACTTCCAACTATCCCTTAGCTGGCTTTCATTTAAAAGTAACAGCATCTGCAATATTTTTCATTGAATAGGAGTATCAAATAATACCAACATAAAGAGATGTCGAGAATCCTTAAGAATTAATTCATCTTGTGACTGATGAAGTTAGGAAAACCACAAACCATGCTTTAAGAGAATGACACATATAATTAAAAACAAACTTTTGTATATCGCAAAATAGTAGGGTGGGAATATTAATTGAGGACATTTCACACTCATAAGATGTAAATTGTGAGGTTAGCTCCTTCCTAATTACATTTCATCCAACTCCTGTAATGCTGCAAGTCTTAAAACACAGGCAAGTCCGGCAGAAATATTGGATCAAGTAGATTTCATCCTTATCAAAAAGAATGGAGAAATAAACTTCTATTCCATGACTTTCAACAACAGTGAAATACACTATACTGTTCACTTCTTAGGAAAATAAAGGGGAAAAGAACATTTTATCTTTTCCATACTGATGCCTCTAACATGAGCCCTGACAATTTGGAAAATAATAAAATAGGATTACCTTTCCCTTTTTTCACCTCAGTCGGTTTTGGAGCTGAGAATTCATTCAAAAATATAAACAATCAAGCAGAATGGCCATTAAAACAAATGGTGTACAAATCACTACAAAATGTGTGGCCCCTTGAGATACCATATATGGTCGCTTTTAAGCACAAAGGGGCTATCCCGAAAAATGCTGTTTTGAGTAAATCGAAGGGAAAGTTTTTGCCCCTTGTTCAGTTTCTTTAAAAGACAAGGAGAGTTTTCTTTAAAACCATACAAATACTCATACCAATGAAACCAAACTTCTCCTATAGGTTGGGCAATGCCCACTTTTGGTGCAGGTCAAGATTTCTAGAAACCCCCGAAATCTGGGTTAGCCCACTTGTCCTTAAAAGCGACCATATACATTCAAAGACATAAAGGTGATGACCAGCTGAGTTGTAATATTCAGGGAGTCATTGTGACAACTGTAGCATCTCACCAAGAACAAATTAGGCTAATACAGTAATGAACAGAAGCAGGGAGAGCAAACCACTCAAATGCACCTATCAACCACTCACAAATTATAAACAATACTATTTCTGCATGACTGGCGCATTTGAAATGAAATACAGCATGAAAGGCTCATGAATTAAAGCAGAATCGTGAACAGATGTGGTGGGAAAAGTAAGACTTGGTAAAAGTGAAGGGCATTCTCACAAAGCCACACAAAAATTTCTCAACAAAGCACAAATCCACTTTTATAGGTAATGTGGCAATCACTGACATGAAGGAAGAACAGCTCCATTTATGTTAAGTGACAAATCATCCGAAAATGAATAATCATGAAATAAAATGCTGAAGAAATGCTGGTGATAAACTTTAAATATAATAATAAAACAATTACAAAAACATAAAAGAACAGATCAAATACATTGGTATTTCTTGAAGGTTTACCATCGTCATCATTTTCCTCATCCTTTTCCTCTTCTTCTTCCTCGTCTGCCTCCGATTCAGAGAAGACGAACCAAAAAGTTACAAGCACAACTTAGTGCTCAACTACAACATGTGAAATACCCACCTCCTGTTTACGTCTAACAACTGAAGAAAACAGTTCCCTTAGTAAGCCTTTCATGCAATAAGATAAAATCTGCATCCATAATCTCTGCACATGGCTTCTATCTCTTTTATAAATCTATGCGAATTAAAAAGAATTACTTTTTTCTCAGTTTAGTCTCATGCCAGCAACAAATTCAGATGCATTCATCAAACACCTTATCAAACACAGAGACACAGCAGCCAATAACATATTTTCTTAGAAGCAAAGCGTAAGACTTTTGCACAAGAATCAATCTCTTTGTTAATAATAAATGTCTAATTACCTCAATCACACAACAGAACCTGTCCCAATCACCATGTCATTAGTTCACAAGCATAGTATATATAAATGCTGGACACATTTATTAATAAGTAGCAACCATCAACCACACGTTCGACTGTAAACATAAACCTTTTTTATAATAGGTTGCAATCACTTCATTACTTATTCTGTGAAACTCATAAATTTGACCAACACACAGATTCTAAAACTTCAATGCCTTATCAAATTCAATACAAAAATACATACTCCAGGTTTCTAGATTTTGTCATTGTTCCAGCCTCAAACTTTCCCTTTCTGCTGGATAAAAAACAGAATATGCTTCATTATCTTTAACACTCTGATTTAAAATGACTCACCTGGAGGCTCCTCTGGAGATTTCATATTGAGCAGAATGTCCACTGCCCATTCCAGCTGGTCCTGCACATCGCCCAGAGAGAAGTGGTTCGAGTAGAGCCACTGGGCAAACTCCAACAGGTACTCAACCTTCTGGAAGTCATTGCTCTCATTCTGTCAGCAGATAAATTATCATGTTAGGATAAAACTAACAGCAACATGGTAAATAAGTCATAAAAGAAGAGTGATTAGGCTTTTGTAGAATTGTAATGTCATGATTGGACCACTGTAGCATTGTAAAGTCACAAGAAGACCATGATGGTGTACTAATGCCATAATAAGACCAGCGTGAGTGTGGCTCAACAATGCTGAGATGAAATCACTGCATCTTTGCAATGTCATAACAAAATCATTCAAGTTTTATGATGTCATGACAAGAGTTTTGTATCTAGGTTTATTGGACGCCCTGTATGCAAAAAAAAACAAACCCACAGGACAAAGTCTTCCGAAAGTTGAGTGAAATATAAAGCAAAATAGGAACAATATTGAGCTATAAACTTTAAGAGACTGTTGAGTGGGTGTAAGTACAAGTCAGTGCAACAGTTGTTTTATTTTACCAGGAACAGAACAGACAAATAGGAACAGGCAAAACAAGTGCAAGGCATCTTATCAGAGAGTGCATCAACCACTCAAGCTTTTTCAAAGGTATGAATTACCTAAACCAATCATTACATTAACAGAACAGACACACACCCCTGATCATAATTTCCTGTAAATTTTGTTTTTAAAAAGCAACTATATGTATCAATGCTTATATGGCATTACACTCTAACTGTGATATTTGATTCTTGACAATTTTTCCAGATGCAACAATATTTCCTCTGAGAATTCACACCAAAAAATAACCCACAGTACTTATATACTATTTATAGTGCACGCTGACTGACATTTGATTTTAAGTGAGGAACAGTACAGCAATGGTTATAGAATAAAGAAAAAGTTGACATATTTCTTCAAGTTACATAATCGGAGCACAACACCATCCGTATGTATGTATATATCAATTATCAGTTTTGATGTTGTGGACAAGTTAAACAACATGCCTCCAAGGACTCAATGGCACTCTGATAGGACGCCAGTTGTTCAGCAGCTTCCTTTGAGCTGAGGGCCACACGACGCCACATGTGAGCCACAAAGTCCTCCGACTCATCCTGAAATTTAAAAAAAGTGGAGTGTATTCATACTCAATATCTGAAGGCATAATCATTTTCAAGTAATTTTGTATAGCATTTTCACACAAAACGGTGAAGAAAACAAGAATAAATATCTTAAATTTACAGATGGATTAAAAAAACTTTATCTCAGCTTGACTTACTTAAGGGCTATTTATATATTGATTTACAATAGAGCATTATGTTTATCCACTTAGGGATCTTAGTTTCTTTTATTTGAAAAAAGTTATTACCTCACATGTTTTCAACACTGCAAAAGAACTAAAAAAGGCTTCAACTTTCCCCATGGCAATAGTCCACAAGGCAGAAGCTTTGGAATTGCCACATTATTAACCAGAAAATACTGTCTACTACAGTCTCCAGGAGTATACAATTTAGTTGTTTTTTTCTTTCCTATTTTCTAGACATATCAGTTCATCTTTAATACCTTGAATTTTTGGATATCCATATGCACACTCCGCCCCAATTTTGCCTTCACCATGACTCTGTGCTTGAAGATTAACCTGTTGAAAAAAAAAAATACAGTATGACATCTAAAAAGTCTTTCACCCATTCACAGTGCCTAGTGAACAGATTCCCACAATCATGTTCAATATCACAAGTGGATTTTCATTGATAGATCACAATAACTAGCATGAGTTACCCTTCTCCTTGTTTTTATTTTGGTAAGTGTTTTACAACACTCACAACTGCATACGGTCATATGAGCGCGTGGGACACATTAAACATTTTTAATTTGGGAGGAATTAATTTTGAATTTTGCCCAAGTAGCGGCCAAAGCCTACTCTTACTGATTTTAGAACTACCAAGGGACCTCTAATGTGCGCAAATTGCACACGGGACCTCTGAGATTTTTCTAGAAAAATCAGAGACATGACAAACAAAACCAGCATTTTCACATTTGACAAAAAGTACATCTGATCAAATTCTGATGTGGGTTTTTTTTAAAGAACTTTCAGTCTTTAGAAGCTCCAGACATGAAAATTTATGTCTCAAGAAACAGGTAGGATGAGGAGTCAAAAACCCTGCCACACTGCATCTATGTATAAATTATAAGAGGGGTAAACTGTTTCCCAAAAACTGTCAATGTATTTCTCAGTTTACAACCAAAAGCCATGTCATTAAACAAGAAAAAAAAAACCCCACTTACAGTCTGTGTTTGGTACGAGGCATATCAGCCACAGCTTGATCAATGGCCTCCAGAGCTCGGATCCATTCACCCTGAAATAGGAGAAAAACACTAATGTACTTCAACAGACATTTTACACAAGCTGCTATACAAGCTAGTAGTTATTTCTGTCTTGAATATTATATTCCTCGGTGTTCTGTTTGCATGTATTTAAAAAGCAGGCATTCCAGGAAGATATCTATCAGATTGGATTTTCAAGAGTTTTTTTTTTTGAAGCTCAATTTTTCAGACATATATTCTCTTTCAGTTTTGTGCTATTCTGATAATGTTTATTTGATTTACCATTGACAAAGATCTGATTTCAAACCAGCAGCAGAATGAACACGATATGATGAGCAATCCACAGAACATAGAAAAAAGACAAGAGACAAACATAAGCCTCTTACTTGATCCGCATACGACTGGAACAAAACACCATACATGGACGCCCTCAGGGTGAGATCGTCCTCTGGCTTGCCAATCATTCCACTCTTCATTTTCTCTGGCTCTTTGGCTTTTCCCTGGCCAGCCTCCTGTGCCTTGGCCTCTTTATGGTCTTTTTCCTGGCTCTCGTCCTGATCCTTCTCATCCCCGTCATCTTTCTTTTCTTCTTCTTGCTCCTCTGGTTTTTCCTGAACCAATGAAAGATAAAATAGGATTTTTTAATTAACACTTTGTCAGGAAATATGATTCATCATTAAAATACAGTATTCCCTTAGACTTAAACAATCCAATTTTGTGAAGAAAAGGAATCTGGCTTTATGATGGAAAAAATGATGAAAATGTTCTCCTTGAGGCAAAAAAAAGCCATTTATTAACAAACGCAACAACTTGTTTTCTTACATATCCACATACTAAATGTTCTACTTTTTTAACATTAAAGCGGATAAGTCATTCCACCCTGAAGTGTTGGGAAATTATCCTAATGAGCATACTACCAAAAAACATGTCTGTTAAACACAAAATCCAAAATAACATGAATTTGTTCTAGAAGTGATGACAACATAGACTTTTGCCTGTTACGGTACAAGACTGTCAAGCACAAAGTTAGAAGGTAAAAGAAGTCATCACACTACACCATGAAGCTATGAATATAGCTGGCCTCTTCTTGAAATTTCATAAACAAAATAGAGGCATGACAGTTAAGTTTAGGATGTTACTTCTGCAGCTTTTTACTGCATTACAAAACTTGGGAACACTCTTAGCTCTGTTGGCACTGTGCTAAACTGCAGAGCGCTTTACAAATGAATAACTTTCCTACTGGAGCATTCATGAACTTACACTACTTTAGGATTTTTATGGCTTTTCACGTATTTTGCTTGGCTTAACCAACGCCAACAGACCACTTCTAAAAAAAGACCAAAAAAACATGCAATATTGTACAGCACTGAAATATAACTAGCATACATCAACAGGGCAATGTAACTGTGAAATAAAACTCATAGTCTGTAGTATGGCAACAGTACAAAGAGTACAGAATTCCTTCTTGCTTGCAGAGCCACAACGAGAGCGGAGCAGCCAGTTGTATAATAGAGCAGTATTTGCAGGACACGGTAGAACCTCACCTCTTTTTTGGCTTTATCAGCCGTAGCCGCAATACACTCCAAGATGATTTTAAGAGGTTCCTTTAGCAATTCTCGCTCAATAGGCTGGCCAACAAGAGCAATGCAAGTGTTCCAGAAGTGGCGAGCTGCAATCATGACTAGCTCATAGTTTCCTGCACTTCGTGCATATCTAAGAGAAAAGGACAATAAAGATTAACACACTTCAACCTTCCATGAACAAAAATTTATATTCTGATGCTAAATGTGCATTCACCATTCATAGTAATAAAGGAAACATCATTGACTGTCATATCAACTGCTCAGTCATACGTCACTTTTGAGAATGGTATATAGTGAGTATTACACTAAGCAGTAGATATGCATTCTTCACTAAAGTTGCGAAGAATATTGTAGGTGACTACATAGAAAAGCTACATAAATTGAAAACTACAAAACATAAGGAAAGTAGCATCAGCAACATACAGAAAAAGAAAGAAAACAAATGTTCCTCACTAAGCCTGAAAAAAGATGATCCTGATCATATATATTAACAAAATATTTGTTTAAAAAATCCAACTGCAAATACATGTGGACCATTTAAATATAAAGAGTCAATTTCTTTACTTTTATTTCTTATAACTAGGTATGAAAAAGCAATTGAACTCAGTATTAATATCCCTGCATATAATTAACATGTCATACCGGGAAATGAAATAGCTGATGCTCTAGCAAAGAAAGGAGCTAGCCTCCCTCAGCCTGATATTCCTGCTGATTACACCGCCTTCTGCCAAATGATCAAGTCAAATCTCAAGGAAGATTGGATGAATGTATGGGCTACGGGTATGACAAGAAGGATGATGTATGGCCACATGAATAAACCACTGGTCAAAGATCCAATCAACAAGTTGAGGAGGGGAGATCAATCCATAATCTTCCAACTTAGAAAACAACATGTGCTCCTCAATCAACATCTCAACCGAATTGGAGTAAAGCAGTCTGCTGCCTGCCCACAATGTGACTACCCCTCAGAGGCAGTGAAACATTATCTGTTCTTGTGTAGAAAACTAACCGATCTGAGGGGATGTTTTCTTCCCAAGCTACCCCACACATCTAACTGCCTCTACTCCTCAAGACAACAATTAGAACAGACATGCAGCTACTACAGAATGGCATCATGCAGAAGAGTTAACGCTCAGATGCTACTAGATCGCTATTAACAACAACAATTAACATGTCAGGGGTAGTGGACCAAATTATCCCATCTGATAAATGTAACTTTTCAGGGGAAGCAAAAAAATCCATTTGCATCTACATTGCACTTCAATTAAAATACTTTTTTTTCACCCACAGAGCATTATTGGCTACTTCCACAGCTAACAGTTTTGACACGAGGTACGACCTGTGGTGAACTTACACAAGCCTATTGGTAAAAAAAAGTCAAGGCTTGAGAGACAATAATTGGTCTCCTATCAGCGATACAAACTGAGGAAAAAAGAACATTCACTCAGAAATCACACAAAAATGAGAAGAAAAAGAGAGACAGACTCTTACTTCGTACTGTTCAGGAATGCCTCTAGAGCCTCCCTACGGAGAGAGTTTTTCCCCTTCATGTTGTCCACCAAGCTTTGGCCAAGGAGGACACTTGAATAGCACAGCATTTCCTGCTCAACGGCATAACGGTGCCTGTAGAGAAAAATGATAATTGCAAAACACTATATGATATATCCAAATTATCATGCTTATAATAAAAGTCAATACAATTTTATTTTTTTTTTTTTGCTTTTCACTTGAAAATAATCATTTGTAGTAAGAAATATATGATTCATCAAAATCTACTTTTAATTATCGTCTTCTTCAGGTGTCAGGTCTGGAAAAGACAATAATGACCATGATACCCCACTCCTTCCTGTTGTCAATAGTCTTTACCAGCTCGATTCTTCTCATTTTGTTATTTATTGCAAAGTACGAAGGTACATAAAGACCAAATACTTTTATGTCAAGAAAGCAACTTTAAGTTGACCAAAATAGTCAAGACAGCAATCAGACAGTTATGTCTGCAAGTATAAATGTTTTCGCATTCATATCACCTTGATCAAACAAGGTTCCTTAAACTTAACGGATCAGCCTACTGAAATAAAATTGACACAATAGTGAAATTTTATTACCATGTATTATACATCATAAGAACACCTCTGTCCTGTCTTGTTGTTTTCAAAGGACATTAAATGAGGTGATAATTTACCCGACGGACCCAAAAGTACGCCTGATCATGACTACCTTTACTCTTTCCTGCACCAAAAGCACATGTGAGCATTCAACAGTGTATATCAAGCAGTCAACATACAGGAGCTCAGGAGAACAGCTCCAGTAGGCTCAAGGGGCAGATCTCAAGGGTTATGAGCTAAAATATTTTTTTCATTACTGTTTCTGCTAATAGTAAAGTACTTGTTGCAAGTGGTCAAATAGAGGGGAAATAATCAAAAGTATTTTTTCCTTTCTGGGGATGCAATGTTCAACCAAGCAGAAATGGGCGTTGAAAATTTTGATTAAACTCTAGTGAGTCTGACATTTAGCAAGTAGACTATGAAGCTATCACATTCCTAAAACTGGACATTCATAGAAACATAACAAGCAAAATGCCTAGAGGATCTGGAATTTCAAAAACATCAGAAAAAAAAAGTAGTATTCACAATTAAAATTGCAGAAACAAGACTTACAAGTCCATCTTTCTGGTACGAGGCTGTGTTCCCTGTCCAGCAAACCGCAGAGCTTTCTTGCTGCACCGGACCACCATGTTGTGAAGGTGTGCCTCGTATGCCAGATATGTCAGCCGTGACCATAACTGTAGCTCCACAAACTTGTCAGACCACTTGGCATCTTCGATCATCTGCGCAATCTGCAAATATTATTCAACATTTGATCAGCTTTCTATACATGACTTAATAAAAAAGGCTGAATGTGGAAAGTCGCAACTAGGGCTTGTTGTATAGTGGGGTTATTTTCATAAAGAAACTTTTATGAGTACGTGTGTGTGTGTGTGTGTGTGTGTGTGTGTGTGTGTGTGTGAGTGTATAGATGTGAGTGTGTGTGTGGATAGGTGTGTGTGTGTGTATGCGTGTGTATGTGTGTGTGTGCGTGTGTGTGCGTGTGTGTGTGTGTGTGTGTGTGTGTGTGTGTGTGTGTGTGTGTGTGTGTGCGTGCGTGCGTGTGTGTGTGTGCGCGCGCGAGTATGTGTGCTTGAGAAGGCATGGGGAATGAGAGGTGAAAAGGGTAGTCTCATTTTCGTGCCATCAAACTATTGTTTTGGGAATAGAATTGTAAGAAAACCCTTAGATAAACCTGGTTCATAGAAATAAAACTTGAAAATATAAGTTCACAATTAAATTAATATTTTACTACTTTGAACAGGAATCAAGCTATCTGTTAATCCATCATATAGCATAATTTCAGAAATACCAGAGTTAAAATCACTGAGTTAAATATTCTGAGTAGGGTTTTATGCAGAAAGTAACACTTACATCTCCGATGAAAGGTACATCTTTGAACTCCATGATCCCATTCTTTGTCAAACCAAGCATTTCAACAGCCACTATAGCTCTTGTCATAGGTCGTTGACCAGTATTATTGTTCTGCAAAAAAGTATCACACTTTGGTAATAACTTTCTTTGTCTATAATGAGGCAACCAGCAACAAATATGAGGGTTACAATAATTTCATTCTCAAAAAGTATTGTTACACTTTGATCATTGAAGGAAAAAAAAAAAGCAAAATTCTTTTAAAAATGCATTTTAAAAAACTGCAATTAAAATAGAATTACAGACAACTCTTTTATGATTTAAATTGGTGTGGGTAAATGAAGGATGGTTAGAAATATTCTAATATTTCTCCTGCATGTAGCGTTGAAGTTTTTCAGAGCATTCTTTAATCAAGGTACTGAAACACATACATTACCATCACCACTCTGACACTGGCATACTTCACATGTAATTATTAATGGCAGGTCAAGGAAAAGTAAAGACTTTTTATTTCATGCACAAACCAAAGGTACACGTGATCCGCCATTTGTTGCACCACATATAACAAACTACTTATGTACAGAAACGACCCCTGTTGGAGAGATTTCTGTTTTTAAATCAATGAGATAAATATTTAGAGAGAGCTTTTCTTTCAGTCAGAACCCAATGTAAGCCTACTGATTATATGTTACTTTTGCGTTGTAAAGAGCTCAGAGCCTGTATACTTTAATCAGGGTTGAGAACTAGAGAAATGTCACATATTATTATCATTACTATCATTATTATAATACTTGACATAATTGTAATAAAAGACCAAAACAAAATAAACCTCATCATCTGTGCCCAGGAGTTTGGAGATCTGCTGCTGAGCCATCTGCTTGGCTCTCACCCATGTCTGTAGAATTGGGAGACGCATGAAGATGGGGACAACATCACGAGGATTCTCTCCATTCGTCACTTGCATGGCAAAGTCACAAACCTGGAGAAAGATCCACAGCAGGAAAGGGAAGATATAATATAAACTGTTTACAGCTTCTCCATATTTTCACTTTGGTAACTCAATGCCTACAAGTCTATTGGGTCCTGTCACTATAGACATATTATATTAGGTATACATTGTGTTCATAACATATTTCTGCGCCCTTAAAAATTCCTTTATGATCCAACGAGGAGCTCTTACTCTCAGGGCTTCTTCACTATCTGCAGTTCACAGGAGAAGCATCTGTGCCACAAAAATTTCACTCTTATACAAAATGCAGTTCCTACGTGACTAGCAAAGAAGAAATTCAATCTGCACTCAGATATCTTGACCGAGAATATTGACTATGCAGGTCACAGAACAAAATCGTTTACTGAAAACAAAATTTCACTGATATAACTATACTTTTAGAGTCACATTCATAAAGTATGCAGCCAAAAGAATGGCCCGAAGGTATAGATCATATTTGTAATCGCTGCTTCTAGCAGCTTGCCTAAGCCTTCGCTTCAAGCCATTTTGCGATTGTCAATTATAAAAGAGCTGATTATAAAACTGGGAAAGCTTCAATCAAAGGGACCCTTGAGAGCAGAAAATGAAAACTACAGCCAAAAGTTCATCATCTAACAGGAACAAAATAATGGCATTCAAAGGATTGAACTTGACAGTGGTGGTGAAAATGGTGAAAGACCAAAAAGCAAGCTCAAAAGGACAGCTAGACACACACACAACCAGCATCACAAGCAGAAAAACCTGGCCTTACAAACACACAAGGGAGAGTCCCGGACACAAGGAAGCTGGTTCTGCACAAGCATAAACAAGTAATTCTTCAGCCATATTGAAGTTTACAAGCAGTTTTACTCATCTTTACATTATGATCTCACCTCAATAGCCTTCTTCAAGTCTGGAGTAGCTTCAGGGCTGATACTGATACCAGGGCTCTTGGTCTTTGCTGGCGTAGGTGCACCTTTGCCTCCCTTGCCTTTGGGCGACAGAGGATCTCCAGCCTCTGAGGTACCTTTCTCCACCTCTTTGGGAGGCTGTGGCAGCCAGGGCCTGATGAGACCTTGAGCTAGGGCATTGCAAATGTTCACCAACATCACTGTCTCACTGAGGGTTGTAGAATAAAAGAAAGGAGAAAAGTATCATGTGAAAATATACACAGCATTGTTGGCTCACTGGGTGAAATAAAATCTCATTATTTCACCTGATATAAAGATTACTCAGCTTCAGATATCTCCATCTAAAAACACATCTACATCAACTTCAGACATGTAGAACCAAATGGTTTCACAGATGTACTTTTACTCTTCACATTTCTGGGTTGCCATGCATCTTCCATTTTCTTATTCTTCCTCTTTTTCGGACTATTGAATAAAAATAGGGCAGCCAGCTGGCCACAACCTAGCCAACCAGTTTAAAATCTTAGCCGGGCTAGAGTTAAGTTTCTTAACTCCGTATCTCCGAGGTGGGTAAAACCACAATGCTGGGACCCTCTTTTGGTACAAAATCTAAAAGTGACAAATACATCACTAAAGTGGTCATTAAGTCAAAACAAATGAACAATTTGACAGTTCTTCATCATATGAATGAACTCCTGGTAAAAGAGACCTGTTTTCGGCAATTGCCGAAAAGTAATTTGACCTTGAAGTGTCGTTGTACTGGAATGTGCCTGTGTCACTGCCAGCAAGATAAGGACTTAATATTAAGAACATTTCTATTAACTATTGACTAAATATGTCTCCTCCTCCTCCTCCTTCTTCTTCTTCTTCAGTTTGCTCCAAAAAGATGCCCTCTTTATCACACAAAAGATGCTTTTTTTTTTGGCGTACCCAGCATGTCCAACTTTCTTGAGGCCAGCAAGCACAGTGGTTAGATGAGGCACAATCTCCTTATGCCTGCCTTGAGTCAGAACGTGGTTGTTGTAGTTCCATAGATAGGCAGCAGCACTACAAACAATCCACGCCTCATCAAGCTCAATGCCGAGAGCCAAGCCACGGAGGAAATTGGCAGTCGTTTGCTCAGACAGATCTTTGATCCACTCACTGTGAACATAAGAAGAGACCAGGACATTTTTTTCTCTGTCTTTCGTTTCATTGTTTGTATATTTGAGTAAAGAGAAGCACATCAACACAATAATGGTCATGTAGTAGACGGAAGAAGCAAGACAGAGAGACAGAAACAAAAGCGGGAAAGAAAAGAAGTAGGATCTACCAATAGTGCCCTCCAACCACCCACAGTTCATTCTATTTTGCACCTACATGCAATATCAAGAATAAACCAAAAATGAAGTGTATCATTAGTGAGTCTGCAGAACATTTTTAACAGATCATTTCATGAAAGGACGTTGGAGAGCATTTTATCAGTATGCCATTCACATTGGTTTTAATAACACTTCCAAACTCATTTCTCATGCCTTTGTTCAGAAAGTTCTTACAGTGTAGGCCAAGTACATTCCTGGAATAGATCAGCAGCTTCCCTTACTTACCAGTACTCAATCCAGTCTGGGTCTTCCTCTGGCTTCTTGGCGACATATCCCTTGGGTCTCTTACTCTTGTCCTCTGGGGGAATGGGCTTGTCATTTAGCTGAACATTTTCAGATCGCAGCAGCTGAACCAAAGCCTAAATTTTTTTCAAAGGAAAAGAACAAAAATGAGAGATATCCTGGTGAAATCAGGCATTCGTCAAAATAATGATACTGAAGATATCGATATTTTTCTAGCGGTTTGGCAATTTTCATTCAGTTTTTGTCTTTTGTTCAATACCTTATATGTCCATCTAAAAACACATTTTTGTGTGGATTTTACTAAAAAACGTTGATTCAAGGCACAAAAAATGTAAATAATCAGTTTCCAAGGACTCTCAAGCTAAGGAAATCACCAAAAGTTGGTGGTCATTTTCTCACTAACTTTACCTCTTAAACTAGATGCCCCACCTTGTTCAATAAAAAATTTCTCTACTTCTATTCAAGATAGATGGGTATTTCTTTCATCAAAAGAGAGACAAATAAACAAGCTTTTTGATGATACCAAAAACTTCACATGCCCAAAAATTGACAAACGCTTGATTCCACCAAGTTGTGACACAAATTATCACAGCTTTGAAGCTTTTGAAACTAACATCCTTCTCAATAGACAAGATTTAAAATATATTAAGTAGCAATCTTAACTCACAGAACAGTTGAACGTGTCAAACGGCCGCCTGTATAAGACAATCACTTGTACAAGCGGCCACTTCTCATTTCCTCCCATGTGTATATTTTCACTTTACAATGACACTGTGTAAGATAATAATAATAATAATAGATAGCATTTGTATAGCGCATATCCCCGCTCAACAGCAGGCTCTATGCGCTTTACACTATATTAATCTCAGATGTCCATTTTTCTCCTCAGCAATGGGTGGCCGTCTTAGAAAATTTTGATTGTATTTACTCTTTTTATCCTGGCCGTTCCCCCACGGACGGTGTACCCGTCCTGGAGCCGCCGCACAATATGAGTAGGAGTTCAGTGTGTATATTTCAAAGTGCTATATTTCTTACTTATACTCTTAGATTTTAAGGAAATTTGGCAGTATGTTAGAAATTGAATGTAGTGTTTGTAAATGTGTGTGGTTAGGAATTACACCAATTGCAGCGTGTAGATTTTGAGGTGCATTCCACCCTCCAACTTGACCCTGACTGCCGCGCCCACGACGTCCCCTTGGATTTACAGATCTCCCCCTACCCATAGGTACTGCACAAATTCCAGTAATGGTCCCTTCCCCATTATCTGAATCGCTATTATTTGAGTCTAATTCCTGTTCGTTATCATCCACAGTGGAAATTACAGCACTTGATTCAGAGTCTATTTCATCAAATTAGTCTCATTCCCCCTCACAATCCAGCACCACTTAAATAAGTACTTCGTCGGTCATGACCGTGAGTTTTTAAGACATTTTTCAAGCTTCTACACATATGAGAAACAAAGAAAGCGCTGTTCATTGCCGTATTTGCATATTTTGGTAATTACAAGCAGAACTAGCTATTTGACCTGACCGTATAGCTGTTCTTAGTTTACTCGCAGCCCGAACTAGTCCTCGCTACAAGTATACTCGTAGCCCGTATAAAAAGAGTTAAGCAAAAGAGAATTTCCAGAACTTTGAGGTATCTACTTGTTTCTGTCCTTGGTTAATGATTAGAGCGTTTCAACATAATATAAAATGGAAGAACAAACCAGCCAAATACAACACATTTACCTCTCCATTTATGAATGCAACCTCAGACATCATTCGAATAAGGTCCTTGTCATACAGTGCCACCATCTGAGGTGTTGACGGACGACTCCCAACCCGGCTGCCTGTTCTTTTCTCTGGTTCATCTTCTTTCTCTTTACTCATATCACTGCGACTCTTGTCAGGTTTCGGGCTAGCAAAAACCACAAAAACATAGAAGGCTTATACACAGGTTTATACTCATACATGAGGGCAAATAAAGCACATGTTTACATCTTTGTGAAGGACCTGGTGCACTATAAAGATAAACTTAAGTTTTCACACAAAGAGGATTTAAATACACCATAAAATTCGCAGCATGTGATTTCTTTTATCTGAAAATGGAAATGAATACAACTCTCATCAGATACTTTTCTTCCTCCATATCTTTCGAATTTTAGTTCTCTTATTCTTTCATAGTGCTTAAAGTTTTCTTGATTTGTTATTATGTGTTCAGAGGTATTAATCCCCTACATGTTGCAAAGTTCTGGCTCATCCTGCAAATTTAAGAATAATCTAACAATTCATTGCAAAACAATTCACTCATAAACATAATTCAACAATTGGACAGCAAGCATAATATAAAAAAGTGCACCATTCAATTAAAAATTACTTCAAAATATTAGTTTTTTACATAGCAAAATCATACCTACAAAAATACGTTTTGACTTTAAAGCGCGGGTTACATGCAACGATAAATTGTACAAAAACTGGACAATCTATCGATCATGAGAAAAATCATCAGGTGTAACCACAAAATTGTATAATGTTTGGATGATTGGACGATGGCTTGAGACTGGGTCGAGAAATATCAAGCATTGATATTTTCCGTACGATCACTGTCAGATTTGTGGGGGGGGGGGGCTGAGATTTCAAATCACTTTAAACTTTGCTGCCGAGCGGGATTAAACTAAGGGTTCAAAATTTTTTAAATAATTATCACAGGTAAAAACAGATTTCATATTCGGAATAAGCGTAGAAAAATAAGCAAAGTCGTTTTCATGGAACCTGATTTGAAGCGTTATTATGTAAATTTTAGCAATTTTATTATTTAGTTGATCATCAATGGTGAAGTTGTAAATCAAGGTCACCCGGTGCATTGCACATATGCAGTCAAGTCAATGACTAGGAATCTCCTTGATCAAAAGAAAACTGGAAGATAGATTGGAACATCTAAACAGAAAACACTGCTCGATAAAACGGAAAGTTCTCGCAAACACCAAATCTGACACAATTTATCGTTGTCTGTAACCGGGGCTTAGAAAAAGGAAACCACCTTTGAAGTACAACTAAAATTCAAAGATCTCTTTCAAATAGACTACAGTGTGGAGATTTCATCCCTCCATATAAGAACATAAGATGAGAACTTAACAAAATTTTTTGAAATTTTAAAACAAAGATAGCAAACACTTTAAACTTCAAACAAACCTGTCAGCTCTCTTAGGTGGGACGTTTTTCCATCTCCCATCATCGTAAAGCAAGCAAAACCTGCTTGCCACACGACAGACATCCCAAACTTCTTGCTTGCGGGCTGTTTTAGCCAGGTCCCCCCACAATCTAGCTCTGAAATTATATTTCAAAAGTTCATATTCATTTATATATCATCATCATCCAGTGCCAGATCTGCGACAGACATCAGCGATCATGATTTTACATTCATTCCTTTGCTTGGATGCTCTCAGAAAAGCTACGTTTCCCTGATTTTTCCCTGTTACCCATTTGTTTAGGTTCCCTAAGTATGTTGTTCTGGGCCTACCCCTGCCTCGCTTGCCTTCAATTTTGCCAGTGAGGGCTAGATGTTCAAGACCCTTATGTCTATTCAGGTGTCCCAAAAACTGCATTTGTCGTTTCCTGATTGTTTTTAACATTGAGCGTCCCACGTGGGCTCCATCAAGCACTACCTCATTTGATTTCTTTTCCTTCCACAATACTCTTAGCAGTCTCCTAAGAAACCACATTTCTGTTGCCTCTATTTTATTTTCACTGTCTTTAGTGATTGTCCAGCATTCACAGCCATATAGAAGGGTTGACCAAACATAGCATTTCAGGACTTTCATTTTGGTGTTCATTGATATGTTTCTATTTTTCAGGATTGGGCTCATTTTATTGAAACTAGCCTTAGCCATTGCAGTTCTCCTTTTTATTTCTGCGGAAGATTTGGCATCAGATGTTATCATATATCCTAGATATTTAAACTGTTGGACTTGTTTGATCTTTTCACCTTTGCTAATGAGATTACAACTAGGATTTGCTGCTTTTTTGGATATTACCATGCATTCTGTTTTCTTTACATTCAACAATAATCCTTTATGTTCACTTTCTTTTACAACAGTATCTAGAAGCATTTGAAGGTCCTTTTCGGAGCCTGCTATTAAAACCGTGTCATCTGCATACCTGATGTTATTAATATTTTCTCCATTAACTTTGAGGCCTGGACATTCTTCTATGTTTCTAAGGATTGTTTCACTGTACATGTTACAGAGGTCTGGTGACATAACACATCCCATTTATATATAAGTTTACATAAAAATTTGCATAAAATTATACTTCGAAAATGTATATTCTACCATTTTAAATTATGGGTCTGTGTTCGTCAAGCATCAGTAAATATGTGAGGCAGTGTGGTGAAATCAGCCGCTCGTCAAAATAACGAAATCGGAGAAACTGGTCTTTTTCTGCCAGTTTGGAAATTTTTATCAAATTCTTATTTTTTGGCGTAACCTCTTTTAGCTCCATATAAAAACACATTTCCGTGTGAATTCTCCTGAAAAAACATTGATTAAAGACATAAAATATGTCATTTTTCAGTTTTAAAAGGCTCTTTGGCTATTGGAGTTACCAAACTTTGGCCACCATTTTCTCGCTATTTCACCACTAAAACAAGGCAACCTCACTTCCTTCAATCGCAAGTGTCTTTAAATCTATTCAAAATAAAGGGATATTTATTTTATTGGAAGCAAGGCGAATAAATAAGCTTTTAGAGGATACCAATAACTCCACATGCCCAAAAATTGAGAAGCGCCTGATTCCACCGCGTCATGACACATAAATCAACTTCTGAAAACATGACACAGGGCAAAATGAAAGGATAAAAAGTTTTCATTTTTACCGGTACTCTTTTTTCTATCAACAGTTGTACACGAACAGAATTGTTGAAAAAAAAATTACCACGATGGACAATAGAAGCTGATATACAAGTATATTTATATTCCAACTAAAAGATATTAAAAATATACCTTTCTCTGTCATTTTCATCTCCAAGTCTCTTCAGATGACCTTCAGCTTTCTTGACACAGTTGTTGAACTGATAGGCTTTTCCAGCTAATTGGCGTATCTTTGTCAGGGGGCCTTTTCCAGATGAAACATCTTGGGGGGGAAAAAACAATAATCTACAATGAAACCATGACTAATACTTTGTTTACAGAAGGAATCATCATTATAAACACTGTTTATATCTGGCCATTTAAGACTTCGAGGGTGTCAAGGAAACCCTAAGAAAACATAACACCACAACTGAAAGAGCTGCGGAGCTGGCCTACCATAGAAAACTGCATCTCCACTCGACGCTTAACGGCAACAGAGGATGAAAAAGTAAAAAGTAAAAGTAAGTATTTTAGACTTCAGGACAACATTGTATAGTAAACTGGTTTATCGAAACATAACCTCTGTAGATATGCCAGAAAAAAATCATTTTAAAAAAATAGCAAGATGACTTTGAAGTCTCATATTTACAGACCTTTGAGCCATGGCCCCATGACTCTACTGGACCTATCCACCTGAGTTTCAGAGAGACCACAGTTTAATGTACAGCAGTCCACACTGAAGCCAGTGTTCACTATTGCTGGCAAGCTGTTCAGACGTACTAAGCCAAAATTATTGAATTTTTTCAAAATTGCATTATCTAGGGTAATGATTGCATATAGATCTACTCATGAAATATTCGGCCAAAATTCAAAATCTAAATGTTAAGAAAAGCAAGAAAAAGTAAAGCACTAGAAACTTTTTGTTCTCCCACTTTAAAAATTTTGCTTTCTGAGCTTAGGACATTTGAACAGCTTCACAGCAATATGGAGAAGGGTAAAGGTACAGAACACAAGGGCATGACCTCAGACACATAGAGTTAATCTTATGGAACACAAAGAAACCATCTTTTGAGCATTATTGAGACAGAGTGAAATAGCACACACACTGTAGAGGAGTCTTTTTTTTTGTCTTTTTTTTTTTTGCAAAAAAATTGTCACATCATGACTTTTTGTAAATACAGGCGAGGAAGTTTGAAACATTTTTCAGGTACAAAAAAATGTTCTACTGATCAAAAACAATACCTAAAACCAAGAACAAGAAACTCTGCTGCTTATCTGTGAGGAGTAAGATACATTAAATATATTTTGATCCTGTGACTAACATTTGCAAATAATGATACTTTCCTATTCCAAACAAAAATTCTACTCAAGTGTGTGTTTTGTGAACACATAAAAGAAGTAGTTAAGACATCCACAAGTAACAGAGATTGCCTTTTCATACACCCTTAAAAAAGAAAAACCAGTTTCCTTTCTGAGGAACGAAAACTTTCATTTTGTGGATATTTTAACCAGTAGATTATTATATGTAAAAATAACATAACAGGAAAAAACTCTTTCACAGTAAATATGATTGTACATGGGAAAGCCAGTTTTTAAAATTAAATACTCGAAGAAAGAATAAATGGAGAAATAATAATAAGAGAGCTTATAATAACAACGGAAATTATAGACAACTCAAAACAAAAGAAAAGATATGAGATCTATGCATTCAAAAAATTAATCAAAGGAAATCTTAGCGTCAACTCAAAAGTGGTCAATCACCAGAGCAGGCATCAAATATGTGCTTGTCTTCATTTCTTAGATGAATCATGCTTCTCAAGATGGAATGATTATTGAATAACTTGCATATATGAGTCTACATGAAGGAAAATGTAGCAGCCTTCTGAATCCTGTCTAACACGTTTTATTTGGCAGCCCATCCATTCTCTCTCTCTCTCTTTCTTGATCCAGGAGGGGGTTGGAAGTGGGTGGTGATGCTTACAAACTCAAGTTCAGGTTTTGAAAATAACCTAATTCGTGTTGAATGGGCCACAAACAGCAACATTAAGTCAGTACTTTCCTTCACTGATGACCAGAGCGGTAAATATAAAGATTTTTATTCTACACTACTGTTTTCACCAAAGGTCCTTATCAACAGGCAAAATCTATTGACATATCAAGATCTTATTCAGCTACCTTTCATTTTATTCTATGAATATGCAGCAGTTTGTGTGACAATCCACATCTGGGTGTTGCAAGACACCCAGCTGAAGCAAAGTCAGTCATATTCTCTCTCGGTTGTGTCACAACACAGTAGAATAAGGTGCACAAAAACTTTTGGGAATATTGGAGGTATTGGTGTTATCTTATAACTTGTTTATTTATCTTGCTTTTGATGAAATTTGAGATATTTCTGATTAAAGGAGGTGTGGGTTACCTGGTGTCAGAGGTAAAATTAGTGAGAAAATGACCGCCAAAGTTTACTGACTTCCAAAGCTTGAGTGTTCTTGGAAACCCCTAATTTTCATGTTTTTAACTTTATACCCATCGCCAGGAATCCTTTTGCAGAAGGGTGAACTGGCAAAGAGCAAGATACCTTTCCAAAGTATGCAATGGCCTACTGCAAAAAGCTGGCAATGGAACCCACAACTCTCAAATCAAAGTCCAACTCATCCTTGCTAGATCAGGACCCAGTAGTTTATTATCATTTTTTTCTTAAGCAATTTGGGGATCACATGACCTTACAATCAGTATCTTTCATGGCCAGTATGTAAGTTTCAATCTATCTTTTCCATCTGGTGTACAACAGCTATTCAAAAATCACAAGTAAAGTAATTTTCTTACTTTACAGAAAGTGACACACTGTGTTACTTTCCTGCTAGGAAAGGGTAAAAAATGAAAAGGACCAGAGCCAAAGATGCAAAAGAAAATGCAAACATCATCAGATCTATAATGGATTTCCAAAATTATAAAAATAAGCATAATGTGGGATTCATAGCACAAGTGCAGAAAACAAAATCATATTTTCATTTTATATGGATGTGGAAACAAGCTTGTCCGAGTCAAATAATTAATGGGTGATCAGAATAAACAGTTGTGAAATAAAACAATCTTGAAGCAGGAGTTTGAACTAAACAAAATGTATTAGCAGTTGGATGAAGAGGGATAATCTTAGCATGTATACCTTGTCTGTCTTCTCGAGCTGAAAAGTTCATATTAGAATTTACATTTTGACTTTTAGAGAAGGTGTGACAATATTGACAGTTGTACAGGAAGTTTCACAAACAAGAATAAAAACAACAGTTAAATGACAACATGCATTGGGATCTTCCTCAAGGAAGACACTTCATCAAAAGTCTAAAGAACTTTCAGTTTCAAAATTGTCTGTCTATCAACAAACATACTCTGACAGGCTTAAGTTTAAGCAAAGAGCTGCTTATCTAGTACATTTGTAGCATGAACCCATACAAAACAGAAGCTGAGTTTCCCACAAATTCCTTGCATCTAATTCTTTAAAAAAGATTTTCTGTATGAATTCATTTCTACTAACTTTAATCTACTAAAATGCATGAAGAGATAAGCTCACAGACATTGTACTGACATCCTGTCTGAAAACCTTAATCACATGATCATTAGACAAAAACACTAATAATTTAAAGTTATCATAATATAAATAAATTGTTTTTAAATGTTATAACCACTCCACCTTTTGTATCATTCTCGCTGTCAAGGACCAGTAGAAAGGCATCAGGAGCTAAAGCCTCCCCAGCCTTAACCAAGAGAGATCTTTTCATTCGAATTGTTCCAGAATCTGCTTTCCGAGCCTAAAAGAAAAAAACAAAATGAACACACAGTGAGCCTCACAGACAAATGTGAATATATTTTAAAATGCACAAAAGTTTACAATCTACTAAATCTGCTTTTTAAAAAAAATTATTTTATTTCTTACTTTCAGAATGTTATTATAAAATTAATGATTGTGTGCATATTGAGCACAAATACAAGAATTCACAGACTCAAATTGAACAAATTGCAGAGAATAAGCTCTAATTTCTACCTCACTCTTCACATCATTTATATCAAATAAGTGAATTAAAATACATCACGTGGAATGAATGGAAACTAACAACATGAATAAATTAACAATGTCAAAAATTATCTCACTTTCATTTTGAAATTTACATTTAATCAGATACATAATATTTTCATTTTCTAAACCTTATCTAGGTATCAATTTGTCATTGTTTTTCAGGCATAAACAGACACGACCTATCATAAATTTGGTAACAAATCTTTTTAATAGATACACACACCTGCTCAATAATCATGGCTGCCTGGTCTTCAGGTCTGTCTGGCTGTTTGTAGAGCTGTGCTCTGAGTTCCAGACGACGAAGAGACACCTCCAGACGCTCGTGGTAGATGTTCCCATCATCTAAAGCCAGGGCCTGAACAAGAAATTGAGAAACATGAACAGTACAAAATGACAGAGTGTGTCTATACAACAAGTTTCCATATTTGTGTGTAGCTTTATATTAAAGGAAAATATTTGATTGCCTGTCAGTCTGTCAGAAAAGATATAACTTTTTTGCACAGGTAATGACTAGGTGATTTCTACTTCAGCCTGGTGTCTACCTTTGCCAAAATTTGCTGTCTGTTGTCTGCAGACTAACACATAAAAGCATCCTATTCTAGACTTTAGGATGTGCGACTTGAAAGAGCAAAACTATGGGTTTTATTCACACTACACTGAATGAAATTTGTATTTATTAGTAAAGTACTTGCTTTACCTTAGTCCACCCCATTGCCAAAGGGCACATGAAAATCACCAGGGACATAAATATGTGAATGATAGTGTTTGATGTTTCCTCCTTTGTGTTTCTTAACAGATTGCCTCACTGTGCACTTTGTATCCAACACCTCCTCACTACCCCCACCCCCGCCCCCCAAAATCACCAGACTGAGATGCTTGATCTGAATGAACCAGCCAACCAAATGATTACTATTGTGAAGTCATGGGATTGGAGCCATTGCTTCGTTTGTTTATTTCAGATATGACAAATCATTACTGTTACTAACTCTAATACAAGCCACACACAAACATAGCTTCATTTTTCTTTTAAATCCGTTGTCCTCAGACATCAGGTGCTCAAGCAAACTAACCTTCTTCAGGTTTTCCATGGCAACCTGAATCTGCTCTTGATCCTCCTCACACCTTGCTAGTTCTGTGTGGATCTGGCACCTCAGCAGCACAAGGAGGCTAGCAAGGAAATAAAAACATTACCTTGACGATACAAAACTTTACCACTGTGATTACACACATTCGAAGCATTTTATATCACACAATTCAAAGCAATCTACATTTAATGCAAATAGAGTAACTCCCTTGCAGGATATCACAAAACAATGTCTTGTTGTGAGATAAAGTTACAGCATCTTGCTATAAAGCTACCCAATCAAAAACCATTGCTAGGGCTGGATTCGGCTCGGTTAATCGAAGGCTTGCAAAGCAGCGGACGTCTTGCGCTAGAGTCTTGCGAGCAGGCTTGTGGTTTGATTTGCCTCCCGCTTGCTACTGGAGGGAACTTCCGGTGAGTTGTGACTCGCGGACAGTCCTGCTGTACTGTGTCGTGACGTCGCGAACTCTCGTGGCAGTGGGCTCAGTACATATTATAGAAGATTCTCTGGTTATTTGCGTTGAGAGGCTTGCACCAAAAGTGCAAGATCGGTTGGGTTTTTTTCATAGTTCGGTTGTAAAAAACAAAAAGCTCTATTCAATGCACTTAAAAATTAATATTGGATCTGCTATTCTTATGATGTTAAGGCCTGTTTATTTTTAATGTGCACAAGCCAAGCGCTTCATCGCCGCACGCAAAAGACCTCAGTTCGATTCCCGTATGGGGATAAATTTTTACTGAGAACCTCCGTCTTTCTGCTGGGGCGTTGTTCCCTCTCAGCCCAGGTTGGCCCTGACATTGGGTTGAAGTAGGCCTAGCCCGTCTCCTAAATGTTCTGTATTATGTCACTGTGAGTGTAACACATCTACAAAATAGGTTACATACATACGATACAAAAGCCAATCACAACGACCCCTGGAGTTTTCCATTTTAGGGTAATCTAAGTCAACTTATTCTTATTACTACCAGAAACCTAGGTCTCTGTTACTACAATACCACGCTCCCTCTCACTTATCCATTCGCTTAGCTGATCAACGGCGGGAAGTTAAAAATAACTTCAGCTCTCTACGCCTTGCACCAAAACAAGCCCAGCCTCTCCCTTCCAACACATCGGACTGTCTTGTCGCCATCAAGACGGTCCTACGCCATCGAGCCCGTGCCGCTCGCTCGGTGTATCGAGACAGTACAAGTCAGCAGGTCAGGTTTCGAGCTTGTCCTGGGGCAAATCTCTAGGTCTAGCGCAAATCAGTACTGTGTGAATTGTGGGGCCTGTGGCAGCGGACGGGACTTGAGGCTTGCGCAGGCCTTCGATTAATCGAGTAAACTACAGCGCCACGCCGCGAAGTGACTCTGTGGGCGAGATCTCTCACTCTCCCCCTCTCTCTTTTTCTGAAGTAAGTGGCTTCGCGGATTGCAAGCAGGGTGGGGATGATGAGGGGGCCTGACACGAGTGGCTTCGCGGATTGCTAGTTGCTGTGGACTTGAAGTTTAGACTAGACCAAGGAGGTTACAGTTTGCGCTAGACTCAACTTATCATGCTGGTGATTTGATTTGATGATTTGACCTAGTGATTTGAGGCTTGTGACTTGAACTAGGGGTTTGTGAGTACGAGCGGGTTTGCTACCGGGGTACAGCCCTAACCATTGCATCAACAATTGCTTTAACACTTTGCAGTCACACAGCCAGCAGTACAAAATACCCCATCTGGTAACCCAGCCAGGAGAGCGACTGCAACAGACTTCTCGGGCATGGCGCAGAAGTGTGCCAGGTGACCGGAAAGGATCATTTTCACCGATGCATTATTGCGCCAATTGCGCCAAGTGACTGCAAAGTGTTAAACTCCTACTGAACCAGCTTTTTCTATCTTCTTATAAATATCATAACTTTGAACAAAGTGTTATCAACTTTTATTATACTCAGAATACACACTACTTTTTCTGAAAAAGACTCAATACAAGAACTGTAGTTTTATCATACCTATCAATTGCCTCCAAAGCATCAGCAACAACTGTAAGCTGTTTCCTCACTTGATTCCTCAGATTGGGTTGAAGAAGAGGTAGGCATAGGTTCCACTGTGTGACGCAGCCAACTTGAATGACATTCGGTTCTCCAAGTCGGATGGCATTCATGATTGCCTCTTCACAGCGTCTGATAGCCTGAAGGCGAACCTAAGATAAAGTTGAGAAAACAGAATACATTGTAAGTGTCAGTATTACGTGAAAACGACAGCCTACAAACACAATAACAGAAATCATGATTTTTTTAAAAAAGAACAAAAATAAAGTTTACTTCAAATCTACAGCTCAGTGTAAGACTCCAGTATACATCACTTATTCAAAATGGCGTTTTGCGGAGTTTTACACCAAACAGTCGAAATATAGCCATTCGTAATTGTGAAACCTTTCGATGCTGCTACGTGAAATGTGATAAAGGAACATGCAAAATATGTTAACTTACATCCACAACAGTCTTCTGGTAAGTTTCTTGCTTTTCAAGAAGATTCCGGACCATCAGTTCACACTGCACAAATTCTAGCTCCAGGTGAAATCCAGGTTCCTGGTAGAAAAACAAACAGATCATGTAGAATGTATACTGTGTAAAAGGGAGCATAAGAGGAAGAGGGTATACACAATTGTATTTACCTAAGTAACTGTTTTACCGTACAGAACTATTCATTGTAAAAATTAACTATAACATCGGCAAATCATGAAACATTTTACGTATTTAACATACATATAAATGAAAAAACATAAATGCTCCTAGTTTTTCAAGAAAAGCATGTGCTGGGTGAAAAACAGAATGGATGTCTATTTCATTGTGTTCCACATTCAAAACTAGTGTATCAATCTGCAATTTTGGTAAACTGTCAGGTGACCACAGTGCTATTTGAAAAGTATGATAGAGTATGTGTTTTGAGCCCCTCTAAAAAATGTTTATTGTTGGATAATGTTTGGAGAATATGTATCCTCATAGACAGTACAGTGCCATAGCTGCTCCTCCCTCCTCTTCAGAATCCATGAAAAGGACAGGCTTGGTGATTGTGCCATACGTGCGGTTTTTTAAAAAAAGATTCTCAATTAACATATCACTAACAGAATTTTTTCAGTGAGTTTAATCCTTTTTTTTTATATGGGATGACACACCGTTGAATAGCCAGATTTTTTAAAATAATAAAGAGAACTATCAAACAGTTTAGATTTCTAACGACATGATCCAAAATCCTTGATATGAAAGTTTTCATCCTTTTGTGCAAATTGGATAGAGCTCTGGCACAATTCTATGTTTCCATTTCATCTATGGTCAAAAAGTTGGTAACAAAATTTTGCTTCAATTCTAGTTTGGTCTCCCAAAGTAAAAAAGCTTTTATACAAGCCTCTCTTCAAACAGAGAAGTGTGACGATTGAAAAATTCAAACAAGCTTCATAGCCATTTGAGGTCTGCATTGGATGCACGAAATGTTATATCTTCATTCTACAAATCCACTTCTCATTCTTGATCCTAAAAGGGCAAAAATTGATTAGAAAGATCTCAAGGTCACAAGATTTCTGTATTATGACTTTGCCATTTGAAAAGTTAATAACTATCGAGTCATATTCATGTGACTTCGGAATACTAAACTGCATTACATAAACACAGTGTCCTGCCCTTTCATTGGCGACATTAAGTATATTGGTAGCATATTCTGTCCCAACACCCACCTTGAAAGTGCACATTTTCATGCTTTCAACACAGGCGGCAGCCAACTCAGGCAGATCCAGTTCCAAGCACAAACGTGCTAACTCCAGTAGAAGCAATGGCCTGAAACAAACCAAAAAAAAATTGTGGGATTCAGTGAATATGCCAAAAAACGAGAACAAAATAACTGTTTAAAAGTTATGCAAAGTTATAAACATTGATAAAAAGAGTAAGGCAAGCGACAATTAATTGTAACTTCAAAATTACTCTTTTCCTGTTCATTCAACCTAATTTAATACTCTTCCAATTCGACCATGCCACTTTCTATTCTTTGCCCAAAACATCAATCATCTAAGTAAATGTAACAATTTGTGAGAATTGATTCAGAAGTTTTAATCTTTGGTGATTTTTTTTTAAAGCTCCAAATTAAAACTGTGACAGAGTATGTTGCAACTATAAAAGACTATTCTTGCGATGGTACTTCAGGAAGACAACACATGTTTAATCAGTTAACTAACATAAAAAGATTACACTAGCAGTTTAGAGGAACAAATGATCCACACAATGGAAACCTAGCTCTGATTATTTTTTTAAAGCATTTTCAAAACATGTAGCTTCATAAACATGTTCTACACAAGTAGCTATGTAAATATTTCTACTGCCAACCAGAATGAGCAGGATTATGAAACTGACCCCATTTGACAATATATTTGCAATAAAAGGAGCGAGAAACTGTTGTGTAAGTTACCATAATAGGAGGAGACAGGAAAAAGAAAGAGGGTGAAAGAATTAGAAGTTACGTTAAACAATAAAAAGCATTTTCAACGCAGAAGATCAGAATTAATCTCAAACCACCACAGTCAAGGACCCAGTTCACAATGCATACTACAACAATATGAAGTATTTGTGTTCATACTTTCAGAACCCCTTTCACCAATACAGTACTTGTGAGAGAAGATAAAGAGTGCACAAACTGATGAAGAAAACAAATCAGTCAGTCATACCTCTATGACATACTAAGACATATGCAAAAAAAACAAAATGCTATTCAGAGTTATATCTGCATGAAAATTATTCTCACAATAAAATTCTCCAAAACATAGTGCAAAGTTATAATATTTGAAAGATTTTAATAAATAAAGTGAGGAAAATTTGAATTGCACTGTCAAGATATATTTCTTTTAAAAGAAAGGAAGGGAAGATAGACAAAGATCCCACTTTGTTTAACTTCGACTTTTTAGTTTTAGTAGAGGTTTTACGGCGCTCGCAATTGCATAAGGTCATATGCGCGGCAGAAGATTTGGTGTTACAAGAGAGTAACAAACATAAAAAAGGAGAAGGGGAGATAAGGATGATAGATGTTTGATAGGAAAGAAGAAGCAAACAACACCAGAGCACCCGCCAACCACCCACTAACTTAAACAAAAATTTGAGAATTTCTTCAATCGACATGACATTAATAAACCCGAGATAAATGGCAAAATAGAGATGCATGAAAGTCAGTAGCACAACACTAATTAGAGGGCAAGAATGCTTTTCTTTTGACAGCAATTAAATACAGTTCGTCCATTTTGCGGACAAAATGTCTCTGAAGTGACTGAATTAAAAATACCTCTTTCATAACAAAAACTCATAATCATGAATTTAGTACATTCGTACAAAGTTTTTAAAAAATCTAGAGCACATTGTCTAATTATCTAGCAGTTATGTGATTAGGGAGGTAGCAATGCAAAGTAAAACAAACACTGAGCCGCATAATAGTCAAATAAATGTGGAGTATATGTTGAACACTTCTCAGTATGACAGTACACTGAGGTCATATCCAAATCAGACAATTTTCACACAGCATATCATCACACACTGTAATCTGGCTGTACAGACCGAACCACAAAAGCATGAAATTCTTAAAACCCAGGGGTTAACCAGCATTTCATCTAAAATATTGATTAAATAGTTGAATTATCTCACTACAGATACAGTCAAACCTGCCCTGACGGCCACCTCTATAAGACGGCCACCTGTACAAATGGCCACTTTCCATTTTCCCCCTTGTGTTTTTTCTATATGAAATAACTGTGTAAAACGGGCACCTGTCCAACGCAGCCGCAGCCACCATATTTTAACACACAACCCCTATCACACTAAGCAATAACACCTGTCTTAGACGGCCCCCTTAGAGACTCCATTACGTTTTGTCATAAATTGTGCATTGGCCCCTGGCGTTGTGGGTGAGCCGTCATAATCCAATCACCAGTCGTTTGTTGTTAGATAGTCCCTCTAATGATCATGTAGCGTAGGCCCCTCACACAGTTGACCAATAGCTACCAATTTTCAGCTGCTGGTGAGGTAAGCGTGTGATCCCTCATAACCCATAAGCCCCGCCCAGAACTCATACACAAATCGTAAGTGAGATGAGTGGTCACTGTTTACCCAGTCTGTTACAAAGTAACAATGGACATCAACCTGAACTTGTGACAAAAGCGTAGCTCATTCTCCGAGTGGTGGCGACCCATGCGTTTGTTTAAACATGGCACTCGGTCTTCCTCATCTAATACATTTCGTTTTTTTGTCACCCTTGTGCAAAATCAGCAACAAAATAAAAATTGCAAACAAAATACAAACCAACAACAACAACAACAAAAACAACAACAAAGCGGCTACTTTCGATTGGGACCTCAGAATGGAATGGTTTGTTTTCTTCATCTTGATCAGTCCTGCCTAAGACGGCCACCTGTGTTATACGGCCACTTTTCTGCTTGACAATGGGTGGCCGTCTTACACAGGTTTGACTGTACAGTTGTGCATGCAGTATCTATTTGCAAGAATAATAGCATCTAATTTACACAAAACAGCTCAAATTTGACCCAAACCTTTCTGCAGGGGATAAACTGAAAGAAAATGACACCCCATAGCTACTGATTAACTGTATGATCAACATTTGAATAATAAGTAAAGCATAAATTCTTGGGCTATGTCATTGATGGATGATTAGATTAATTCACATCATCAATGTAGTTGTGAAGTTTTCAGGGAAAAAATAAAAACTGTATCTCAAAAGAATGTTTTCGGATAGAACGTCTGAATCTCTTTGTCTCTTAAGTATGATACAGAGAGAAAATGGGAGAGAGAGGGGATGACAAAGAGAGAGAGAGAGAGAGAGAGAGAGAGAGAGAGAGAGAGAGAGGGAGAGAGGGAGGGAGGGAGGGAGGGAGAGAGGGAGGGAGAGAGAGAGAGAGAGAGAGAGAGAGAGAGAGAGAGAGAGAGAGAGAGAGAGAGAGAGAAGGGGTGGGTAATTAAATTACAAGTTACAACAAAAACGAGAATAGCAAGCATTAAAAAATAGAATGATCAAAATACTTCAACCACAAATAAGTTTTAATAAATGAGTATTTTAGTAATGAGAGACTAACTTTATCATTATTCTGTAAAGTTTAACACTTTTCATACCATAAACAATGGATGCAGATATTTCTTTATCCTCTTCCCTTCAGTGTTCTTCAAAGGTATGAACAAGGACAAATGGAACCTTCATGAACTCAAAGTTTGGTGTGCTTTAGAATTAGATATGATCCAAACCTGACAAAGCAGCACTCTTCACTCTCTGCCCAACTTATACATATTAGAAAGAATTTGTACTTCATACTAATCAACACTTTAGCTGAATACTGTATTTTTAAATATTGACTCTAATTCGCAATAACAGATTTTCATTGCATTCCATTACACTACAGGATGGAGTTGATTTCAAAACTAACAAATTGCACACTGTTGCTAGCAAAACAAAATTGTTTTTCACCAAAAAAAAACCACCTTTGCACACTAATTTATTGTCCCTCAATGAACTAAAAAATGTATTATTTTTCATGAAACTGAGTGCATATTGTGACACACAAATAAAAATGTGAGGTGAAATTATGTATTCACAAACAGATTTTTTTAAAAGATGTGGACTTAAATATATATATTGTGTTCTGTGGGTTTATATGGGGGGAAAAATCCAGAAGACTAACTTATCCACACTGTCCGAAGCTACTTTTCTACTGGTGGTTGGTGTTGGAGTTCTCCTTCCGCCTTTTACTGGACTTTTGCTATAAAGAAACATGCAGCATACAATCTACAATGAAATATATTTCACGTCATAACAAGAGCAAAATAAAATCTAAAAGCAGAATGAGCATTAAATACATGAAATAATGAGTTTTCTAATGTGAACTAATGAGTGTCCTTACATTGCTCAGTCTGTGCTACAAAAGGTTAAATATTGGACAAATAAAAATCTAAAGCAAATGCAAACTGTTTCAACTTTAAAAATATTTTTAACGTAATCTTAAAATTGGAGAGCAAAGTGCCATTTATGTGAAAAAGAACATGAATCTAATCAAATGCTAATTGGAAAATAACCATGACAAATTATAAAAAGAGAAAAGGAAGAATGAGTGTGAGGGTGCGTTAAGAACATCTGTTACTTCTCTATAAACTGAAGCAAGGTCACATAATACTTATGAAAACAAATAACATCCATAATGTGAGGAACATACATAGATTGTAGCTACTGTCTGTATTCACTACCATTAATAAGCTGACAAGAAAAAAGTTTGAAATGAAATTTGAAAGTGCAGAAACTAAGAGAAAAAAACGATGCACGACATCAGTCTACAGAATATGTACCTGAATGGACGATAATTTTTTTTAAAATACAACGTGAGACTAAACTCCAAGATTATGTATTCCAGGATATGTTGCGCAACTCTTATTGAAAGACTGTGTGTGCACAAAGGGCAATTAATGACCACACATTCCCAATTACCATACATGATTATGCATGTGCAGTATATCTTGACATCAGTTTTTATACACCTACTGTCCTTAATCTGCACACTTAACTGAAAACCTGTGTCTCTAAGTGCCCAAACAAATACACACATATACTGGATTTTACAGAATGTAGAACAAATGTTTGAGGGATCCTGGGTTCATCAATGAAACAATTCAGTAAACTGAAATAATGTCACTGTTTCTCACTTCTCATAATCTGTTGCCTCAACAAATTGGGAGAGCTTAAACCTCACTACAACTCCACCTTGGAATATACAATCTTTGCTAACTCAAAAACAAACAAAATAGTAAACAGTTGTGTTTGCCTCAACTAACATAACATAGAAAGTACAGAGGAAAAAGGAAAAATAGTGGAACATTATCACACTCACCGTTCTTTCCTCTCTGTTTCAGCAGCTTCATCTCTACTCGGGGATGAACTGCTTGAAGTTGCACGTGCAGGCTTTGAATCTTTGCGGGTCAGACGTTCTTGTGACAATCGCTCTTGAGACCTGGACAACAGGGAGTCTTTATGTGCCACACCCATCTGGTTCAGAATGTTCTGAATGTCCAGTGCATAGTCTCGGCCCTCTTCCTGGTCAACAGAGCTAGAAAAAAGAAAATTTGAGAATGTTACCATTTCACTAAAGATAATAACAGCCAAAGGCAAATAGATTTTACAAAAAAAAACACATAATGTTCAATACTCAAAAACTAGATGAGAGCAGAGAAATCACAGAAACTTTTTTTAACAATGCAATATCATCGCCACATACTATTTACAGTGATACTGCATGAATGCTCCAGAGAAAAAAAAGAATTATATTTTCACTCCAAACCAACAGATTAAAGTTCACCCTTTGAGTGCTGCTCTTCTGAGTTCACACGAACTAAGCAAGCACCTGAGCACTCTATAGACCACTACTACATTAAAACCACAGCATGTTGGGGTGTGCAGAAGGTGAGCTCAGAACTGTAAGGACCTTAATAACCTGGAAACATTGTAACTTTAGAATATAACTTTGGGAGGTACGTAAAAATGAATGTGCGGTGGTCTGTAAAAACAAGTGGTAGACAAACAGCCATTGCCCGAGTCATATCCTACACCCCCCAACCAAAAATATAAGCTTCGTATCGCATTTGAGCCAGTATGATTTTCATTTCTTCAGCCCATGTTTTTCTGTCTGAATGCTGTTATGAAATACCTTATTTAAGAATAAAAGATATGAAATCAGTGAAATTATGTTTTCTTATCTTTAAAAAATTACAGAGTTAGAGCAAGCTTTCCATCTAAGAACAGACACAGCCAGTTCGGTAAATTTGAAAACCTATTTTCATTTACTTTTCAAATAGTGAGAGTGCATCACTTCACATGTCTATAAAATTGGCAACCCCCCCCCCCCCCCCCCCCCCCAACAACAACAAACCAATCAACATGCTTTTTATTTCAACTTTGCAATACATCTTTTTAACCTAAAATAACATGCTTTAAATACTGACACACTTAATCTGAAAAGTTACATACAGTACTGGGAAATATAAGGGCTTCCATTTCTTGATGTCAATATAAAATGTTACAGAAAAATGATGTACCTGGTTTTTCCAGCCACCACATAAATGATGTGCTTTAGCAATTCGTTAACGAGGAAATCTGCCCAAAAAGTATAAATTACAAAAGACTTAACCCCTTCTTAAAGTCTTTTTGAGGTTTGTCTTCTATATTTATCTCAAAATAAATTCAAGGGCAAAAAAGTCAAAGTCAAACAGTAACACATCTATCAAAACAGCAGTAAACACACAGAAAAATTGCTAAATTTCCTGCTGAAAAGGAAGCATTCACATAGCTTGAAAGAAATCTGAAATTCGGGTGGGGGGGGGGGGGGGGGGGGCATAAAGGCACTTAGTATAAGCAGCTCAGATTTCAGTGAGGCACAACTCGTTCTTCTCCAGAAAGCTATTGAAGTCCCTACTCAGCATTTCTCGTGACCAGCACCAAAGCAATCGATCTTCAAGCAACACATGACCAAATTCATACCTTGAATTTTGGCACAACTTTGAGAGAAAACTACAACAACAGAATGAGTCAATAATATTATAGTTAAAATTGTATGGCACTGTTGGCATAAACTGATCCTTCATGCAGAATTTGTGCTCTTTTTTTGGAGACCTTTTAAGTGGTGGAAATGGCGCAGAGCAGTAAAGTTTGAAAGAAAATGAACAATATGGACTAACTCCCCACAGAGTAAAGTTACGGTTCAATACACCAAGTTCTTCAGTGGTGTGCGAAAGGAATTTTTAACAATAAAATGTGATAAATGTTACGGCTGTGATTTAACACTACAATGATCCCAGTTACAACTAAGTCAATCAATTTATTCAAGGTCACATTGACAAGTGTGAGTTCTGTAAAGTCCACTGAAACAATTGAACTTCTGCTTTTAAAATGTAATAGTACTTGGAAGTATTGGTCTTATCTGTAGCAAGATTGTTCTAGATATGAAACTATTACTATTTTGCCAGTCACAAGAACACAATAATACCAATATTTTAAATGTTCTACAGATTTACGCAAAACAGTTCATTTTCAAATCAAAAGTTCAGAAAAATCAACCCAATTTTCAGTATTTTAAATTAACTCTTTGTCAAAGACATGAAGAAGAAAGTCTGATCCAACAATTGTAAAAATCAAACCCCTTCGACCTTTGAGCAATGTTTAAACCTAACATTACATAACAATAAGAACAAAGCTATGTACATAAACAGCCAAAACACCTCCATTGCTGTTCCTCCAAGTACGTAGAATATTATGCAGTGCGTTGATATGTCTGCAAGATGTGTGAAGGCAATGCATACTACATTTATAATATCATGTATATGTAATGATCTGTCTACAGCGTATGTGCATGTTTTCCTGAAAAAAAAAGTCTGAAAGGAGAAAGTTATCGAAGCAAAAGAATAGCTCATTCAAAGGGGCCCTGTCAAAACAGATTTCTAAAAGGCTGTCATGTAAAGCAAAATAAGAAAAGAAGGATACTTCTTATTTCAATAACTACTTATTTGTTAGTAATTTTTTTAGAACTATCATTTTAGATCAACAAAAGCTGTATGTGATTTTTCTACCTTGAGTCAGTTATCGCTGAATTATTAATATATGCTTTTCAGGGCAACTATGAAAAAATGAAAAACAAAAGTGAAGAAATTCTAAGACCTGTCCATCGATGATGGAAATAACGTTAAAAAAACTTGAAAAGAAGATACAGAAACTTTGTGAAACCAAACAACAAAATCATAATCTGCAAAATAGTTACTGCAGAAAGAATATTCAACATTTTTATAAATTTTACACAAAAGAGTCATTTTCAGACGCAGGATCAGAATCAGGACTTGAGGATACATCATCAGCCAGTTCAGCATCAGAGGAGGGCACAGAGGAAGCATCTTCAAGTACAGGCAGGGGATCAAGACGACTGAGCAAACGAGGCGTTGTATGAATTAATGAAATAAGATTGTCTTACCATAGAATAAAACATCTCAAGACCTTGAGTTCATTTTTGATCATCTAACTTCCTCAGACTAAAACTTAAAGAGTCATCATTTTATTCACTGCGTCACAGCAACAATTAAAAATGTTTTAGTACTGAACAGGTATGGAATTCTTTGAAAAGAATACCACTGTTTTATTAGTACAGGATTTGCGCAACAAACACTCACGAGTTAAAATCACAGATAGGTTGCAAATATTGTATGTCTTATTAACAATTCAGATCATTTAGGAAGTGGTCAGAAAGAAGGACACCTTAGGAAAAGAAACTGCGTTAAAACGTAAGCTACAAATACAGATTAACTAATCAATTTGGGGTATTTATAAATGGAGTAAAGTGAGTACTATGAAGAAATATCTACAGAACTGTAGAACATCCAATTAAAAGAAGAGGGTTCAATTCCTCTAGATAACTAAAAAGAATTGATTTGAACCTAGTTATTGGTGAAAGAAAGGAATATTAACATTTAGGTCATAAATATTTAAGAGAAAGTTAACTGACATTTGCATATCATACAAAGAAAGAAAAAAGTGGAGTTTCAACTATACTTCAAGATGGGAAGAAAAAATTAAATGTATCAAACAATAGAAAACCAACTACAAATATAACATATTTTAGTACAAAAAAGAAATAGCTTTCACATAAGTTAAACTCCCAAAACCTTCAAATATCCCATATTATAAACTTTCCAACATTTACGGACAGTACCGTTAACTGTTCTGTATTTTCAATAAAAGACACAGAAAGAGGTCTCTATAATACAGACTTCATTGGTAAACGTTAACATCTGGCCAGCAAATCGACCTGCCTTCAGGAAAACGCTTACATATATAAGCATACATTGTTAATATTTTGGCCAGAAAAATTCTAAAGCAATACCTTGATTTAACGCTAAAAAGGAACATTCTTTTTTTGACATAACTTAAAGAAACAAAAACAAAAAATGGGGGGTGGAGGAACATGCAGAAGAGGCAGCTTACTGATATTCTTGAACACAAGACTTTCAAGCAATTTGCCACCATCAGCATGAAGAAAATCAATAAGTGGCAAAACTGTGATAACTTTTCGTCTCTTTTCTGCGTTGTGACTGACTGGAGGATAAAGTTACACGGCAATATCGAAGTCTTATAAACCACTGCTCCGATCTTTTATGACAAAGCCCTTAAAATAACAGATAGCAAGAAAAGTGACTTCGTTTAGTTGTTTCAACACTTGTTCAACAAAAATTGACAACTGTCGCCGTCATGATAAGATCGGATAAGTAGCATCGTGTAAATTTGTTAAGAGAAAGAAAAAACTGATTTATTAAAAGAACAGCTTAGAGTTATCCGATTTTCATACTGTTAAAAAATTCCACGTTAGTCTGTTTATTTGAATATAAATTTTTAACCAGCATATGAAACATGCTTTATAGAACATGTTCATGAAAAAAAGCAAAATCGAAAATTTTGTAGTTGTCCGATCTCATCGCGATGGCAACAATACAAATATATACTACACATGCATGACCCAAGAACGACATAGGTACACACCACAAAAATGTTCCTATAACTCATCAAATGGAATTATAATAAAATATACATAAGTTATGCACCAGACAGAGTTTCTCCAAGAAAAACATAGACTCACTTCTTAAGCTTGCATATCTTATAGTAAACAGCAAGTTCAGGCGATGTTTTCAGATCTTTGTGAAGTTTCGTAGAATCAACAAGCTGATGCCGTACCTGTATTGACAAACACAGTACATTTTATAGGCATAAACATACACACATAATATCTAAACTACAATAGAAAACATCTGTTTATTATCATCAAGTCTGCAGGACACGAAGAAATCTGACAATTATATATGAAATTTCCCATAAATAGACTCAGTTTTCTCATCCACACTTTTAAACACACAGTTTTCACGGTGTGCATGAAAACATAATCTTTGTGGGTGAGCAGTGGTATATTGTTACAAAAGTAATAATGAGTTCAAGTCTGCATTTTCTTTTCTTCTTTCCAAAACCAGTTAAACAAACTACAAGAAAACATGAAAGGTTTCTCACGCAAACAACCAAAACCACCATCTTTTTGCAACATTTGAAATATTAAAGGTAAAATGTGAGGCATCATAGTGAAATTAAGCGCTCATCAAAACAATGAAATTGAAGAAAACACATTTTCCCGCCAATGGGCAATTTTTCGCGAATTTTTTTTTTTGGCTCAACACATTTTATATCCATATAACAACATATTTCCATGTGAATTTTACAGAAAAACAGTGATCAAAGGTCATCATTGCTTTTCTCACCCTACACCATAGTACAGGCCGCGAACAAACACTTTCCACCTAATTAAAGGGACAAAATATGTACATTTTTAGCTTTCAAGGACTTTCAAACAATTGAAGTTACCAAACTTTGGCTGCCGTTTTCTTGTTAGTATTACCTCTGAAACCAAGTGACCCCCACCTCCTTCAATTGCAAATATCTCTACGTCCATTCACAATAAACGGGTATTTTTTAATCGAAAGCAAATGAACAAGCTCTCTGCTGATACCAATAACAACATATTCCCAAAAATTGATTAGCGCCTGATTCCACAGCGTCGTACCGTGACAAAAATAAAGCATGAAAGAAAATTCCCACCTATATGACAGAACAAAGACTTGCCTTACTTAAGTCTGAGTCACAAAGCAAAAACATACCATGAGTCCAAACACTGTTTTGTACAAGGACGAAACATTTGTTTTGATAAACGTCGCAGCTGCCGAAGCTATGTGTGAGGCATCACTCCGCCGACTGGCATCCAAGTGGCATTCGATCAAAGCACTGATAAGTAGAAGGGAAGAAATGGTTGGCGATAATAATACAGCAGATTGTGAGTATATTGTGAGCAAAGTCTCTAAGCACAGAATCATTTATGAAAATCTGACAAAGAATAATACTGTGAAGAGAAGGAAATAACTTGCAATATTTAACCTTTCTGCGCCCCCCCCCCCCCCCCCCCCCCTTGAAAATTTATAAAGCTGACCTTGAGCAGAACAGACACCTATCCAAATAGAGAGGTTCAGGAAAAGTGCATGCCTTCGTAAGCTTTTTATCAAAAGGAGAATCATCAAGAACTTCACTTCAAAGGAAGCACAAGACCAAAATATGATGGGTGTGTGATAAGTGAAAAGAAAAGCCAGGAGAACAAAAAAGGAAAAAACAAGAAAGAAATCTCAGCAGGGTCCACCAATTAGATTTACTGATAGAAGTAAAAACATGAGGAAAAACAAAGATATCCTCTAGGTAATAGTGACATCGATCAAAACACTGATGGGTATCTCAACAAAAACACAGATGAAAAACAGGGAAAAAAGAAAGGAGAAATCAGTGCAGACAAAAGAGCTATTATGACTTTGGTTCAAGACTCTTACATCATCAGCTGTGCTCTCCATTCATAGTCTTTATCTTCAATGTCATCCAGAGCTTTTACAACTTGATGCAAACTTCTTGCAAGATACTGGCGAAATCCAGGTTTCAAAAATGGACGACAGAATTGCCAGTATATGACAGAAGCGTTGTAAACCAAGAAATGATATCTGAGGAAATTTAAGAATACAACACATTAGTCACACATGGCAGAACTTTCTTTTCTTTTTTGGTATTGCTTTAAAAATGTAATACTTTTTATATGCAGAACATGTTATTTCAACTGATGGCAAAATTATTCTCAAGCTTTTCTACAGCTTTTTATTTTATTTACCAAGCTTTTTTAGTATGTTAGACAACATATCTAAAGATTTTTAGTCTCACATGCCTTGACAGTGAACAATAAGTAAACTTTAATTACCTGGGAGTTTTCTTGGCAAAAGATATTGCCTTCAAAATGTAGACCACTGCTTTCTCAAGCTGCTCCTAATAAGAAATAAAGCAAAAAAGTTCAATGTTTACAGGATCAATAAGTAAACTACTGAGTACCACATTAATAAACACAAGATTAAGAACAAAGAATGGAGATATTAGATCCAATACTGAAATGTATCAAAAAGCAAGTTCTTTAACCCTATCTATACGTTGTGTTTTACTATTGTATCAATACGATGTGGGGAAGTCAGAGCCACCACTTTCCAAAGAGGAAATTTACTTGTTAATCCGATCCGTACGCTTTGCATAGCAGTCTGTCAAAATGATTTTTCGAGAAATACTGCTTGACCAATGCCTACAGGAAAAGGACAACTTAATCTCGAATACACTGCCATAGAGCTCACTCTTGAGCTTTTACACGCCAAAGTGGGAATATCAAATCAGGAGAGAGATCAACCAATTAGTGAACACTGAAAGTCATCCTTAAAAGTAGACAAATCCTCACAAAAACTAATTAACCCCACAAGTTTGAAAGACTCCATGACATCGTGTTCTCAATTGGGCTCTCATTCAAAAACTATCACTACATCAGTACATTCCACAATCCACCACTTTCTTTGCTTTCCTTTCTTGAAAACACGGAATTGACAAATTTTTTGTGAAAGAATGCAGAGATGCTCACTTCTAATAAAAGAATGGCATTCATAGCCCTGCTGACACTATGAGCATGGATCTACACAAAAATGATCCCTGACTGAGAAATATTGAAGACATTGTTATATATAAGCCATTCATCAGATAGGAAGTGAAGTTGGTTATGAATGCTGTCAACCTTGACCCAAAATACTCAAAGCAATGGAATTTTACAAACCCGTTTATCTATAGAACTTTTATATTCTTGAAGTTCTTGCATTAAAATATAACTTCCAAAGAGAGCCCCCAGTCTTCTTTTCAAGTAAAAAATCTTTGTGCCGATATCTATACACAAAGTCGATCTACTTCACTCTTTGCTACTGTATAGCAATCAGTCCCTTTCATATGCTGTCAACCTCTACTGCCCAAAAACAGAACACCAATTTAACCAGATGAAGCCATTAGCAGGGAAAGTTTTTCAAGATAACTAATTAAAGTAAACCAAAAAAAAAGTCCTTACTGCACTGTTCGCATTCTGTGGTGCCAGTAGCTGTGCTTGACATAGGTAAGCTCGGCACAGAAACTGATTGGTCGCTGGTTGCTTCATGAAGAACATTTTCAGACATTCTCTGGCTATGTCTGGTTGTCCATTCTGTTAAAATTCAATAAGAGATATATCATAAATAATAATACAGCATTCATAAATATTAACTGGCACATTTTTATAAAACAACTATGTATTGAATAAGTGTTTTTCAAATGGAGGTAACAAAAATGGAAAACAAGAAAAAAAACAATCTCGTCAGTTAACTTAGAGTTCCGACAAACTCTTTTAAAAGCATAAGAGGTAATGAAACCTGAAAAACAATACAGACATATTAGCTCAAAAATATAATCACCATTGTTATGACATGTTGCTGTTTTCAAATCCCTTTAGCTGCGAGCATTTCGCTCTTGGCAGCGCAATGCCTCCCTCAAGTAACCACATGTCCTTGTCATCTGACCAATGCCAGATAATTATGACATAAAAATATGCACACCATAAGTAACAATTCAATAAGGAAATACATTCAACAGATTTACACAATATGAAAAAGAAAACTAACCTGAAAAGCAAATTCTGCACACAGAACATACAAGTCTTGTCCAAACGATTCAGGTGCATCAACTGCTGGTCTAGTTTCAGCAACATTCCTGAGCAAACTGTATGCTTCAAGCAATGCTGGATTTTTCTCACCCCCTGGGGATGAATAAAAATTTAAAAAGGGAATATATTAGAAGTCTAGTTGTCAAATATATAAACAGAAAAAACAAATCTTCTATTTTTTAAAAAGGACAGAACAGTAATATAAGCAAGCACTTAAAACTCTTTTCTTTTTTTAACTCATTGAAACTGTTCTCACGACAAAGAACCAAGGTTTTCATACCTAAGTTCATAAGGTTTCCATGTCATAATATTGCACCAATTCTTTATTAAAACTATGCACATATATATACATAATATGTGCCTTAGAGTCTGTTGTGTGTCAAATTCATAAAAATTTAGTTTTCATGATGTCTGTTTCACGAACATGTTTCCTGCATTACCCCAATATTTATATGTGCATACAGGCCTTATAATATACTCATCTGAAAGGACAGGAGCATATCTTCTGCAACAACAGAAACATGGGGGGTTCCCAGTAAATTTTAGCTTCCACGTTACACGTGTCATTTTTTTTTCTTGGGGGGAGGGGTAACGAGGAATAACGATAAAAGCGGAAAAAATTCATTTTCAAGAATTTTAGTCACAGTTTTCACATACTTTTAGTTATTTTAACAAAAATGGTGACAGTAAAAACCACCAATATGGTTAAAGTCACCATATTTGCACCCTTCACAAAAGCCAAGCTAACAAAAAAAAAATTGAAGACAAACAAAGGAAAAAAAGAGTCTAGAGGGCTGTACTACAATATTGTTGATTACAAATGAGTCATTGAGATAAATCATAATGATGTCAATGTGATTACTTTAGATGTTCACTTCTAAGTTCTGAGCATCAACTGTTCAGTGAACGACTCTGTAACACATCATTTTTCAAATCAGTATTAATGGTGGAGTTTTACAATTTCCAGTTAAGATATTCTTAAATTTAATAAAGAAGAAGCTCTGGTCAAAAACCTCAGCAAGTCATGATGCAGCATCATTCTTACCCTCCGACCTAACGGCATTGCAATAAAACTACGAATACAAATCATGATTTGTGTACATGTGTGTGTGTGCGTGGGTGTGTGTGTGTGTGTGTGAGAGAGAGAGAGAGAGAGAGAGAGAGAGAGAGAGAGAGAGAGAGAGAGTGAGAGAGTGAGAACTCGAGAGAGAGAAAAGGATAGAGAGAGGTGGGGGGTGGGGGGGGGGGGGCAACATTTCTGTCAAGCTGTTTAATTACCTCTATCAGTAAAATTGAAGATTAGCAGACCACCTGCCTCGAATATTTTTTTGGCACTAAAAACTGTCGCAAACTAGACAGGCGATTAAACGTAGAAAGACGCAAACTATTTTTAGATACGGCGCCCATCTTGTTTGACGTCAGACCAGGATACCCCTCCGATCACGTGACTACATCTAAGTATAATAGCCAACCGCATGGCACCAAAGATGGCAAAGTGTCTACGTATATAAGGCTTAAAATCTACACCACGCTCTCAGAAATTCCGATGGCTGGATAGACAGCGCGTCTGCCTTTGAAGTCATGCAATGATTTTAGGAGTGGTTCGATTCCGGTCCCGGACTATTTTTTATTTCTCTTCTCCTCCTCCCGACTGACCAACAGTCCCATAAATTATAATTTGTAGAGCTGCTTTGAAGTTTGTTTGTTTTTTAATGTATGTTAGTGATGAAGAATGCAGGAGAGGGGGGGGGGGTAGATGTAAATCTAATCCTCCAGCGTCTTTACGGCAATTTTCGTACACTTCCATCTTTGGTGCCATGCGGTTGGCTATACTCAGATGTAGTCACGTGATCGGAGGGGTATCCTGGTCTGACGTCAAACAACATAGGCGCCATACCTAAAAATAGTTTGCGTCTTTCTACGTTTAATCGCATGTGCAAACTAGGCCTACTAGAAATCTGAGATTATTTTTGTGACTTTGGCAGGGGGGTGAACCTGCCAGCATCCCCCCCCCCTTTCTACCAGAGTAGATCTAGTGGTGGTCTGCTAATGTTCAAAAAGGCCCCCCATCATATCCCCACTCTTGAAAATTCAGTAAGCAGCATTGTGACTTGTCCGCCTAACAGCAACCAAGTAGCCAAGTATATATATATATAGATCTATAATATGCTTAACACCACAACAACCCTACAAAGTGTAACAAAGCCTAGGCCTAGGCTACAATCTACAAACAAGTAAACAAGAACAAAATGCGATAGATTCTAGATGAAGATGTATTTTTAACAAACCTGCATAATTTTCAGCATTTGCAAGCAATTTCCTTATGCTAGCGTCCATATTTGTTTTTATCTAAAAACAATTCCAAGAGAAATGTCCACACTCTGGTTTGTTCAGTCAAATCACGGGTGCCGCCATATTGTTTACTGTTTACACCGGATAACCCCCACAGTCGCCCTCCCGCTACTCAAAATAAACCGTTTAAAATGAAATTTGTCTTTTATTTGTTATTTCAATTTTTAATATATTTAAGAGATCAACAAACAATATTCCAAAAGAAATGACGGTAGAAGTCACTCAATACAATTTAATTTGTTGGATAATAACTTTCCAAATAATAACCTCAATTCATGCGCTGTAACTAAGGCTCTATTGAAAAGATTTTATAGCAAAAACCAATGACGTCATTCTAACATGGAGTGTGCCTGGTGCACAGAATTCTGTGGCCTGGTGTGTGTATACTTTTTAAAAGCATATCAAAAGGAACGGAACGAAATTATAATTTTGTAAACATGGCTCCATGTGTTTCAGGTCAGTGTCACTGTTCTAGACTCAGTGTGCGTTGTTTGTGTTTGAATCAAGACTAGATCTATCACTTTGAATATTTAGATATCTGTTTGATTTTATTTTTTGGCGTTACAGTCAACAACAGCAACAAGTAAAAAAAAAAGCTGTTCATCTCATTTTATTTGATTGGAATTGTGAAACGTTCAGAGAGCGAGAAGCCGGCTTATTTCGAGTCTATTATTTTTAGTTTGAGTTTGAGTGAGGAGATCCTAATCTAATCTAGATCTAGAATCTAGATCTAGAATCTAGATCTAGATCTAGATATTTCGGCGCTTTTTCGGTAGTTCCCACCCCGCAATTTTATTCACGGGTTTGGGCCACAAGAGTAGGGGGGTTTCAGGGGGCAAGCCCTGACCTAATAAAAATAGGAAGGGGGGTTTCAGGGGGGCATGCCCCCCTGAATTTTACCATAATTTAATGTTTTGCAATTGTTAGGTTTGATATCTTAGCTCACCGCGAATCAAACGTATAGATCTACTATCTAATCTAGATCTAGATGTAGGTCAGGCTCAAATAAGGGGGGTGGGAACTACCGAAAAAGCACCGATATTTCTAGATCTAGATATCTAATATCTAGATTAGATCTAATCTAGATCTAGAATCTACATTACAACAACAATAAGCCTACTAGCTACTAGAAATCTAGTAGATCTAAATTTATAAGGTAGTGTCAGTGTCAATTTAGTCAATTGCCACCTCGTCACTCGGTGGCAATTGACGCTGCCACAAGTGGCTAGCCGTACTTAGATCTAGGTTTGGCCCAATCGACTCAAGCCTGTTAAGTACACAGGTCTCATTAGATCTAGATCTAGTAATTATTCAGGTTCAAATACATGCAAGTCAGTAAGGCACCTTTGGTTTTGTCTGAAATACAAATACTTTAGGCATTGCAAACTAAAAATTTCATTTACAATTCAGCCATCAATATTAAGTACGGCTAGCCTGACAGTCTAGCCGTCCTTAAGTACGGCTAGCCTGACTGTCTACCCGTACTTAAGTACGGCTAGACAAGAAGTCTAGCCGTACTTAAGTACGGCTAGACTGCCAGTCTAGCCGTACTTATCTTAGGCCCTATTAACATTAGAAAACAGGAGGTTTAAAATACATGCACTGTCATTAAGGCACCTGGTTTCGTCTCAAATACAAATACTTTAGGTACTGCACACTAAAAATGTATATATTTACAATTCAGTAGGCCTATTTTTAGTAAATGGTCAGTCTAGCCATCATATTAAGAATAAGTACGGCTAGACTGCGAGTCTAGCCGTACTTAAGTACGGCTAGACTGTCAGTCTAGCCGTCATTAAGTACGGCTAGCCTTTTCCTTTATAAATATAGGCGATTTTGTAGATATAGATCTAGTTTCGTTCGTTAAAGTCAAGATTCTGCTCCAAGCTTTCCATCCCATGAGATGAAGGAAAACGAAGCAGTGATCCTTGACCGATTGATCATTCGTCTTTTTCCCTTACATGAGCTGTGGCTCAGAGCTCAGCACTCCTCTGTACAATTGCGGTCTCATCTGGGGATACTAGTTTTGACCCCACTGACGATTACTTCTGGTTCTAAACGATTACTTTTTGATGCACGTGCCTATATGGAGAGATAGCCTATCAAACCTAATTGCAAAGGCCGTCGTTATTCGGACTCGGGTCCGGAAAAAAGGAAGTGTCTTCGTTCTATAGATCTAACGTTCAGTGCTTCCAATTTTCCGCCATTTTTTAGTTTCCCCCACACCTTATCTGCCGATCCAATGCCCGCAGCGTCATTGATATGCCCCGCGCCCCCGCCCCCCCACGTTTCCCACTTTCTTTGTTGTAGAAAAAGGTAAAATTGAAGATTAGCAGACCTCCTGGCACCTGCATATTATGAGCTGTGTAAAAAAAAAAAAAGACCGATTCGTTCAAATACACAAGCTTGTGTCATATCGATTGTTTACCAAGAAAAAGTTGTGTTGCTGTGTAGAGCTGAGCATACGGCAACTTTTTATTCCATAGACCAGCGCACAATTCATTACGTAGATCTACGTCAAGACTAGCTTATTATTGTAATAATGATCAGTTGCCAGGGGGAAAAAGACTGACGCGTGTGCGACGTTCAACGCCCGGACCGATAGTGGCCCCCCCACCACCCTCCCCTACACGCACACAGCCACACGTGTGCAGGCCGCCCGTCCGACCCCGACACACGCTAACAAGCCATCTTTAATTGCTTCTGATGACCTCTTGACAAAATAAACATTTATTAGAAGCGCTATAACTTTTCAGGCCGGCCTCAAATTCATCATAAGATTAAAACTCGGCTCCTGCACAAAACGCCTTTTTGCCCAAAGTGATCGCTGCCTCTACCCAGCCTGAGGCAGGACAGGAAGCCGGATTCACGAGTCACAGGAAGTCGGAAGTGATGTCATGCTGGACAAGAATCAGAGTCCAAATAACATTTTTTCATATATTCGGACTCGAGTCGGAATAATCACTTCGAATTGCAAACTCTTCAAATCATGGTCAAATTCAGGGGAGCATGCCCCCCTGAAACCCCCCTTGTATTTTTTTTTTAGGTCAGGGGGCTGCCCCCCGAAACCCCCCTTGCATTGTTAAAAAAATAAGTGAAATTGTACTGCTCATTTTGTAGGCTAGATCTACTGATAAAACATATTATAACATAAATACTGACTGTTTAGTATCAGTATGATGTGTATCGATATTCAGTACTCTGTGCTAGGCCTAGTGTGATTTAGTGCAAGGCCTCCTTAGTGCAAACGGTGCCGCAATTGTACAAGAGTGCCCAGAGCTCGCTAGTGTAAGGGAAAACGACAAACTCTCAATTACGCAAGAATGCGTTAGGATATTTATCAATATATAATATATATATGATAAAAATGTAAACGCCTACCAAGATGTTTCAATTGCCCTATCTCACGTCTGGGTGAATTTGGATACGACTTTGTGTTTGCGCAAGACGGCCAGTGATATACGAGTGTAAACATACGTTCCAGTTCCCGCGCCCTCGAGTTGAAAGCGTGCAATTTTGTCTGTGGGCAGTGTGTGTGTGAGAGAGAGAGGGGGAGAGAGACAGACAGACAGAGACAGAGAAAAATAAAGAGAGGGGGGAGAAAGGAGAGAGAGAGGGGGGGGGGTGTTTGTTATTATTATAAAAATAATTTATGGTAGCGTCAATTGCCCCCGAGTGACGCTGTGGCAATTGACAAAAATTGACTTTTTTGTCAATTGCCACCGAGTGAAGCGGTGTGAAGTCTGAAAACAACACTGTCTTTAGCATTATACATAATGTGTGTCTAATGGGTCAATTTGTTCTCAACTAATTTCACTGGACGAGCATATAGTCTAGAGCTACGGTGCCAACTTGGCGTGTTTTCAATGAGACGTAGGCCTAGATCTAGGCTAGCCTTAGCCTACACTTTGGTGTAGAACCAACACAGGCAATTCTAGAAGTAGAAGGTCACAAACGCACACAAACTCAAGCAGAAATTCACGTTATATCGGGGACGGGGGTCAGGAAAAGACACACACACACACACACAGAGGGACAGAGAGGCGAACGCACAACACAGAGCACAATAAGCTAGATCTACCCACCTCTACGCAAAAGAGCTTCAATTTAGTCGGTGGCAATTGACAAAAAGTCAATTTTTGTCAATTGTCACGGCGTCACTCGGTGGCAATTGACACTACCATATTTATTCCCGTCATTTTCTCTCCACGTCGGTTCCCAGGCTGACCCGGTGCAATACAGTCATTATTGTACACATTTTATGACCAGTCCCATCTTCCGAATCCCGCCTTCTGTTTTCCGTCTCTCACCTCTTGTTTCCCATGTACCATATCCAATTTTCCATATCCCTTATCCCGACTTTATTTCTGTAAGGGCGCTTTGCTTTCCTTCATCTCATGAGATGGAACACTTGAAGCTGGCCAGAATATTAAATATAACGTCACTGACTTAAACCAGCACTGGCTGCTCCGTCTAAACGAAGCTGGAGTGCTGTGAACATAGCCCCAACGGTGCCTGCCAACTACGTTTGCGGCGCCGTGAACGTAGCCACTGCATTTCTTTTTTAAGTGCTTCACGCGAATTTTGACTTCATATTTATTTTATAATTTTTATATCGACTGTAAATTATTAGTTAGACCTCCAGTTTATGAGATGTAGTACAAATGTTTTTATACAGACTATAATCACAATAGGCCCAACTGCGTACACAAGTAATATTTCACTTATTTTAAAGAAGATGGGGGGGGGGGGGTTCAGAGGTGCATGCTCCCCTTTATTTCACCATACTCATAGATCTAGAGCATAATCTGGTGTTTTGCAATTTAATTATCAAATATGGTGACTTAATGATAATGACGATTGTTCAATTAATGTGTTCTGTTTGTTCCAGATTAGATCAAGACTGCACAGTGTAAGGACCCCTAAAGAAATTCGTATTGAGTACCAGCATTCAAGATGTCGAAGCGTGGAAGAACAAAACTGCCACCTTCAAAATCCATGAGTCGAAAAGACAAACGCAAAGCTGAGAGAAAACTGAAGAAAGCCAGAAAGGACGCATTTGCTCACCGTGATTTTGTAAGTTAAGAATCCTACTAAAATGGGTACTTCATCAGATGAATCAAGGCAGCAGATCTAGATTTTGAAACTTGACTGTTGCTAGATGTAGCTGGCTTTCATCTTATCAAGAAAATGGCCTAATATCAATTTTCATTCTTTCCCTTACAGATAGACTTCCTAAATGTATAAAATCTTTTTCTTGGGGTGCAAAAAATATACAGAAGGGGTCAAAGTGATAGTGTTTTTGTTTGTGTTTTCAATTTCCACCCCTTTTGGAACCCTCTCTTCTTAACTTATTAGTAGGCTGTTCTGTTCTTTGAAATCTTAAGTTTTTGAAGAAGTGGGGGCTCCGAATGGGTGGTACACTGGTAGTGGTAGTATCAGAATTGGAATAGACCTACTATGTGCTTTTTGACAATGAATAATGCAAGCCATACTAATAAACCTTTCTTCCTCACTTACTTTTTGCAGGGATTAGTAAGTGATCTTAAAACTGTGGACACAGCCTTCAAAGCGAAGAACCAAAAGGAGCGAGAGGAAAGACTCAAACTTAAAAAGAAGAAGAAAAAAGTCGTGAAGAAGGAGGAAAAGAAAGAGGTATGCAGGATCTCTGATAATTATGCCAAATAATGTAGATGCATTGCTGGCTTTCAACTGCTGCAGACTGTTCTTTCCACCATTACACTCGTCTCTTTTTGGTATACCTTAATTCATTTATTATAAACCAACTGGTAGTGTTTATTTGTCTGTGGGCAGTGTGTTGTAAGAGAGAGAGGGAGAGACCCAAGTAATGGGTACTGTGGTGAATTGAATTAAAAGAAAGTTTGATAAATAGTAAATGATTGCTGTCTCAGGCTGTCTCTGTGCGCAAACGAAAATGTTTCACACATTCAGATAAATCCAGCTGTTGATGATGGCATCGATGTTAAAATGTATGTAACCCTTGTCCTGAGCCTGCAACTAACTCCTCCAGGTAGGAGCTCAGAAGGGAATATTTTTAAAAAACAACATATTTTAATTAGCTTTAAGCCTGTGTCCGCTTCCGGCTGGAGCCTCAGAAGGGAATGATTTTTTTTTCTTCATTTTCATCTGTCCTGTCTTAGACGGACACTTTTCTCCTTGACAGTGGGTGGCCATTTTACACAGGTACGACTGTGTGCGTATGTGTATATATAATTTGCCTTGTTTTGTTTTTATATTAAATCTTGGTGTTTAACAAAAATTTTTTTACTGAGATTTATCCAATTTCGTTGCAGGTGGAGAGTTCTCGAGTTCAAGGACTCAGACTTGCTATTCAGCGTGATGAGAAAGAGCTGAAACAGCTGGAAAAGAATCTCAATTTTCGGAAGAAGAAGGGCAAAACTAGCTTGCCTTCCTCCTTTGTCAAGGATGGACTAGACTGTATCTTTTTCTGAACCGTTTTTGTTCTGTAGATATCTTAATTATTTTTCGTTTCTCATATTGCTCTCTATTGTGTGATGTCTTGGGAAGGAGGATGGGAGGAGATATTGAATATGTACTGAGTAAGAACTGATAATTCTCTTTTTTAAATTCTTTTGTATTTGAACGTAAAACATTGCAGATGATTAATTTTCTTTGTTTGTCCCCCTTCCTCCTATTTCCGTGAAAATGTTTTCTCTCTTTAAAAAAGTTCAGACATAACAACTTTTCAGGTTATAAATATTCATGCTTTTCGTCATTCTTACTTTGCATATATGTGTGAATGCATATCTTCCTTTTTGTCATACTTAGCCTGGTTTCTTTAACTAATTAAGACATTTTGGATGCCACCGACTCTGATAAGATCAAGACATTTGAAGATGTAGTCCCAGGAATTGAGGGTCTCGGAGCATCAGACACAGAGTCTCCTTCAGAGTCTGAGGAGTACAACTCTGATGAGGAGGATCAGTCCGGTGAGTGTTCAAAAAGAAAATTAAATCACTGGAATATTAGGAGAGAGTGGGCGGTTTTGTTTTGTTTAGTTTTTGTGTTTTGTTCAGATGTCTTTTTTTCTTTCCACTATGATTTCACTTTAAAAAAGTAATTTGGTTTTCTGTCTATGTGATATTACATGCTCAAATGTTAAAGTTCATTTCTTTGCCTCATTTTTCAATTTTGAGAAACAACACTTCTATGTCTTTGTAGAGGGTACTTTGCTTTTGTCAGAAAAGAGAATGTTGTCACTGCGCGAGCAAATGGCATAACAACTTAAAAGTTGTGCGAAACTGCAACTAGCCTTTTATTTTATTTAGTGGTACTATATCAATCTTTTTGTAACACCAAAACAAAAATGGGCGGGCAGTCACAAAAGAAACATGCAGGGCAAATTTTACCATTATTAGATGATAAATAGTCTAGTTAAACAGTATTTTCCATTTCTCTCAAAAAGGCAAAAATGAGATCGGGAACAATTTTTCTTATCGTGATGCCGACCTACTTTGTTCAGTTTTGCCAAGTCACTCACCACTGTTTTCCCTTGAATATTTCAGAAGCAGGGCCAGGCCCTGGATGGGATCCTACTGCGAAGGCAGAAAAGTCCATCCTCAAAGCGAAGAAGGATCAAAAGAAAAATGAGAAGTCTGTGAAGTTCAATGTTAATGAACCTGATACAGATGAAAGTGACCCTTTTGAAGACAATTTTTCAGATACTGAATTTGGTGGTGGAGGAGGAGACGTTAGTGATGATGAAGAAGCGGAGATGGAGGAGGAGGAGGAGGAAGATGAAGATTTGAGTGATGCAGATGATGATGACATGGCCGAGGAACATGAAGGCGATGTGGAGGATGTGGAAAGTGAGTCTTTAAAGAGAAAGAGGGGTGTAAATGAAGAAGATGATTCTGAGCTCAAGGAGGACATCTACGGAAGACTGCGGGATAAGCAAGGAAACATTGTCATACCTGGTCACATTGGCACATACGTCCCACCAGCGAAGAGAGCAATGATGGCTGGTAGTCAGGGAAATGAGCAACTGAGAAAGAAATTGAAGGGTTTTCTGAACAAGTAAGTGTCTGTGTTGATCTATACATTCCTGCTACTAAATTCTAAATGAATTTGATCAGTTATTTTTCCTTTTTCCATTTCAGTCCATTTCTTAGGGGAGGGGGGGGGGGCAACAGCTGAAAGGTCCGATTTTGTCGGTCAAAATTGTGGAGATCAAGAGTGGGCATATTTGGCTTCTTCAGCCCCTCTAACAAATATTTCATCGCATAAGAATCCCAAACCCTTATTTTGTCACGTATAAGGCTTGTTGGTCACAAGCGTATCCTCATAGCGACCCTTTTTTAAAAATACTTTTTCATCCATTTTCTTTTACTTAAAAAAAAAATAATTCCTACATTTTTTATCCAAGCTTCATGTAATTTTCACTGAAAGAAGAGAAGACGTAACAATAAAAAATTGTCTTGAATTTTATATAGCACTACATTGTATAATATGGGATAGATTTTTGTTGATGTTGTCTGGAGTGTAAACTTTCACAGATTTTGACAGCGTTAAATGCTACCTTAAGAAAAAAATTTCATTTTCATTTCAGGAAAATTTTACATACTATTGTTAGAACTATTGTTTCTTAACATGCATGCAAAATAACCTCCTATTCCCATTAAAAATAAGTGGGATATTAACTGTGTAAGACACTTAAACAAAATCCAATATGCCCACTGTCTCCATGGCAATGAAACTTTTAAAAAAACTTATATTGCGTATTTGAAGAACCCATACTATGCTTGCTACATGTATAAAATGTGGTGAAATTTTGTCCAATTCTAGGCCACCCTAGGCTATTGAAGACCTTTATTATTTTCCTCACAGGGTCAGTGAAGGTGCAATGCAAGCTATCAGTTCACAAGTGGAGGCTCTGTACTTGGATAACAGCCGTGCTGATGTTAACGAGACCATGACCTCTTTGATCATGGAGGCCATCGTGACTCCAGTGATCACCCCTGAGCGACTAGTGGCTGAGACGGCCATGCTCATAGCCATTCTTCACAGCAATGTTGGGACAGAAATTGGTAGGTGTGACAGAACCTGCCATGGTGATGTACCTGCTTTGCAGATTACATTTTGGGAAAGAATATTAATGTTTCCTTCATATTGAGATGTGCTCATGGCTATTTTTGATCAAGTTTCAATTATGACAAGATACAAGAGATAAATTTGCCAAATGACTATTGCTAGTCCTTGATTGAACTAATTATTTTAACATTTTAAAAAAATTTCTTTTGTCAGTCTCATGCACCATCCTCGGAGTTCATGGGCTGGGGTTTGTTTGTTTTTTAATTGCTTTTGGCTCTGTCACAATGGACTTTGATTTAATATTGAGTAGGGGCCCTTTATTTCTCTTGCAAGTTTTAAATTACTCTTCCCCTCTATATGTCAACCTACTCAATGAGACAACCAAAGCAACTGGTTTTTCACAAGTAAATAGTGTTCACACGAATAAAATCGGAACTCTAGACTATTTTTTGCCCTTCAAAGAATCCTGATGGGATTTACAGAAAATCTTTTACTTTTCTCTTGAATTCTATCAGGTGACATGCGACTTATCAAAATTGAAGTGAAAATCCGAATGTTTATTCGGGTTTATGTGAAATATTTGTGCAAATGGACGTAAATGATATGAAGATATACATTTGTATTATTTTGATGAAAACTTGCTTTTTTGGTCTAGGAGTGGTTGGTAGGTCGGAAGCACTTAGGAATTCAAAACGAGTTGGTGCAAGATGCTAAGCTTGAATTAAATTAGGCATATAAAATGTATGCTATTGTGTGAGTCAGGTTTCTAAAAGTTAAAAAAATACTTGCTGATTGGAAAGGCCCCAGCCATTCTGAACAAGCTGCTGTAGTTTTTTTTGTTGTATGTACATCATGATTCTTCAAATGTTTGGGAATACATGTGTGCTTTGTTTTTTTACATATCTGCTATTGTTTATTTGTGTGTGTGGTGTCACCATATTAGCTTGTCTACTAGTACTATAGGTATCTCCCATGGCTTCTGTTTCAAAGTTTTTCTTAAAAAGAGGTTTTGTAATCATGAAAATTGGATTATTATTTTTCTTTTTTTGACTATATGTTAATAGCTGCTATGTCTTGGTATTTATTCTGAACTTTGTGTCTTCTCAGGTGCTTACTTCATCCAGACAGTTGTCAAAAAATTTGATGAGCTTCTTCAAGAAGTAGATTATGGCGCTGGAAAATTAATGGACAATGTGTTGCTAATCATTGCAAGCATCTACAATTTCAAGGTAAGCAGCATTGATGCTTCAGAGGCATAATTTATCATCATTTATGAACATCAGGAAAAAAGGTTTTTTTAGTGTTAGTTCAATATAGGGGCTGTAGGTTTGTATGTTTAAAAAAAAGTAAAAATTGTTGAACACACTTTTAAAAAAAGTAAAAAGAATTTTGTGGTCCTTACTTGATTTATCAGTATAAGAATTAAGGATGGTTGTTTTTTTAGGAGGGGGCTCTCTTCAGCAAAGAACCTTGACATTTAATGAGCTTGTATGGACTTAAAGATTTCGGGTTTTAATTCTAGCACCTTTATCATCTTTGATTTGCGCTGCCAAGAGCGGAATGCTCGCAGCTAAAGGGATTTGAAAACAAACGTCAGCTTTGATTTTTTTTTCCCCCAATAAAGTTGTCTCTTGATGTTTTGACTCTTTTCTGAGAAAGTTTTATTGAAGAATGTGTTCGAGGCTGTCCATGATGATAATATGTTTTACCAGGCCTACATCTATTTACCGATCATCTTATGAACATTGTATGATTGGTTTTGATAACTATGATTCCCACCTGAAATCAAATTGCATCATTTTTATCAACAAAGTATGTGTGCTATGTTATGCACTAAAAGAGCGGGAAATAATGAAAATACACTGTTCTACAGGCTTGAAGAGCATTTTCAAAAAGGATATTATCATCAAGACTGTTCTTTGGAGGGGGGGGGGATGGGACTACTGTGATGGTTTTTCATGTTTGTGTTTTCAACAAGACTAACATTGTGTGTCATTGTGAATGGAGTTCTCTGCTGTTCATATTTCACTTACCCATGGCTTTTATCTGCTGTCTTTCTTAATCATGATTTTCTTTTATTTCTTTAGATTATTCACTCAAAACTGATTTTTGGAATTGTGGAAAAGTTCATCGAGTCATTTCAAGAGAGGGACATTGAACTTTTGTTGCTGGTTTTAAAAAGTAAGTTATTTATTCCAATAGTTGCCCCTTTTCTTCTTTGTACATATTTTTTCTGCTCATGGTTGTTTTTTTAATAGTTTTGTTTTGAAAGTGAAGGTTTTAAAGCTCCTCGCTTTGCTTGCCAGGTATCTGTGCCTTTAGTTTTAGTTATGTAACACACCATTGTCTATTTTTTCTTATAATTTTAATACAAGTTTATTAGCAGCTAAAGATATATGTAATTGTTTATGACTTATTAATTATAGTCTTATTAAGTGTACAGATTGTATGCCAAAGTACAAGCATTATAAATAGGATATGAATTCTTTCAATTTTCTTTTTTGTTTTTGTGTGGTCAAATTATGTCGAGGAAAAATGCCTTTTTTTTTTTCAGGATTACTTACTTTATATTTGAGTGACAAACTGCAACCATCACATTTATGAACTTCTTTCCACTCTTTTCCATCCACATAAGCGGTTGGATTCAGTCTGCGTAAAGATGATCCAGTGAGGTTGAAACAGGCCATACTTGATATCCAGGCAAAGGCAAGGATTATTGAAAGCTCAGCAGAAGTGGGCATGCAAGCACGCGTACGTTTCATGCTGGATGTTTTGGTGGCAGTCCGTAACAACAACATGAGGAAAATTCCAAGCTATGACCCTTCTCATATTGAGCACTTGCGAAAAGTCGTCCGAAATTTTCTGAAAGGTATTTGATTGATTTCTTCTCATATTGCAATGACGAAAAGGAATCTTTATTCTTAGACCTCTCTGCACGTTTTTCTTTGTTGCAGATTAGAAAGATTTCCATTTTCTATAAAAACAGACATATAATTTTGCTGCTGTGTATTTATAACTAGTCAAATAATTTTTGTTAACCAGCATTTGTGACGCTGCTCTACAAATTTCTTCAACGTGGAGAAATTTGGTGTTTTGAGTTCAGCAGGGTTTAGATTTTTCTTATTCTGTCTAGAATAAGTGTGGTTTTCTGACAAGGGACCACGTCTTCAAGCTTTTTAAATTAACTGTTCAAAGTTATAGTATAATGATTAATAGTTCCATTTCAGAAACTCACTCATTTAGGTTTTAATGGGTTCTGATTCAGATTGTCAGTTCATGATAATTTAAATTTTTTGTTTCCAATCTAGCAGTGAAGCAATCAGTTTGTCACATGTGATAAAAAGTTCTGTAGACAGTTTACACTTTGAAAGTTTTTGTAACTAATGGGGAAAGAGGTGAATGCTGGCTTCTTTTGTGTAGCGGTTATGTATTTTACTGTCGCATGCAGAATACCTGAGTGGGGAGAAACTTTTTTTGAGTATCTTGGTCTTTTTGCTGGATCCTTCTTAGCCCGGGGTGTCCCTGACAGCCACGGTAGGAAGCCCGCCTCCTGAATGATCTAAACTGTGTAAATGGGGAGGCTGAAAAAACATCTACATTTAAAAAATTTTTTAATGAAGTGGATGCACTCTCAAGTTGTTTATTTGTAAGCTTTTCTTCGTTCACTTGTCTTGAGATTTGCACCTTTTTCTTGTAAGTTTGTGTGGATTTATCATTCAAAGTAGGGGAAAAGATCCAGAACATTAATTTCATAGAACTGCAATAAAGAAAAGGAAAATCTTTTACTTTACTACTTATGAAAACAGTAGTAAAGAATAAGTCAACTATGTCAAATGATAAATATTCACAGTTATGTTTTATTTTAATTGTACTCTTCTACATTCATTACACAAGAGTATTGTGTTTGCTTGCGACACCCTACATCTCTGTAGATCTATCCATGTTGCCTGAAATCTACAAGACAAGGATTTATACTAACATCTTGATACTTTGACGGATCCACATTAAGTATATTCTTGTTGCTGCTCAGGTCAAGGATTGGGAGAGGACCAACTCAGCATTAGTTTGGAAGACCTCTTGAAAGCAGACCAAGTTGGGCGCTGGTGGATTGTTGGCTCTGCATGGGAGGGAAGGAAGGCAGAGGAGGATGTTGTTAAAGGTGATGTTACATTCTTTCAGTCTGTTATTATTTCCTGCAAGGTCTTTATGTTTGTGCCATATAAAATATATTAGTGTTAAGATAATTGCAGGATCTCAGAGAAATAACAAATCGTAATATGTTTAATAAGCAATTGCTCAAGACTCATTTGTTTAATTCTTTGTTGTAGTGTTTTAGTAAGTACTGATATATTTTATTTTTACTGCTGTCCTTACGTGAATTTCATTAAGGTATGGTTGTGAAAGTTCTTCTTCATGTGGTTGAACTGGTTTTTCTTGTTATGGGAAATATTTTGTCTTGTGGGAATCGCTCAGTAATCATGTGCTTGATATAAAGCGCTCAGAGCTTATACTAGTATGGGATAGAGCGCTATATAAATGCAGTCTATTATTATTATTACGTGACCCATACATGTGAGTTTACATATTAAAAATTTTTCTATGCTACAAATGAGAATAAAACAAAATAATCTTAGAAGATATCTTTTAAGTTTGTTTCATTTTTGTTCCTTGTAAGGTGACTTGTTTTGATTTACCTTTTGGTTTATTTATATGGCGATGAAACTCGGCTTTTTTTATGTTTTCCCATTGTAAAACCCTTAAATTTTATCTATTTCAGAAGCCAAGTTCAAGACGGAGACAGGTTTTTCTGGAACTATCAGCAAGCAAATGTTGAAGTTGGCAAAGCAGCAGGGAATGAACACTGACATCAGAAGACACATATTCTGCATCCTTGGGACCAGCGAGGTTTGCTTCTAAATTTTTACTAGTTAGAGTAGAGGTGGCAGTCCGCGCTACCCTAGAAGCATATAGAGTCACCTTTCCAGTCCCCGATGAGAGGGGAGGTAACCCCTCATTGACTGAGAAGCAAATTTCGTCTGCTATTGTCAGCCCAGCGTGCTATGCCTGCTTTGTTAGCCCTTCTCCCTCAGTAGTGGCAAAGTGAGGACGGGTGTGTGCGACAATCAGCTGGGATGCGCATCCCTGCTTGAGGGTGACGCGTTTTATGGACGGGCTGCACGCTAGGATAGAGCGAGTCTTGCGCCCTAATAGCTTATTATTATGAATCTTATAGGCTAACGTATGATTTTCTAATCAGAAAGGAGGAAATATTCTTACAAATTACACAAGAGTTAGTTACAAGTGACACTCAATTTTTCTGTGTAACCGAAAGAGAAAGAAAACAAAAAATAGCTGAAGCCAACACTTGCACTGTAAACAGTAATCTGTTAATGAGTCTAAATAACTCTGATAATCATTAATTAAATTATATAAGAACAGCAAAGTAGATCTACATGTGGATCTAAGTGCACGTGGATGAACAAAGATATTGTTCACTCTAATTGTATGAAACAAATTGGGATGGGGAGATTAGTCAACGCAGCAAAAGAGCTCAATGTCCATGGCATCCAGGTCTTCCTGAGTCTTGTCCTTCAGGTCCATCTGTTTGACATTGTTGGTGTGCCACCATTTGTCACAAAGCATGCACTGGGTGAGCACTACTTGTCCTACGATGGTGGCTCGACACCCAGCAAAGTCGACTGTAATGTCCCCATAATTGTTGGAGCTGTCGTCATACACCGGCTCTTCTCCAGAGTCAGAGGAATCTTCATCCTCTTTCTTTTTCTTTGAGGCCACAACCAAAGCATTCATCTTCTTCTCCTGAATACTCCTCTTCTTCTTTTTTCTTCTCTTTTTGGCTTTCCTTCTTGTCTTCAGCTTGTACTAGCCGTTCCATCTTTCTCAGTTCCCTTTGCTTCTTTCTCTCTTCCTTCTATTGTTGTTCTTCTTCCGCCTTCCTCTTCTTTGTGAGCATCCTCTCTTTCTAGTCTTTTCCACTGATAGATGGTGGCACAGGTGGCTGAGGCCTTCTAACGGCCTTGTTCTTTGCACATGAAGGGTGACAAGTGAAGGGTAGGGACAGTGGACCCTGTGAAGATGCAGCTGGGTTCAGCTTGTCACTTGTGTGGACAACATCAGGGTTGTAGGGAAACAGCCCTGACTTGATGAATTCCCTGATGGCTGTTTCCAGCTGAGCTGCTGTAGCCCAGGCGTTCTTCAGGACGCCGGCAAACGTCTTCAATGTGACGGGTCCGTGGTGTCAGTAACGAACTTCCTTACCTCCTCTTCACGCTGGCTTCAAAGCCCCGAAGAACGCCTGGTCCAGAGGCTGTGTCAGGTGGCTGGTGTGGGCCTTGAGACAATATAATATTACCCTGTTCTTGCTGCAGAGGTCTGAGACGTGAAACTCCGCCTTACCAGACGCCATGCCGGCAGTGCGGGCCTACCCCCACCCATCTCCTCAGAGAGGCTGAGCGGCTTCATGCTTTACTTAGCACTGATGCTACATGCACAACACACTGCTTTGTGTGTAGTACAAGCATACACATCTTCATAAAATGCATTGACAGCCTTACAACTGCAGGTCGATGCACTGTTAAAATACGTGTTCAGCAAGCCTGAAAATAATTTAGCTCTGTGTACGTGCTGTAAGCGACCACAGCGACCAGCCAAGAATCTCGTGCCTCAGGAAAGGGTGCTGTTGGATGTTGATGAACGCGGGAACACTCTAGCAAGTCTAAATTGTTTCCCCCCCCCCCCTACACAACTCCGTTGCTACTCTATATTTTTTCCTCTTGTTTCAAAGACTTACCACAGCATCATGATTTTTCGTATTATAATAGGAGTATTCTAGATACTAATGAATTTTTCCTGTATGGATCCTTTGGTCTTTTACGGTCTGTTTTCCTTTAGTTTCTGATTGTGTTGCTTTGTTTAAGTTTCAGCCTCTACTCAGAAGGTGGAAGGAACATCACTGACTTGATAGCAATCAACATTATTGGGTATACAATGTTGGAATCAACATTTTGTCAACTCTGTATTAGCTACAATATGTTTCCATCAAAATTTCTGTTTTTGGATGACAAGACATTATGCAGATACAGTGTGGCTGATCTGTTTGTTGTATTTGTTTGGGGGGTTTTTATATTCATAGTAGTCCTGTGCATATTATTCCTGAGCTCTCTAAACCTTTCTGTCTTAATTTTCAGGACTTTGAGGATGCATTTGCTCGTCTCCTTCGTCTAGGTCTGAATCGCTCACAGGAAAGAGAGATAATTCATGTGTTGCTGCATTGCTGCTTGAATGAAAAGGAGTACAACCCATTCTACAGCTATCTTGCTCAAAAGTTTTGCTCTTTTGACAGGAGATTTACGGTAAGAGTTGCAGACTTAATTGTCAGCTTACAGAAGTCTTAAATTAAAGAGTTATCTTGTGTAGATCTGGGTACAGTGGTGTTTGCCTTACTCTAACAGCAACTCCATTGGGAAACAAGCCTTGATAGCTGTTTGGTGGAGGTTGCTGTTAACTGAATTTTCCTAGGGGTTTAAGCAAAAATGCGTGCGCGCACGCATACATACACATGCGTCCTAATAGCAAGATGTGGTAATGTTACGTCAAAAAGTGAAAACAGGCAATGTAAAGGCTGAAACTTTCACACACACACACACATGCACAGAATCTCTTGAAAAAATATGGCTCTTTAAACTCTTAGCGAGAAGATGATAACTTAGCTTCTATACTCAGTGTATTGTATTTTTGACTAAACCACATGTAAGAAGATAAGTAGAATGGAGGAATACACGCACACTGAAATTATAGTTATAAGTCAGTCACTGTGTTCATACTGCTTTTGAATCTTCAAAAAATATGTTTTTGTCGAAGGTTGATGTTAGAGAGGAAAAGATTGCTGTTAAAGGAGGTTATCTATATTTATAGGAAATTTCTGTTACACAATCTTTGGTTGTTTGTTAGAGAGAGGTTGCTCTTTTCTGGTTTGCTGTTAAACGGGAACCACTGTACTTCTGAACTGATTTTGAATTCTGACTCTCTGGCTGTAGCTAGTATTATTACATTAAAATAATTTTTTTTTCATTGTGAGAGCTTTATTTTCATGTTTCTGGAGCTGACCTTGACCCTTGAAAATTATGTGTCACAAAATAATATAAAAGAACCAGTATTAAAATTATAATATCTTAGAGCTCCCACGGCTGTTTCTTTTGATGTCTCAAATAAAGCAGTTTACTGAGTGATTATCTGTCTCTTTCATAACTGTATTATATTGTAGAAAACAAACAAATCCGAGTATTTTTTGAAAATCCGATGTTGATGTTCTTTTTCCTTTACTTTATTGAGGAATTTTCTCAGCTCTATGCCAAAATGCTGTCTGTGACCTTTATTTTCCATATGCTCTTTTAATCTTGTATTTAAGAACTTTTAATGACAGTTCAGTTCTGATCATTTACTTTCCAAACATCGAAATCTGTATCAAGGTTTGGAAAGATATTTTTTATAACTCACTCTTGGGTAAATTCAGATTTTTTCAGAGTGTTTGATTGCTGTAAACAGTATGTGGATGAACACAGGCAAAAATCCTATTGAGGAATTTGTAATGTTAGCTTTTTAGACTTGTGAAAAAAACAAAGAAATCATTGGTTGCAATCTGATTGTGCATAATGTAACAGTGATGGTTTTATTTATGTAGCCTTTCTAAGAGAAACATAGGGTATATTTTATTTATTAAAGAGGGCTTTAGAAATTGTGACAGTACCACTTTTGCTGTGAAATGTCCTCTTGTCAGTTTATCTCATTTTTTTCAGTGCTGGTTATATTACTAAAATTAAAATTGTATGTATGTACGTCTGGTTTAAAAGTTCTTTGTCCATCTTGGGGGAAAAAATAAATTCACGTCTTCTTTTTTATTTCAGATGACTGTGCAGTTTTCAGTGTGGGACAAATTCAAAGAAATTGATCAGATGAGCAAGCCATCTCAAACAAAGCTGGGACATCTCCTCTCTCATCTTCTCCTAGGGAAAGGATTGTCATTGTCTATTTTCAAGGTTCCTTTTTTTTTCATCTTTGATGGTCTTTTTATTTTTTGGTATTGTATGTTTCAATAATCTTCCAAGTGTCGTCAGCTGATTTGATTTGCCATGAATTCATCATGGTGGTGTCACTGCCAATTTAATTTTAATTGGCCATGACATGAATTTATCCATAGTTAAGCCACCATTTTTGTTTTGATCCACTTCTTTTAAAGTCATCGAATCAGTCCGTTTCAATTCAGAAGAGTTCTACTTCTCTGCAGTAAGCTGACAATACGCCTTTTTTGGCACGTACATTTTTTAATGTACTAAGTCGAATTCCTGATCAGTTACCCTACTTGTGGGAAAAAATCAAAGTGAAACTGTGGCCAGTTTTTTTAGTTAATTTGAATTCAAATTCCAGAAGATTTTTCAGTGGTTGTGCTGACAATTTAAAATCTTTTTCTCAAAACTGCTGTGAATTTTATTTTAAAAATGCATTTTGTCAGCGGACGGCAGTTCTGCAGAGGCAGAAGAAAGGAATACAAAAGTGTTTGTGTGAACAAAAATCAATTAGGTTTGTTCTGTTCATTCTCAGGGCCACCACTTAGGTATAACAAAAGGCATTAGAAATTCTTATCTTTATACTCATTGTATTGCAGTATATGTGGTAATATGGTAAAAACAGATAAATAAAGGAACTGGCAAGTTTTCTTTCTTACTTGATACTGAGCTGAGTTGTCCATTTTACATGACTTTAATTTTGTGAAAGTACTTTTGTTTTTAGACTCTTTGCTAATTCATGATAATATTTCTCTTTTCGCAGGTGGTGGAGTTTGGAATGGAAAGCAAGATAATGATCCGTCTTCTAGCTCAGGTTCTCACAGAAATTCTGACAAGTCCAAACGAGACAACAGTTCGTGAAGCATTTGAACGTATTGCCCCTTTTCCCAAATTAAAGACACTGAGACAAGGTCTCCAGGTGTTCATGAGAATCCATCTCAGGAACAAAAAAACAGAAGGCATCAGAGCTTCAAATGTTCTGCTACTGGAGAGAATTGAGAAGGCAGAGTCTGCCATGTTTAGTCATCAGTCCTCCCATGCTTTGTTATAAACTATGTGCTGTTGTTATTAAAACTTTTTGTGAACATGACTGAAATCACTGATTTTTTGGATTTTTTTTTCTTACTCTACTTTTTTATATAATTTTTTCCCCCCGCAAATTGATAAGTGTATTTTACGATTTTGGTGTCTATTAGGATTTCAGAGTTAAGATTATAAAATTATTTTATCATTTCTTAAAATTTTATTTATTCAAAACTTGTCCTGGGAGAAAAAATTCCAAGCATTTTGACACCCATGTTTTGGAACAAAACCCAGCTAAACGGGTCTTTGAATACAATGCTACGGGTTGGATGATATTTTGTGTTCTGTGTTTTCTTCTTCTTCTTCAACCCACAAGATCGTGGATTGACCTGATTTTTCTAACCCTGTTAGGGGCTCTCGCGGTCATGAGGTTACGGTGTTTGCTTCTCATTCAATATGTCCTGGATTCAAATCCTGACAGCGACGGAAAATTTTCTTCTATTTTCTGTCTTCTGCTTTCATTTCCACTTTCTGCCCCCACTCCCACACCTCCTTTAGGCTCCTGATTCTTTCTGCAGCCATTCTACTGCTACTCCTTGGCTCCTTCTTATTGCTGTCTTTCAGCCGCACACCTGATCTTATGGAAGGTAAAACCTAACTCCTAGCCTTCTCGGATAAGGGCAAAAAATCTCGGAGGTCCCGTGAGCAAGCTGCACATGTTAAAGATCCCTTGGTGGTCCAAAATCGATAAGAGTAGGCACTTACCACCACCCAGGCAAAATTGAAAATTAATTTCTACCAAACTAAAAATGTTTAATGTGTCATATGACCCTATGCAGTTGCAAGCGCCGTAAAAAAAACTTGCCCCAAAAAAACAGAAAGCCTTGTGATACTTGAGATGAGCATCTTGAAGCTGACAGTACAGGTACAGTATAATAACGAGGTCCCCTGTTAAACAGCAGTGACTACTCACAGCCCAACATCAAGGGAAGTGGTTCTTTTTTTCTTTTTTTTTTCTTTGGCCTTCTCTTTTTTCTTTGTCCCTTGTCCTGAGTGCTAGATGTTAATTAGATTATCAATACGTCATAAGATTATTAGACATCAGGTGTGAAAAAACACCTGAAAGGAACGGTGGCTATACTCTGTGGTGTCCGGAAATATGATGATGATGGTACATGTATAATATTACAAAAGATTAGATAATGATGAGAATCTATGAACATTGAAAGCAATGATTTTATAATGAGACAATTGCTAAATGAAAAATGAAAAATATCATAACCTGAGATTTTTTAATGACCTTGTGCCAAATTGCAGTAAAATGAGAATGATTTGCTGCTTCATTCATGCTTTGAAATAGTTGTAATTTTCTTACTCTTTTTTTGAGCAGTCAAGTATGACTGAACGTTTTTCGACCATCTTGACTAGTGGTGGTAGACATTGAGACTGGTGTCTGGTTGTGACAAACTGTGGCCAGTCTCTCTTCATTCATCTAGACTATTTTTTTAAATTGCCATGTACATGGGAAAAACCTTGGAGGAACTATAATAGGAGAGGCCGCGAGTCGCGTAACGTGAAGCCGCTGCAGACGACGGTCGGCCATGTTTGTGAGATCAGCTCAGTTCTCTCAGTTGTAAACTTAGTGTCAACCGAATGGCAGTTTGCGTAGCGTTCGGGTCCGGTGGGCCTCTCATTCAAAGGTCCTGGGTTCGAATCCGAGTAGTGACGGAAAAATTTTGTTCTCTAAAATTCTACTTTCTCTTTCGTCTGCTTTCACCTCCACTTTCTGCCCCTACCTCCTCAGGGCTCCGGACTCTTTCTGCAGCCTTTCTACTGCTACTCCCTGGCTCCTTCTTACCTCTGTCTTTCAGCCACACCCCTGATCTTCTGGTAGGAAAGATCTACCCCTAGCCTTCTCGGACAAGGGCGAAAAAATCTCGGAGGTCGCGTATGCAAATTGCGCAAATTAAAGGTCCCTTGGTGGTCTAAAATCGATAAGAGTAGGCTTCGGTCGCCACCCAGGCAAAATTCAAAATTTCCTACCAAATGTTTAAAAAAATATCAGTCTGTAGCAATGGCACTGAACTTGATGACGAAGTGCCTTCTGATTTAGCCGTAAATGCATCTCACAGTAAAAACAGAATGAAAAAAGATTTCAGAAAATTCAGTTTGCCATGATGATAACTGCACGTATGTGCCTAGATCTAGTCTAGCATACTTGTCAATTTGCTCTGCATGTTGCTTACATTGCTGGTTTTGTGTTGTTAAGGTTGACAAAGCATTTGAAAATGTGAAACCTGCATCGGTGCCTTTGTTGACTCCAATGTGTCAAAAGTAAATTCCTTTCAGTTTTTTGAAGTCTCGTCGGAGGTTCGACAGTGCCTTCAAAGAATGTCATTGAAGTGTGTTTGGTGTGTGAATAACATTTTTGATGCCATGTGTCGTCTGTCTGTGCATGGGGTGTGACATTGTCAAGAGTGAAATGTCATAAATTAGTGCAATCTGTTTTGAAAATCTTATTATTATAAGCCTATCATTTCAAATTCTCTATTAATTTTTCAATACCCTTAACAGTATTTTGTAAAATTTAGATAAAGTGTCTTGGTGTTTTAAAGGTGCCCCTCCCTCCTCGCTTTATTTGGGGGGGGGGGGGCTGTTTTATTCTTGTTTTTGTGTGTGTGTGTGTGGGGGGGGGGGGTAATTTCCACCATCATACTTCACTCTTCTTATCTGCCTTGCCCTCTCCTTCCTCATTCTTCGCCCATCCCATCCCACCCTCACTACCATCTTTTGTGTAATCATTTTCAATTTTGTTAGAAATATATTCTGTTATAAGTTTAAGTCAAGAAGACTACGTTTTTGTAAAAATAATGTCAGTGATGACATCATTTTGCACAGATGAAGTTCTATGACCGAAAAGTCTGCAAATTTTGTTATCCCGTTTATATTTTTGTTTTGATCCTTATTATCCCAATTTCTTCTCTAAAACAAGTTTAAAAAATTATCTTACCGTCACAATGTGTATACATAGTACGTGTATTACCAAATGTTCGACTGAGTGAGCTGGTAATTTTTTGATGCAAGTAAGATTTCTTGCTGTCCTTATTATATTGTTACTATCAAGAAGTCTTCGTTTTTTGTAAAAGTAATGAAGTTCTACTACCAAAAACTCAGCAAATATTATCACCCCGTTTATAATATTGTTTTGATCCTTATTATCCCAATTTTGTCTCTAAAACATGTAAAACAGAATATCTTACCATCACAATGTGTATACATAGTACACGTATTACTGTAAATATTCGACTAAATGAGCTGGTAATTTGATGCAAGTAAGATTTGTTAACAACTTTATTACATTACAACTGTACGTGAGTGCTTATAATGCTGTAATTAACATTGACAAAGAAATTTTGAGAGACAATGGAGTCCGAGCAGCTTGTTTTGAAAGGAGATTACGCTGCGTACGCTGCATTGTTTTGAACTTACAAAGATGGCGGCAGGCCCGATAAGCTCCGCCCTTTCGGCTTCAACTTGGTTGGAACTGTTGAGCGGGCGACGCAACGTTAGGGCCTCTCCCTATATAGTTACTCCAAGGGAAAAACAATACATGTCAAGTCTGGATCAACCAATCACAGCCCCTGCACAACGTTAGGTTGTGATTGTGACCATGTAAATTCACTTTGAAAATGGCATGCACAGTTGGATCAGAGCAGAGACGTGTTAACGTGCAGCGCGAAATCTACAAGACGGGCGGGGGGTGGGATATATGATGGCGATGAGCACAAGCTCAGAAGAGTTGTGTGCGGGTGAAGAGATTATCAGTATCTTGATTATCACTGCGTGCGCATCTGCCGTGTTGGCTATACATAGATGTACTATTATAGTGTAGGCCTAGCCTATACATGTACATGTACCTACATCTGGCAGCCAATTCGTTGGCGGTGTTGAGGGGTAAATTCACATTACATTGTATCTATGGTTCAGTAAGGGCTGGTTTGTTTGTTGTTTGGGGGGAGTTGTTTTAGTACGGTACATATGATATGTCCTTTTACCCTTCAGGCAACTGTGCACCATTCTTGGAGTAGCTCAGTGTTAAGGCAGGTAAAATGCCATACTGCTACCATTTGTTGAGGTGGTTGCTCACAAAGGGAATTTTCTTTAGTAGAAGTCTGTAGGATTCAAAAGTGAGCCTGACACTGGCAGTGCCTGTATCAAAAACGACAAACGAATAATATAAAGATTTCTGAGGGGAAATACTATTTGCCTTTTTTTCGCCCTGTGAGTGTGCAACCACATGCACTTGGTGCAATCATCCCTCCTAAGAAGAAGAGATGCATCTTTATCTTACTTTATTGTCCAGATTTTGGCACATTGGTTTGGTTTTTCACCACGTACACACACACACTCACACGCACACACAAACACACACACACACACACACAAACACAAACATGCACACTCGCATATGCACGCACATATGTGCACATCCTCATCCATATATACAGACACACTCGAGATCTTCCCTCACACATCCTCTCTTCAACATACATCTGTATACATAACCATACGTGTAGTAATAATACATATGTAGTACATTGTATTTAATTTGCTTGCTCTCACTCTCACAAACAGGCTCAGTCACATCATAAATGAACAGGAATATAAACAATAATAATGTTTAGCCAGATATCTGCAACCATTATGTGAATTAAATTAAATGCAACCAGATGTTCAAAGATACAGGAGAAATGGAATCAAGAACGAAATTATATAATTTTCTTTTGAATCAATTCCTGTTTATCAGTGTTCTGCAAAGTTAGGTCTTGACTTGATGAAACTGCACAGAAGAGCAATTTAATTATATCTTCCTTAGCCGGTGCCATTTTTGTTTTTGCTATACAAATTCTTCATTATGAACTATGAACACCATGCGGGTATTTTGAATACTAAGAATGTAATACATGTGAAAAAAAATGGGATCTAATATCTCTTCGCAGTACCGTATGATCGTTAAAAAAAACAAAAACCTTTCCCATGCTAGAATGAGCTTTGTGTTTATTTGCTAACGGTTGCTCCACAAAATTGACAAAGGTAGGCCATGCTGTTAGGGTTTTTTTGGGTGTGGGGGGGTTCCTTTGAACAAAGTTACAAGCTAGAAATATAAATTATTTGTAATACCATAATAAGTAAAAGATATATAGAATTATTCTGGCATAACTCAAGAGGCTGTTACATCTTGGTCCGTAAAAATCAAACCACGTCCAACCCGCAACCAGCCTGGTTGAATGTAGGCCCTAGCAGATGATTTCTCCATGCCCTTGGTGCAAACATCATAGGCCTATTCCGCTGTCTTCGATATGTACTGCAAATGCGCTTATCATAATCAGTAGCAAATAATGTCTCATCTGCATCATGAAGAAAACAAGAGCACTGAAAACTGAAATGTTTCTTTTCTTTCTTTTTTTTTTTAAATCGTCATTTAAACCACTTCCAAAAATCACACCATATACCAAGTTTTTAAATAAACCTTTATTAGACGTTCCTACCAGCTTCAATGAAAGAGGGGGGGAAAAAAAGGGAAGTGGATTATATAAGTCAACTCATGACAACCCAAGGGAAGTACCCGGTAGCCTACTGTTAATTTTTGCTCACTCTTCTACTTTATATTCAGAAGATAGTGAAAGTGGTTGCACCTATAACAGTTTACCCCAACCAATGATGATCGAATTGCCCTAACTTTACCTCAGATCGATTCTTCAGGGCTGTTGTCAAAATTGGGATTGATTTAGAGGTTTGCCGTTTTCAGATTCTATTCTACTTCAGGGCCTACTTCGAGTTGTCTTCCACGTGCACCCTGAGGGGAAAGAATAATTAAAATACATATAGTGCAGCGACAATGCCTGCATGGGATTGAACTGCGAACATGAGGTGGTACTTCACATACACGCACACACAAACACACACGCACGCACACACACATACTATCGTGTTCGCATTGTAGCCTCAGTCAAACTTGTGTAAGACGGCCACGCCATTGTCAGGGAGAAAAGTGGCCGTCTTAAGCAGGACTGGTCAAAGTGAAGAAAGCAAATTTTAATGATTCTCCTCCGAGGTCAAACCCGGGGCTGATCGCTCAGGATTAGGACTGCCGTAATGTAATGCTAATCCAAAAAGTTTGGGTTTTTTTCAGAAAAGGGGGGTGGGTGGTGTAAGAAGGGTTTTTTGTGCTGTTTTGTTGGGGGGGGGGGTTGGTAAGCTTCCTACTTCTTGTTGCTGCTTGAGTGTAAGGGTAAGATAAACGAAATATTATGTAAGTACATACACGTATAATAAGACGATGAAGACCGAGTGCCATGGTAAAACAAACACACTGGTCGCCACCACTCGGAGAACGAGCGACGCTTCTGTCGCAAGTTTTCATCAACATCCATTGTTACATTACATTTGTACTTTGTTACAGATTAGGTAGGAGGGCCTAAACAAAACAGTGACCAGTCACCTCACTCACAACATAAGTTGTGGGCCGGGCTTTTATAGGTTATGAGAGGCGTTGGTTATGACGGATCACACGCTTCCCTCACCAGCAGTTGAAAATTTATTGTTAGGCCTATTCATTATTCATTGGTCAACTTGGGTAAACATTCACTGGAGGGACCAACAATAACGACAGGTAAATGAATTATGACGGCCCGTCCACAGAGTGAGGGGCCGATTCAAAATTTATGACAAGGCGTCGGACAATGAGTGACCACGCCGCAGGCCTCCTGAGGCAGGTAAATTTGACAGCGGGTTGATAAAATAAGGTGGCCGCGGCTGCACTGGACAGATGACCGTTTTACAATTATATCGAATAAAAACGCAAGGGGGGAAATGGAAAGTTGCCGTTTGCACCAGTGGCAGTATTATACAGGGGACCGTCAAGGCAGGTTCGACTCAGTAGACTGTATTTAAATATAATAATATTGTGTAGCAAAGTTGTACAGTCAAATCACTCTGGTCAAATTAAACACTGATGATGCCGAACTGGTTCTTATTGCCATGTTTCATAATAAGGAACAGTACGTGACTGACTTTGACAATGCATACAAAACTAATAGTGACAGTTTAAAAAAGAATGAAAGAAAAAAAGTCGGGATTGCGCAGGAAGAAGGAGGATAGGGCCCAGAAGTGCTGTGGGGTGAGATTATTAAAAAGAACAGCGGACCGGAAGTAGGAAGTGAAGCTAGTGAATGAATAGGCCAGGCTCGGTGAAGTCGCCGACGAAAACATTCAGTTGACAATTGACCTGAAAAACTACAGTACTTCAGGTACAAGCCTAAAGCGTGGAATAGCGCAAACAACTTGCTCCTAAGGCTTTTGTGTAAGTTTCAAGAGAGCAACTTAAAACTTTAATAACGTAGATCTATGCTTCTTGCCTGTTGCAATTGGTGAATTTGTGGAGGCTTCTCAAGCCAAAGGAGCTCAACACGATAATGATAATTTATTACAAGAGATCGAGCGCAGTTGGCATTCCACAGCATTGATTCATCGCTTCGTCTTCGTCTTCGCGTTTGTTGTTCAAAACGAAACTCAACCGTCCCCATATATTCAGTTTAGGAGTTGGTAAACCGCCTATTTATTTCAAGTCCAAGGCTTGTGATCAGATAGAGGCCCTATTATAATGAAATAATGAATAGAATAAAAAGAAAATCATCAAAATGTCTGACTTGGGTTGTGAAAGTTGGGGGGAAAAAGGGGGGGGGGGGGGTATTGAACTGTATTTTAAATGCCCCTAGATTCTAGATCTAGAAATCTAGTTTTGACAGAAAGATAGATTTAGTTTTAGTGGTTTAGGTTCAAATGTCTTCAAGGTCTCTCAGGCTGTTCTGGTTGATTTCTTACTAAACTCAATCAATTGACAATTTGTTTCCAGCCAAGGCTCCGCCAAGGAGCCACAGCGGAGCTCCTCACTCACAGCAGTGGCAGTGGTGTCCCTGACCCTGCCATGTCATATTCTTTCTCTTTTAGTCTAGAGACTGTTTCAAAAAGTAAAAGTTAATAGGCATAGATCTAGTTACTCCTGACTCTGACTGAGTTTTTGGATCAAGTGTGCCATATTTGTATTCAGTTGAAAGAAATCTTAGGGGCGGGGTTCCCATTACGGCTGGATCGGGCCGATCGCCCGACTAGGTCGCCTGAAACTGAAAATTAACGCGTTTGTTTTTGAGGCGACCGAGTCGGGCGATCGGTTTGACCCACGGATCCCATTCATATGGCAATGGGCACCCCGTAATAGTTGACTGCTGGCATACCACAGCCAGCCATCAAAGGAGTCAGCAAAAAAAGAGATTTGATGTTCATTTATATATATACAGTATTGAATTGATTCGAATATAAGATTCACCCTTGTAGGGGGATGCCCACTATCAAGAGCGGATCGGGTCGGGTCGAGGCGGGTCGTTTTCTGATGGTTTCAGTGCACACTACAGTCCCGCCGCGATTGTACGCGACGACCTGGAAGTTAAAGTAGAGAAACCTTTTACCTCAATGGCTTCCAGGGCTCCTTTCCACAGTTCCCTGTTGCAGTGTTGCGGCAGCCTGGAATCCCTTAAATATGGTTACAATACAATGTAGTCACATCGATAACTTTCTATTATCATAGATCGTTCATAAGAAGACCTCTAGTTCACTCGGCCAAAAAAGTGTCTGCGAAAGTCCGCGTATTGGTTCAGATGGTGCTGCAGTCTTTGTTTTGAAGCTCTCTTTCATTTCTCAGGAAGAAGAATAGGAATAGTACAGTTTGTTAGTTAAATTGCTTTTAAATTGTTTTTCACACAAGTAGGGTAAATACAATTCTGTTCGCAAAATCTGCGCTTTTTCGAAGTGGACGCCACCGTATTTTGAGTCTCAACATGGACATGTGACTCGGCCTTGTTGTGATTGGCTCTAAACCACTCGATTGTGCACTTCCTGAAAACAAACACATTTGTTTTTTTAGATCACCGACCGAGTCGATCGGTTTGTGCCACGATGGCCGCTTTGCGCCCTCAATTTGGCTAGTCCAGACTACCAGATCGACCCAACCCGACCTGATTGCGTGTGTGGTCACCCCCTATTACTTTTTACAGAAGGTTGCAGTAGATCTAGTTCTAAGGGATAAGTTTGTCACTGAACATTGTCAGTAGCAATATTGTCAATTACAATTTTTTACTTTTTTGCAGCATTGTATTTTTGTGAAATATAGTCTAGTCTAACACACACATAGACATAGATCTATTAGTAATCTGCGGGACATGGACATTTTTCATTATAATATGTGTGCAAATTCGCTGTGTGCATATATGTTTTAAGCACAGAGAATTTACATCATGTGTAAGAAAAACTTCAGAACCTGAAAATCGGTTCGATATGTGTGCGTGTTTCACTTAATGTGCATTCTAGACTTGACTTGACTTTTACTCCATGAATTGAATCAGTCCCAACAAAGGTGCAGTAATGGTAATTTTCATGCAAAGTAAGATTTTTTATACTTTTTGAAGTCAAACAATAAATAAGTATTGTGAACATTTAACCGCTGGTGGGTGATTTTCTGCTACTATGGCCATTTCATGCAGACCAGTTTTAGGGGAAGATAGAAGGGTACGAGGCTAGCTCTTCTTAGTCTAACTAAGGCAATAACATCTTTTGATTGCACACATTTTGAGTACCTCCAGCATGTCATAATTTCATTGTGTGTTGTCTTGGTAGTCTTTTATTTTCCCTCCCGTTTCACATTTAGCTACTATGTGTCCATATTCTACTATATGTTAATACGTTGAACACGAATCTCGAATTCTTTTCCGTCGCAAATTAATAGTTTGAATAGTATTTTATGGTTTATAATGGAACTTTCACACTATGCCTAATTGTGTAGTAATTCCCTCGCTTTGGACCAATTGGGGGATTTCAGGGGGGGCATGCCCCCTGAAGTGAAAAAAATGTGGGGTTTTAATAAATTTTGACGTTTTGCAGCTACGTTTGAAATTTTCCTGAAAGTAATTGATTTTGACAGTTTTAGTGGTTTTATCTTTGATCTGCAGCAAATAATATTGCAGTTTGACCCTCAAAGCAGTGCATCTGTGTGCGGGAGTGAAAGTAAAAATTTACCGTTGTACTTGCTAGTAATATCCTACTAAAAGGGGCCAACTTTAGAGTCAAAAGAATACAATCCATATAATATTATACATGAGGTCATGTAAATGTGAGTATGGCACCAATCATTGTTTTTTTATTTTTTTGCTTTACCGTTACCATACAGGCATGAGTGCATGCATCAGATCGGTGCTCTACTCCTGTCAATACTTTTGAAAGGGTTGATCTTGAATTCAAAATCCATCGTCAATTCGTCCGAGCTTAGCTGGAGGAGAGTCTTGAAAACTCCCCTAGCCACCCAAGAATTTAAGAGCTTGTTTGTACAAGGAACATCTACACTGTAGTTCGGCATGATACCAACTGAGCTTTTGGTTCTCGCCTGAAGGGTTCTGTGTCTAGGAATTAAGTGTTGGGAGGTTAGGTTTATGTGCAAGGGGACATATGTGGGGCATCATGGTGAAATCAGGGGCTCGTCTGAATACTGAAATTAAAGGATCCGGCATTTTTCTGCTGGTTTGGGATTTTTATCGAATTTTTGTTTTTTGGCTCAACGTCTTTTATTTCCATTAAAAAATACAGTTCTGTGTGGATTATAACAAAAAACGTTGATTAAAGGGACAAAAACTAAATTTTCAGTTTTCAAGGGCTCTCTAGCAGTGGAAGTCACCAAACTTTGGCAGCCATTTTTTTCCGTTTATTTTACCTCTGAATCCGTTGCTTTTGTGCCTTTTATCAACGTTTTCCAGTAAAATTCACATTGAAACATGTTTTTATATTGACATAAAAGGTGATGAGCACACAACAAAAAAAATCAATAAAAAGTGTTGAACTGGTGGAGAATGCCTGTTTCTCCAATTTCGTTATTTTGACGAGCGCCTGATTTCACCACGATGATTCACATATATTATAGGCATAGGAGGTAACTGCAAGGGTTAATTATTTCAAAGCTTGCTGAACGTCAGTATCCCACCTTTTCCTAAGCAAAAGAGTATGAGCAGAGTGATGTGCTGCTATATTTAAATCATATCCTTGACATTTGCTTAGTGCCTTAGTTCACACTATTTGACAACATTGCATTAAGTAAGACTTCCAAAAATCATTTGCAGGAGTAGTCTGCTTTGAATTTGAAAAATATGACTTCTGTCTTTATTCTGAAAAACCCTTTTTCTGTACTTATGAATTGGATTCTGTTTCTGGTTCTGAGCTCACCCTTTTTGTATTTTTGAAAAATTCCGCAGTATGTTTTATTAACTCTTTAAGTGTCATGTATTGTAGTTGTGAACTTGAACTGAGACCATGTTACTCATCAAATGTCAAACTCCACCCATGTCTGTTTCAGAGTCTGAGCTACAAAATGTCCATGAGTCCAGTGCCCCAACAGGGCACACTTCAAGTCAAATGGGACCCAAAGAATTTAGAGATCCGAACAAAGTCAGTTGAGAAAACATTGGAGCCTCTTGTCACACAGGTATTGAGTTTTTTTCTTTTTAGAACTTATGATTTAGATCATGTCTTTACTATGGTATTGGTTTAGTAGCTGCAAAGCTCAAAATGCTCTTCTGATATATCGTGAATGCACATACTTCAATTCCTGTGCTGCGTTTCAATGTTATTTTTATGAGTTGGGAATGGTTGGTCAGTGGTGCTGGAAAACATGTTGATTGAAAAAGATTTCTAATTTTCACAGGTGCTTGAAATTCACAGTTAATTTTCACTCTGACTTATGTTTTCCATCCTTTTCCTTGAAAACTAGTATTTGGATCACACTAACTAGGATTTACTTTTTAGCTATGGTACAAAACTGACTCCAGACCATGCTCACATATACAGTGGAAATCTGATCAGAGAAAAAGTCCTGTTAAATCAGAAATGCAAAGGAAGTAAGTATTTGTGGACTAATTCAGCTGTATTTATTCATGGGTAGTTTCCCTTGCCACAAGTACCCATGAACAGCACACCGCAGTCCTCCCTTGTGGTCATGTGGCAGACCTGCGCGTGACACGTTATGCGTGCGTGTAGCTAGGCTTAGGGCTATATCGAAGTCTGCAGCATACTGCAACCCTCTCTCGTTTCACCCGCTGTGTGTGCTTGCAGTGGCATGGCTTCTCTCTCTCTCTCTCTCTCTCTCTCTCTCTCTCTCTCTCTCTCTCTCTCTCTCTCTCTCTCTCTCTCTCTCTCTCTCTCTCTCTCTCTCTCTCTCTCTCTCTCTCTCTCTCTCTCTCTCTCTCTCTCTCTCTCTCTCCCTCTTTCTCTCTCTCTCTCTCTCTGTCACTCTCTCAGTCTCTCTCTCTATCTCTCTATCCGTCTCTCTCTGTCTCTGCCTCTCTCTCTCTCTCTCTCTCTCTCTCTCTCTCTCTCTCTCTCTCTCTCTCTCTCTCTCTCTCTCTCTCTACACATTGTTGATGAGCCTTTGTCCCTGCTATAGCAGATTGGGCTCCGATGATGCCCTATTGTTGATAACCTTTAAAAGAGACAAAGAAAAAAACAGGGATTTAAAAAATCCATGTTATTACCGGGCCTGTTATATATGGTTTCCACTGTACCTGGTATAGGAACCACATGCACTTATTTACAAAAGAGTCAAAAACTGTATCTTTAGGCTAATTAGCTTCTTGACTGAGAAACAGTTACCAATTGATGCTTGAAAAAAACTTGTTAAATAGTTGGGTCTTTTTTATGTTTTTGTCAGGTCACAACTCTTGTCAATCAGAATGGACCATCGAATAAAAAGAAAGGGAGATCGAAGAAAGCTCATGTTCTGAGTGCTGCTGTTCAGAAAGCGACAGAGAACTTTATCATACAAGGGGAACAAATAGCTCATGACTTCCCAGAGGTTGAAAATGATATGCTTGCTGCCATTGATGAAGTTAGAAAAACAGGTAATGATTCATTCTTTGTTTTCTTTTTTTTTTCCTTAAAGAATTTATAACTTTTGCAGTACTGTGATTGTTTCTGTCTTTGTAGTGTATTGCCTTTATGTGGAAAGATGTTGAATGGTCAAGAAGGCAACGTTGTTTGAATGTCTCTTTTTTTGCTAGTACCTCCACATTTTAGTCATGCTAGACAAGGGAACAAGAAGGTATATTCTTTATTTTATTTTATTTATTTATTTATATATTTTTTTTTTGGGGGGGGGGGGGTAGGGGGATAAGCAGTTACAAATTAACTATGTCTAATATAACCTTCCAAAGTGAAGGGATAATTAGTCAAGTGAACAAAATTTTGTAAATGTGTTGTTTTCATTCCTTTGTGCCATTTTATTTGAGGTAGTTCACATTTGCTATCTTCTCACTCATGACTTCCATAGTGAAGGTCAAGAGGAGGCAGTCTACAGCTGCATCTAGTCCATGAAACTTAATTTCAACTTCAGTTTTTTTTTTTTTTTTCTTAACAGGGGAGACAATGGATGATGCCTCCCAAGATTTTGCTGCAGATCCTTGTTCATCTGTAAAGAGAGGTGCCATGGTGAGAGCTGCAAGGGCCCTCCTCTCTGCTGTCACACGCCTACTTATCCTGGCTGATATGGTGGATGTTCATCTCCTTTTGAAGTCCCTGCACACTGTAAGTTTTGCAGTTTTGTTTAAGCAGTCACGGGAACAAAATGTTGAAACTTTGTTCTACATTATCTGTTGTTGAATGTCATTTAAAATTCATAACGTAAGCCAGGATAGCTATGTTCGCTGCATATCCACCCTGTTGTATACAATATGGTCCTGTGTAAATTCAGCCTGTCTACTTCTGTTTTGCTTGTTATGTCACTTTCACTATATAGCTGTCGATAATGTACATTTGTGTTTTGTTTTTCCAGTTATCCAGTTATGTAATGTATCTGAGTATTGGGATTCATAAGTTGGTCATTAGTGATGAATCGGCTGTTTTGTAATAAAGTTAATGTTTGCGTTGTTGTTTCAGGTTGAAGATGATTTGGATCGCATAAAAAATGCTACCAGTCAACAAGAACTGACTGATGGTTTCAGGGACTTTGGACGAAGTATGGCAGAGTTGACGGACAGAGCTGCGAGAAGACAGGCTGTGAGTTATTTACACATCCTTCTCTCCTTCCTACTTGAAGCAAAGATCTGGTGTACTGTGGAGCTATCTTTTTTTGTATTAATGAGAGTGTCATATTTCTTGAACTTAAAAAAATGTATAACTTTTGCATTACATGTTATATCTAGTGTTACATTTTAATTAATTTTTTTTCTGCAGTTTGGATACTTCTTTCTGCCTAAAGTTTTGACATCTAGCTGTTACCCATGGTTAAAGAAGACTTGTTATGTTTCAGTTATAAATTTATGCTGAGCATTACAGAAGTAAGGGCTTTGAACCATTCTCAGCATGTTCCTGTAATATTAAATAGAATAGACATAACAAGAACTGGAACAATGCTTGAAAGATTACCGTATATACAGTCTAACCTGCCATAATGGAAACCTATCCAAGAGTTAAACTTGTCATGACGGAATCTCCCCGCTCCTCCCTTTGTTAAATTCCTTCATAATAAATTTATCTGAGACCGAAACCTTTACAACCGGCAGATAGACTTTAAAAATTCCTCTCCTTTGGATGCTTTTGACCTGTGCAATATGGAAACTGCTTTGCCCTCTCAACCCTGATTAGGAATAAAACTCAGTTAATTCCACCAACTCTAACCTTTGCACAAAATAAGGAAGGCTTATTAAAAAGAGCGGTTTTGGGGTAGCTATTTACCCCAACCATGTGATCCCTGAGCAGTGCAGATTGACAGGGTGGGTGTGAAATCTCACTGCTGCTTGTCTTCAAAGTTCTTATGTTGCCTGCCAGCTGAGAAACTTTCTTGGATAGTCAGAGGTGTGGAATTTGACCTGCTGCCCTGATTATATGGCCAGTTGTTCTAGACATCATTAATTACATGGAGGGGCAAGGTGGCATCTTGGTTGATTGTGCTAATTCGATCAACGGGTTGGGCTGATGGTGGGAACAAAGGAGACATTCGGACATTTTTCCATTTTTAATTGGTCAAACAGTGGCCGTAATAAGATGCGAGCACTAGTAGCAATGGATTATTTTATTAGTTAGACTGTCGCATGCCTTTATCTGCGTGGCTAGGATAACACTTAGGAGGTTTGAGGTTTAGACAGCCCACCCTTGATCTTACGGTATACAGCTGGCTCTCTGGCACCCCCTTCCCCGCCCTAAATTCCTCTGTCCAAGGCAGAAACTGTCTAAGATCATTTTTTTTTCTGGCTCCCTTGGCATTCCATCTTGGACAGGTTTGACTCTACTTTAATTTTCAAAATGTGTGTCAAAACAAATTTTGCCTCTTTAATAAAAAAGCTTCTCTTAAATAGAGAGAGTAAATGGTCATTGGTTCTGGAGCAAGACTTACTTACCCTAGTTCAAGAACTGAATGCATGGTCTTCAGTGAATGGGAATAGTGTTTTAATCAATATGAATTTGTTTGAAAATTGTTAATTTTGTATCAGCTCCATACCATTGTACATGTCGCTCTGAGAAAAATTTTTGGAATTGAATTGGTCTTTCTTTTTGTCTTTGTGTATTTCATACAGGATTTGAAGGATCCTCGAAGGAGGGAGGAGCTAGCTGCTGCCAGAGCAACTCTCAAAAAGAACAGTATGATGCTATTGACAACTTCTAAGGTGAGTAACTGAATTGCTTTTCAACAAATGATCGAGTAAATGTTATTTTAGAATGCTCAGAATGGTTGGCATTTATTGGGAAAAGTTAAAGGAAGCAAGCAGAGGCAAAGAGCAATATTCCTAGAGAGCTTAATGATACTTGACCTGGTTATAACTTGGAGATGAGTTAAGTGTTGTGGTCCCCAATGTCTGTTGAGATTTGTACTTTCATAGCAGTTTGCAGATGTTTTAAAGGGAATGCCATGGCTGAATGATGTATTTTACCGTCATGATTTAAATTTTAAAAACATATTTATATTTATATCTTCAGGCTTATGTCCGCCACCCAGAGCTTGCTGCTGCTAGATCTAATCGTGACTACGCCTACAAACAAGTGTGTGATGCTGTCAATGCAATATCTGATGTTGCTCAGGCTTCTGGACAATCAAATGCTCACCCATACGAAGGGCCCGGGGAGCTTGCTGCAGCTTTGGATGAACTTGATGTGAGAAGTGATGTATTTTGTGTATGGGTTTGTCATAATAGTAATACAATGGGTTTTCTGCATCTTTAAGGCATTGGTATTAGGACACCAGAAAATACTCGTGGATATTTCAGTCCTAACTGTAGAAGTTCACTATCTCTCAGGTGCTCACAACATATGCAGTACTGCTCTTAAATGTTTAGACTTTTTTGTGGCTAAAACTTTTTTCTCAGAGCTATTCGACTCTGAAAAATGAAGTTTAACTCATTTGAGAACAAATTTAGAGATTTGCGTCAAATCCTCCATCTGTAGTAAAAACAGTTACTCTTCGGAGAACCTATGTTCTCAATTGACTCTTCCTGCCTATACAGGACTGACTGCTAAAAAAAGGGAGGCTTCAGTAATATATACTGTACACTCCAAAATATGACTTTAAATAAATTTCTACTTTGATAAGGTGGTCTTTCTAGTTCAATTAATCTGCAAGTGTAATTTCTTCTCAATTATTAATTATGTGAGCTGTTTAATCTCACTCTATTTGCTTTAAGCATATCCACCATGAAAATCCCTGATCTCATTGTATTTGCTTGAAGCCTTTTGGCCATGATAGCCCATGTTTATTTTGACAGCAAAAAATTATTATGGATCCCCTAAATTACAACGAAGTACGCAGTCGTCCATCTCTCGAGGAACGTGTGGAAAGTATCATCAGTGGAGCAGCTCTCATGGCTGACTCGTCCTGCACTCGCGATGACAGAAGAGAGCGGATTGTTCAAGAGTGTAATGCTGTCCGTCAAGCCTTGCAGGACCTTCTGACAGAGTATATGAACAATGTAAGTCGTAGATAAGGATGATAGAAGTGTCCTATATTAGTTGCCATATTATTTTTTTTACCAGCCTCAGTGCAGTATGATGTGTGTTAGATGTACCGTAAAGTTCAGGCTGTAAACCGCAACTTTTGTTCTAGAATTTGAACCCTGCGGCTTAAACAGCGATGTTGTTTATTTATGAATCTTCCCGATTTTAGGAGCGGTGCTTCCTCGTCTTTTCGTAGCATAAACCTGAAACATTAAAAAGTTGACATATTTTCCTCAAGACCACACTATAGCGTATGCCTAAGAAACACTGTCCAACAGATGGGCGAAAACTTTTAGGGAAATTTTTGTGTTGTATAATCAATGTGCTATGACTTATAAACCAGTGCGGCTTATTTGAGAAATAAGTTCAGCTTTAAAAAAAAATTAATGGGTACCGCATATATATATATATATATATATATATATATATATATATATATATATATATATATATATGAGCCTGATATTTTAGATTTCTGTTTATATATGTGTCTTCCCACATGCTCAGGACCATCAAGGCTTTTCTTCCACAGCCAGTGTGTACTGTATAATTGATATTTCTCATTTATGAAACAATTGTAGAAATTTGCTCTTGGGCTTGTAGAAATTTGCTCTTGGGCTTGTTTAAGACCCTGATTTCATACATTTTTCTAAAGTTGCTCGTATTCTTGACTAGGGGTGTGAAACAAAATTGCTTTTATATATTCTTAGCACGGATGTTAAAGCAAATTAAATTTACGTAATTCTACTCAAGTTTCATGTACGCTTAAATGGGACAAACTGTAATTTCTACTGAAACTGCTTATTATGCTCTTGACATGGATAGTGCAAAGTGTGGCATCAGGTGCCCAGTGTAAAGCAAATCTGGTATTCATTTTGTTTCCACACCTTTATTCTTAAATTTTTAACAAATGATAAGGTTAATTTTTATGTTACATTCTGATAGTTTTAACTACTGACACAAAAAATTTGTTCAGATATTGGGGTTATCAGAATTTTTAAATAGCATTCATGCTTTGTTTGGTTTGGAGTTCTTCTCTATCAGCATTCTTGAAAAAAGAACTGTTACTATCTTGATATGTAATCACACTAAGACTTAGTGAGCATCAGTTCCAGCATGAATAATGTCTTCACCTATTTTCTATCAAAGCTATTTGCGTGATTTATGTGAGGCATTGTTTTTCATGTGTTGGACTATTTGTCATAGATCTCTGGGTTATCTCTGCTTTTGCTTTGATGTTTCCGAATTCTTTTCCTGGTTGCTTTGAGCCAAATTCCAAGTTGTAAAGAAGTTTGTAAGAAAAAACATATACAATTGTCAGTGTGTATGTACTACAAGATCTGGACTTTTATTTATACAGCAGCCTTTGGTCCAGCACTGTGCCCTCTACTTGAACAGTGCTGTTTGTATAATGTAGGAAAAATATCAAATTTAATTTTGAAACTACCAAGCGAGTGTAATAATGCATGCGGCTGAAACAATTTTTTCTCTATCGTGGTGTAAAATCAATTACTAGTTCTGGTACGATGAGCTGTTTCCTGCTGCTTTGATACAATTATCATTTTACTTTTGTGCACACGTGAGTGTAAATTTTAAGTGACAATGTGCTCAAAGAGAAGTACCAGAGCTTAGTATTAATTGATTAGGTCAATAGTGCAACTCTCTTGAATTTTTAACCCCGTAAATCCTTAGAGGTGTTGTATGTTAAGTCAACTTGTTTAGATTTGAACTGCTGCCCAACTTGACAACTCTGCCCCACTTCGGCCTTTTTTTTTTTTTCCCGCCTGATCTGTGTCATTTCTTTATTTTTGCAGTGGAACTCTCTTCTGTACAAGTCACTTTAGATTGGAAATTAAAAAAAAATTAATCCAAGAGAGTGTACTTTTTCAAAAAAGTGTATCGCAGAACAAAAAACAAAACAAAGATAGAAGTATGACTCGTTGATAATGAATAGAATTATTGACATTGCTTGACGATATCACATTGGCTCCACTGTTTTGTGCATTTCATAAATTTGAATTCTTGCTGTTCTTAAGCTGTCTGTTTCTTATCTCTTGATTTATTTCATGACCAGTGTGGGAAACCCATGATAAAGAACAAGGTAACCACATGAACGTGGCCTTGGATGTAGGAATGGAATTGAACCAGTTGTTTTTCCTGCTCGATTTATTGTACTTATTTCCTACCCTTTGTCCCATTGTAGTATCAGAACAGCAAAATGATCAGTGTAAATATTAATTAAGCATGTTCTTTGCCTACTAAAACCCGCTCTTATACACTAAAATCAAGTTTGCTTTATGTCCCCAGGTTTTATGTTATTTGAAAGAAGTGTACACATTATGTTTATTGAGCATGTTAAGTTAAGATGACACTGAAGTTAATCGCATCAAATTTCTTTTGATGATTCTTTTTTCTTTTGTTTTGCGCATGATGTTGCTATGTCCAAATTTAGATCTAAATAAAGTACTGGTTATGTGCAGAGTATATCAGACCATGCATACAACGGTGAAAGTATAAAATGATCACAGTTTAGGGTAATAAGATACATATTAGCGTCAGAAACTTGGAAGAAAACAGCTTCAGGGTAACTGAAGGGTGAGTTGGGGAGGAAGTAAAAATCAGAAAGTGAAGTCATTGTTTTTTCTAGGTGTATCTGAAGTGCCTCATGCACAATTTATGTGTTGTAAATAAGTGATTTCTTGGCCCATGTGAAGGGTACAACAACACAATCAACTCAGCGTCTCTTTCATAGTTTGTCATGTGAATTGTACTGATCTTCATCTCATTCTTCATTTCTAATGTTCTTTGACCTTGAAAATGTTGTTAAAAAGTGTTTTCACACTAATCGTGCCTTGTTGTGCGGAGTTGTACTGGAAGATTCATGACTTCTGTATGCTGCATGTGGAGTTCTTTTTTTTCCCAATTGCAATGTCTTTATGATCTTGTTTCTGTGCTTCTAAAGATTCCAATTTTTCACCTTGTTGTCACTGTTAGGTTTACTATTTGAAAAAAAAAAAATCACTAATCACCTAACGTAGGCATGCAGATACCATGTAAAGATAATAGTTGTCGGTGTGTTGAATTTATATGCCATGACTCACAAGTGAGTATTTCATTGGCATTTTCTACATACAGCTCTTTTCGAAAGATAAAGATGATTTTTGTTTCTTGTTTTCTGTCTTTCATACTTTTACTGTGTTGTCAAGATCATTGATGGGGTTAGTGTGGTGGATATAGCAATACTGACATTAAAGTCCAAAAGTTTTGATGTGGTTTATTTTGTCTGGTAGTCTTAACTACTCTCTTTGGGCAGGATCATGACTCGTGGCACCTAATAAATAACCTGAAATAAAAAGCATTGTTAACTTAGGTGTACAAAAAAATCATGCAGAAAAAATCTGTAGATGCCAAGAGTTTTACGATGCTGTTGGGTTCCATTCCTTTCATTGTCTTTGAATTGATGTCTTTTGTATGTGGTGATTTCTTATATATACATTTCATGATGTTTTTACAGGCCGGGAAGAAAGAACCCAGTGAGGAGCTGGAGCAGGCCATTGACAACATGACCAAGAAAACAAAAGATCTGCGAAGACAGGTATATTGACACCAGCACCATAAGGGTTGAACAAGGTTGTTCTGGTAGTATAAAACAATATTCATTGCAAGTAAATAGTTCTGTTTTTTAACTTGTGTTTTGACTTTTTTTTCCTATTTCTTATGTATATATTATGTTCTGTCTAAATGTCCAATTTTTAAAAAAGTGTTCAGTTTTCATTAAAGCTAGTAAATGGTACGTAATGAATTTAAAATTTGCGCTGTAATGATAGCAATCCACGGGTGAATGTCACAGATACAGAAGTCTCTTGAACTGTAGTCTATTGTTTATTGGAGATGATAAGAAATCTTGACTTTATGCTGTTTGTTTCTTAGATTGTAAACAGACTTTATTTGTCTTTCCGGTTACAGTTGCGCAAAGCAGTGGTGGACCACGTATCTGACACATTCCTTGAGACCAACGTTCCCCTGCTTGTTCTGATAGAAGCAGCAAAGGCTGGAGATGAGAAGGGTGTGGAGGAATATGCGCAAGTGTTCATGGAGCATGCAAATAAACTTGTGGAGGTGAGTGTGTTCTATGGTCCGCAAATGTAACTTTTTTTCCAATCTGAGGACACAGTCATTTGACACATTTCCGGGGATTTATGAGATATCTTTTTTCTTCAGTTTACTCTTTTCTGGATTTTGATATTTTTAAATGTGAAGAATTGTTTCAAGAATAGGAATGTAGTGGGTTTGGGGCTCTCTGGTCTTGTCTGGTCCTTCCATCTTTTTCATTGTTGCTTAATATAATATATACAGACAATGAATCTGTTTCTAATGTTTGGGTGGTTCTTATTTAGTTGCTCTTTCAGTTGTTACTGTTCTTCCTGAAAGTTCTTATGTTCCTCTAAGAATTTGTTTGAAACTCTCATTAATGATTGGATACATTATTGATTTACTCTGTTTTTGATTGTATAATGCTGGACTATGGTGTGGATCACCCTGGTTTAAATCCTTGATATGATTTTCTTGAACATGCATTGTTTGAAGAGATTTCATGGCTGTCTACCATCATCATTCGCCCCCGTGGAAGGTGGTTGATGAATCAGAGGTCCCACCAAATAAAATTACTTTCAAAAGATTGCTTACATTACTCTCTTATTTATCTTCCTGATCAATGTAATTGTTATGTTTATTAACAGTATCTACCTATTTTGTTTGGTTTAAGACTTACTACAACTAAGAACTTTAATGCTTTCACTAGATCTTCAACATTCAAGTATTGGTTTGCTTTTGACTTTGGGTATATAAAGTGGCTTCTGATTTTAAAACTTCCATTCTAGAAATGTAGCCATTAATTCTTTTGAGTACGCCCACTTTACTTGTGTTTACTGTACTTTAGAAGTTTTTATTTTTAATCTGCTTCTCAGGTTGCTAATCTTGCCTGTTCTATGTCGAATAATGAAGAAGGTGTGAAGCTGGTCAGAATGGCTGCTGCGGAAATTGATAATCTGTGTACCCAGGTGAGAGGTGTTCTCTTTCCTCTTTTGACATCTACAACGCTGAATACTTTGTTTGGCTATAGGTTGCAGAACAAAACCTGTTCACACAGGGTCTGGTGGTGTTGAGGGTGCTTCTAGTTACAATTTTTTATTAGCAGAAAAATACTTGATAATGGGTTGCCAATACTTGGGCTTTGCTCTTTGAGAACTGTTTATTCTTGTTGTTACAAGTGTTTTGATCTCTCAAAAGTTAAATAAAGAACTGAAAGATGTGACTGTGTGGAGCAGCCAACCAGCTCCTGATTGTTGTCATTTAACAAGATGATAATATTCAGCTCGCAAAGGGCTTTAATATTTGTCTCTTTGTCAGTAGCCAGGGAGCTACACGATAATTGGTAAAACATGAAAACTCTTTTTTTTTATTTATAACATTCAATTTCTGATTTTAGATTTCTATTTTTATTAGTTTCATAAGACTCATCCATTCATGTTCACTACTTCAAGCTTTCAATTGGTCAGATTTAAATATAATTTATTATTGCTGTACGCACATGTAAACTTGGTATTAAGTTACATAATATGTGAACAATAAATTTATGTGAGTTGCACAGCAATGCTATAGTAAAAAGCTATGTTTTTGATTGTGTGAAGCCTGAAAGAAATTCCTACCGTTGGAAAATCTAGTTTTTCTTATCTTCACCATTTTCTTAGCATCTCTAACCTAACCTTTTTATATGTATGCCGTAAAAGGTTATCAATGCTGCTAGAGTTCTGGCTGCTCGACCCAAATCAAAAGCTGCTCAGGAGAATATGGATGTTTTCAAAGATGCTTGGGAGAAGCAAGTTCGTCTCCTGACAGAGGCTGTTGATGATATTACCACCATCCATGACTTCCTTGCTGTTTCAGGTAAACATTGTTGTTGTTGTAGCTGTTTGATTTTTTTTCTTTTGTTATTTTCTTCAGAGACTTCTTTTATTGGAAAATGTCTATTTTTCAGGTTTTATGAAATGTTTTTTGGCTCTCTTATACTAATTTCATTCTTTGCGGATCACCAAGTTTTTGTTTCTGATTTGGTGAACAATGGAAGTTTATAAAAAATATTTTTTTAAAACCCTTCAAGAGGACCTTATACCACTGAGCCAGGCTAGGAATAGAACCCAAAATTTGTGGATTGAGAGTGTGGAATCTTGCTCTCTTGTACATCTCTAGAATTTGCTCAACTTTGCTAACACTTTGTAAAAACTGATGATTGTGGGCATATATGATAGACTGATGACAATGCTGTACTTTTCACTTTCCAGAAAATCACATCTTGGAAGATGTGAACAAGTGTGTAATAGCCCTCCAAGAGAACGACCCTGACACTCTAGACAGGACAGCGGGAGCCATTCGAGGCAGGTCTTCGAGAGTGTGCAACGTTGTCTCTGCCGAAATGGATAATTATGAGCCTGGCCAGTACACAGAGAGAGTCATGGAGGCAGTCATCATGCTCAGAGACCAGAGTAAGTAAAGGGGTTACATGGAAGGTTGTTTTTTAAAACTGCAATCGAACCTACTCTATTGCCACTTGTCAAAGATGATCACCTGTACACCTGTATGAATGATCATTTCTCCCCCCCCCCCCCCCCCCCAACTTGTTTTTTTCTTTATTATATTGACACTGTCCAAGAGGTCCACCCAAGACAGCCAATTTTCTCTTGGACAATTCCGACTGTATATCTTTACTAATACATTTTCTGTGACACATACTGTCATTACTTTTACCTGGGCCAAAGCTTACTGTGTTCTGTATTTGTAACCTCTACCTCGCACTCTAAAATCTTTTTCAAGAGGTAAGGACCTCTGAAGCTTTTGGGATGTTGGGGTTAAAAGGTCAATGGTGATTAAATAATTACGAAAATTAAACATATCCTGTTTGAAAGGTTGCGAAATTCTGCAACGAAGTGCTCCTGTGCTTGGTTTCTGTTTTGTGGATGTCTTCCAAACAATACTGCCCTAAACTTACAAAACGCCTTTTTTCATTTTTGGTGCCACATTTTTTTTATTTGCTAAATCTACATACTGATCAGTAACCCTTCTTATGTAAAAAGTCAATGTGAAACAGTGGCTAGTTTTTAAATAAATAAATAAATTAGAATTCCGATTTCGGAAGAACGCCTTCTTTAAATGGTTACGCTGACAAAACGCTTTTTTATCTCGAAACTGCTGTGAATAAGAAAAAAGCATTTTGTCAGTGTACTGCAGAAAAGTTAGTCCAAAAAACGGCCTTGGCTAGCAGTTTATACATATTTAGTCAGCTAACATTTGGTCCTTCCTTTTTACTTTTGTTGTTGAATTTGTGTCAGACTCATAGAGCTATCCACTCTCTCTTGTTTCTCTGACTATTGATTTGATGTTAGATGTGTTATCAAATTGTAGATTAATAATTTACTGCACTTTTAATATTTATATCTAGAATTGTGTAGTGCAGCAAACTTTGGGTCTGAAAGTAGAATTATTACATTTTCTTTTTACAGTCATGCCTAATTTTGCGGAGAAAGTGGAAATGGCTGTTGATGCATTGAGCTCCAATCCAACACGAGATGTTGATGAAAATGAGTTCATTGAAGCCTCAAGACTAGTATATGATGGCGTCCGAGATATTAGACAAGCTGTACTCATGAGTGGGGTAAATATGGTTTTGTTCTTTTCTCTTTCCTCGTGTACTGTTTGAAAAAAAAAAATTCAGTCGATCCCTGGCTGTTGGTTCATTGTTTTCAGTATAGTCAGTTATTTTTTGTCTTTAAACGCTTCCATTTCATAAAAATACTGGAATTACATCTGTATTTAAAATTTTTTAACACTGCTTTCAGAATTATAAGACAGTGTCTAATTAATGATGTAACTTCCAAGAAAGTATCTGTGACCTATATTTACAGAACGTTTTGTATATTGCTGGTCCTTTGTAAACACTAGAGCCAAAAATGGCTGTCTTAGAGTGATCTATTGTTTGACCCTGTCTGACTTGAAATCATTTTCTTCCACTCTGGTCTCCATGAAAAATTTAAGGTGAACCCAAAGTGAAATGATTTATATATATATTTTTGTGTATATATGTTTTAAAATATGATATCGTGCTATTGTAATATTTTCTGAACTTAAATGCCCATTTTCTCAATAAACAGTTTATACAGTCGAACCTGCCCGGACGGCCACCTGCATAAGACGGCCTCCTGCATAAGACGGCCTCCTGTACAAACGGCCTCTTTCCATTTCCTCCCTTGTGTTTTTTTTTCTATTTAATTTAACTGTGTAAAACGGGCACAGTCCCCCGCGGCCACCCTATTTAATCAACCCACGGCCAAATCTACCTGCCTGAGACGGCCAGGCTTTGTAAAAAATTATGCATTATCCCCTGACGCTGTGGACAAGCCGTCATAATTCATTCTCCTGTCGTTGTTTTCAGTCCCTCCAATGGATGAAATGGTCATGTTGCTTATTTCACTCCCAATGTTTACCCAAATAGGCCAATGAATAACAGAAAATTTTCATCTGGGGGAACCATAATTTTGAAAACCCCCCCAAAAACTAACAACAAAAAATGCCCCACAAAAAACGTCCTATCATCTCCCCCCTTTAAAAAAAAATAAAACAACAAATTTCAATCAGCCCTTGGGCATTCCAAAGCCTGCGACCACCTCCAGTTGGGACCTCAGAAGTAAATGGTTTATTTTCTTCATTTTGATCAGTCCCGCCTAAGACAGCCACCTTCTTATGTGCACTTTTCCCCTCGACAATGCGTGGTCGTCTTACACTCGTTCGACAGTATTTGTTTTCAACTTTTGTTTGCTCTCTTTTTTTCAGATTTTTAAAACCAGTCTGCACCAGATTTTCATAACATGTTCCTCGGAATATGTAGATTAAGAGTTGTGATGGAAATCTGATAGAAAAATCCTAACATGTTAGAAATTGTGTCTAAAAGGGTTACAACATATAGGTTTATATTCCTTTTTTGCAGGTTGATATCGATGAGTCTGACAGTGAAGATTATGAGGATGAATATGGAGGCTATGCTCAATGTAAGTAGCAAGACTCCAGGATGTCAGTTTTGGGGGGTTATTGTGGTGTTGTAATTTTCAATTTTGATCGGTAAACATACCTGCTTTGTTTTGGTGTTTTGTTGTTTAGTAAAGTACCGAAATGTCCCAGCTTTTTTTTTCTTTTTCTTTTAAATTACTCCTTTTTAAAATAAATTGCTGGTTGTATTATTTGTGTGTGGGGATTGGGGGGGGGGGGGTGTTTGGATCTGAGCAGAAAGTAAGAAAGAAATGTGTTGTTTGCTTTATACTTATGCTTAAGAATATTCTAATTTTAAGAAAAATGTGTATAAACATGCAGTCCTGTGTATGTGCTTTTATATGCCATCAGCAGGTAATAGTTGATACTTGTCAGTTTATCTGAAAAGCAATTTAAAAAAAAATGAGATGACTTATCATCCCCCCTTCATGAAAAATTGTAATCGTTTTACAGAGGTATCATCATCATACTGGTGAAACAAAGTCAGCCCATAAAGCAAAATTTTTGAGGGGAGAGAAAAAAAAACTTTCATTCTTTTAAGAATTGTACCTAGATTGGGTATTTTTTCTTCGTTTTTTTTTTGGGGGGGGGGGGGGTTGTCTTTAACTCAAAGTCGAGGAAATTCGGTTTAGTCATGGTAAATGAGACATACCTTCATGTGGGGGGTACTTTTTAAATTTGAATTTCAACGAAAAAAAGTACCTTGAATACCTTATGCAAACACCATATCAAAGATGAAGACACTGCAATTGAGAAAGTTAAAAAAATTTGGGGCTAAATATATTTTAACAGCTGGCAGTTGATATGCTATTTCATGTCATCTAGATTGCAGAGATGTTTAACATTACTGATCAGTCATGATTATTCTGCTCTAGAGTTTTCATTAACTTACTCATGATTGCAGGCATTTTTAAAATGATTTTTAAAATCCATTAAAAAAATTTTTTATTCTTTAGCGAGCGTGATGGACCATGATGACTATTCGGGCAAGAGTGACCGGGCCATGATGAGGAGGCTGCCTGAGGAGGAGCGGGAGGTGATCCAGCAACAGGTGGAGATGTTCCGCATGGAGAAGGCCAAGCTGGACCGTGAGGTGGCCAAGTGGGATGACAGCGGCAATGACATCATCGTCATGGCCAAGCAGATGTGCATGATCATGATGGAGATGACAGACTTCACTAGGTTTGTGGGGATGTGCTGTGGTAGAACCAAAAACGTTTTTCTGTAATAATTTACTTAACTTACTCTCTCATGATACCGTCAGGTACAGATGGCGGAGAGCAGTTGACGCCACGCTTGCCTGTCCCTGGCCACGTTTTCCAATTTCGGCACATCGAGGCCCTTGGTCCACCCCCCCCTGGGGCGGTGCTACTGACTGAAGTGTCTTTAGGCCATTCCCAAAGGGGGCTCATTAACCATGTTCTTATGCACAGTAGAATTGTAATTGTGAATGGACTGTTTCATCAATGTCATGCTCATAACTGTGCCCGAACTGCAACAGGGAACTGCTGCTTTTTCTTACCTAATCCTTACTATCGTCATTTTCCTCTACTTCTTTTTTATGTTTGTCACACTCTTGTGACCCGCTATTTCCGGGGTGCCTTGATAGTTGAAGCAGACTTTGTACTGTTAAAGCTGGAGAGGTGAGCAGAGTAAGCCTGATTCTCTGTAATGACTTTTCTGTTGACATCCACCCCTTGGCGCTCATATGACCTTATGCTGTTGCGAGCGCCGTAAGACCTCTACTAAAACAATACAAAAGGCCCTTGGTTATTTCCTTATCCCTAATTGTGCCTCTGTACCTTCCAGTTGGTCCACTTTCTGTGATAAGGGATACCAGAAGCATTATTTCGTGAGTAGGGATACCAAAAACATTATTCTGTGATTAGGGGTAAGTCTGTAAATGGACTACAAGTAGGGATGAGTACTGAAAGCATCGGAGTCCGCTTGCAAATATTTTTGACATTTTGGTTTCATTTTTTTAAATCTGGCTCATCCAGGGAGTGATTTTGAGAGGTTTTTTTCTCTAAGATCTAGTAGTCAAGCTGTTGTTTTATATTTTCTGCTAATCTAAATAAAAAGATTTCTGTACTTGTTAAAAGTTTTGGATTTGATTCTGTAATTTCATCAACGTCTGTGATCAAACTTGGTTGATGAGTACTGATCCTCAAGAGAATCCTCTTGGTATTTTTGCTTTGGTAAAATTTTAATTGATATATATGAGTTTAATGTTTTCTCTCTTTTAACTCACAGAGGTCGTGGTCCTCTGAAAAGCACCATGGACGTCATTAATGCCGCCAAGAAAATCTCTGAGCATGGAACAAATCTGGACAAACTTGCTACTACTATTGCAGATCAGGTATGTTTACTTGATTTTCTCACCTTGTCCTACTTTTAGACGGAATGTGATGACTCGGGAAGCTTTCCATGATTGTTTCCCCGATTGATAGCTCACACGTTCCTTTAGTTGGATAAATTCAACGTTTTTGCTTGCCTGTTTTCAATCAGTGTCAGTGTACTAAAAATATAACAACATGGGGTTTGATTAGGTATTCTATATCAACTATGTATGTTATTGAGCCTCATCATTGTACTTCCAACTCCCTCCCCCC